GTGTGTCGCCGCTCATCATGGCCTTGGTGAATCCAGCGTGGGTTTACTGGCGCTGTGCATTCGTGGCGATCTGTCTGAATTCAATTGCCGCTGACTCCCTGTTTACGGTATCGAATATCCTCATTGCCGGGGTCTTTCCTGGTGAGACACAAGGACTAGCGGCGGGTGTGTTCAATACAGTCTCGCAGATCGGGAAGAGTTTCGGACTGGCGCTCGTGGCGTTGATCTCTAATCAAATCACCGAACAACAATCGCAATTCGACGATAAAGGTAGTCCTGAGGCACTGATGGCGGGATACCGTGCGGCATTCTGGACATTATTCGGTATGAATATCGCAAGTCTAGTGGCTAGTGTGTTCGGATTACGAAAGGTAGGCAATATCGGAAAGAAGAAAACACAGTAGATGGTTCTTTCTTCGAGATAGGGTTTGTTCTATTGCCATAGTATATATGATTAGAGTTCCTTCCATTAATCTACTAGTACACAGTATGGAGAACGCAGGAAGGTCATGGTGGGATGCGGGTTGTGCGAGGGGGGAAGTACCTAGTAGGTCAATTCTATGCAACATTGACGCATTCCGAATCGTCACAGCCTTTATAGACAACCGCCCTGACTGCGATTTATACCTTCTCTCTAGAGGATTCATTGCTATCGATTTGCTAATGGCTGACAATACTGGAGATTCAGCACCAAGTGCTGTGGCCGATACCTGCGACGATTCCCTGAATCAGCCAAAGCGCATCATCTTACAACATTGTGGCAATAACTTCAACTCTTTTGATAACACTATTAAAACATATCTCGTCTCTTTAGGGTACTCAGCCGACGGACTTGACCAAAATATCCATTACCACGTCTGGTATTGAAAATATAGGGTTTTTACTGCATTTTCCTTCATCGTCATAAGGATCTACTCAGGAACCTTGACTTAAATCAAGTGCAGCACGAAGTCTACCGTGTTAGCCGGGCTGAGAACAGTGTAAAGTAGCGCTATTACACGCTCTTAAAACAGAACATTCTACTAACGATAAGATTCATCAGTGATAGGACTTTTCGATGGGAGGAAAACTGTCGTTGTGAGGGATTTGGAAGAGGGTGTCACCGTGTTACTGTTGTTGCCTCAGCCAACGATTACCCCACGGCCCGAATTGCTGTTCCACGCCCTATATCTTGTAAAAGCTGGAAACTGGTTGAATTCCTAGATTGAGATAATTACGTTGCTTGAATCTATCAACATGGCTGCGAGAAGAAATGATTACTGAGGGTTAAGAACCCCCAAGCAACTTTTTCTGCTATGATGTGCGATTATTAAACGGGTCCAAGACGGGTTAGATAACTTCATCAGGATGCAGAACTTGTTCCAAAAGGGCCAAGACTAGGCGTCCCGGCGTTCGTGATTCTGCAGATTGGACAGTTGGCACCGGCGTCGCCGAGCTGGCTTGGACACGGCTGGCTCGCCGGTTGGTGGGTTTTCTCGTGGAGCGTCAGAGCTGAGACTCCTGGCGGCCCGCTAGGCCACACTTGGCTGGTGAGATCCCCGTCCAGCTGTGATGATGGTGGAATGGGCCCTTGGGGCTACTTATAAGAGCACAGTGCAGTGTGCAAGGCCGACGCCCTGCCTCTTTTCCGTAACATCGACCCAACGCCTACATATGCAGCTACCTAAGCACTCGGTTTAACTAATGCCAATTCGAGGACCGACAAAGTGGAAGCAAAAGTCAAGCGGGGTAAGTCCCAATAACAATAATGGAGCCGGAGATAGTTGATCTGGTCATAATTGGCGCTGGTAAATTCCCCTCCCCTCTTCTCGCGCCCTCAAACTCTTCCACCGCATATGTTCATCAGGAGCTATGTCAGCTGAAACCTGATCACAACAGGCTGGCACGGCCTCGCGGCGGCCAAAGCCGCACTCACGCTCGATCCCCGGATCAATTTGGTCGTTCTGGAATCCGCCGCCTCGGTTGGGGGTGTTTGGGCCGAGGAGCGCTTATACACTGGACTCAGGACGAATAATCTACTGGGATCATACGAGTATAGCGATTTTCCTATGCGGGACAACGTGCCTGCTTCTTTAGTTAAGCCCGGGGAGCATATACCAGGCAGAGCGATGCATGAGTATCTGAAAGCATACACAGAGCAGTTTGGGTTCCGCGACAAAATTCGGTTGAATTGCAGGGTGGACAGTGTTGAATATCGCGACGGCAGTGAAGACGAAGGAGGGACAAAAGAGTGGCTCGTTGGATGCAAAACAGCGGGACACGAGAAGAGCTGCGTTATACAGACGAAGAAACTCATCCTCGCCACGGGGCTTACCTCGCAGCCGCACCTTCCTACATTCCCCGGCCAGGAATCTTTCGACGTGCCCCTGTTCCACTTCAAAGAACTCGCCCGTTGCCAGGAGGCACTCTTCGCCAAACCCAACAACGACATCACAGAAGACCAACACGAACATGGAGGCAGCCTTCCCAACAAAGCACAAGCACCAATAACAGTACTCGGCGGAAGCAAATCTGGGTGGGACGCCGTCTACGCATGCGCATCCAAGGGCCACCGCGTCAACTGGGTCATCAGAGCCTCTGGCACTGGACCCGGATGGATGAGCGCCGCCGCTGTTTTCTGGCCCCTCAACCTCCTCCTCGAGAGCCTCCCCCTCGTGCGTGCGTTGGGCTGGTTTAGCCCCTGCATCTGGGTGAGCGATCCGGTCCGCAAGTTCCTGCATGCGACGTGGCCCGGCCGGATGCTTGTGCGTCTGTTCTGGGCAACCCTGGAGTGGGATATGATCAAGGCGAATCGGTACAGCGACCACGAGGAGACGGTGAAGCTGAGACCCTGGGTGGGGTCAATGTGGGTTGCGACGGCGGTGGGGATCCTTAATTTCCCGAGTGATTTATTTAGCTTCATCCGAGAAGGACTGGTCAAGGTGCACATTGCCGATGTTGAGCGGCTGGAGCCTCACACAGTCGTTCTGTCCAACAATAACAGCAGCAATAGCAGCAGCAGCAGCAGCACAAGCGGTGGTGGCGACAGGCTGGACACGAGGGCACTCATCCTGTGCACGGGGTGGAGAGCATCCCCGGGCATTCGGTTCTTACCGGAAGGAATCGAACAAGAGCTGGGCTTGCCCTGGGCCGCGGACCCGATCAATCAGGCGCTGGTCAAGCAGGCGCGCAAAGACATATGCACGCGTCTGCCCATGCTCCGCTCCTTCCCCGAGAGCAAGGGCAGGGCCTACAGCGCAACGGACGACACCAATGAAGAAACTGTGCTACACCCGTTCCGCCTCGCGCGCTTCATTGTTCCCCCAGGGCTATGGGACGACCACAGCATCGCCTTCCTAGGGACCGTAACAACGTTCAATACCGCGATCGTGACCGAAGTTCAGGCCCTGTGGGCGCTTGTCTATCTTAACCACGGCCGTGAACTTAACTATTACCGTGCTCATCTTCAGGAAGAAGACAAGGAGGCGATGATCCGCGAGATAGCACTGCACACCGAATTCTGCGCCCTGCGGTCCCCAGCGGACAATGGCGCGCGGAACGCGGCCTTTGTTTTCGAAGTAATGCCGTATTTGGATCTCTTGCTGAGGGATCTGGGCTTGCGAACGGTGAGGAAGGGGTCGTGGTGGGCGAATTGGTTTGTTCGGCATCAGCCAAGGGATTATGCTGGGTTGGTAGAGGAATGGAAGGCGCGATTATTGCCCGAATCTCCGGAGGGGCATAAGATGAAGACTGCTTAGGGGCCTAGGCAGAGAGGACTTTGTACGGGGATGGTTCCGCGTTCTTTTTCACGGTAAACACTTTGGTGCGTTTCAATGACGGATGTTGGCAAGTTCATAGAATATAAATTTGTCAAGCCTAGACAAAGATCAGGTACTCCACACTAATTTATAACCAATTTACGAATCCAAAACAATCGCAGCCCCAAGTGCTGTAGCAACAATTCAAACCCCAAACACAGTCCCAATCCCATCCCATGCCGCCGAAGTGTTGTGATCTTGATATCACACTATTTCATACTTCCCACTCTTATAGCTATACCGTAAGATACGGGGTTGCAAGGCTGTGACAATATACCTTATGCATCTAAGTTGTTTTTACACGAGAGAGAGTCCCACCTCCTATCTCCTCTCCCTTCCATCTACCACTACCATGGGTTGTATTGGAGGCCTAAATAGCTTCAAAACTCTTTTTATCTTTTGTCCTGCTAGGCGTATCAGTTCCATCACTCTTCCCGGAAAGCACAGAATATATAGAAATTTATGTGTCAACTTTCCTAGTGTCACCGTGATAGCAACTTCAGACGACTGCATCGAGCTGCGATCTTGGAATAATGTCGAGCTCTGTGCTATGTAATGGGGGCCAGACAAAGGCCTTTGACAGAAATCTTCTGGTCGTGCTTGGTCGCGAGACGCCTGGTACTGTCTGAGATTCAGAATCCTTTTTTTTTAATGAGAATTGACCCAGTGGTTTACTACGAAAGCCGGGATGCGTTCGCAGGGTTCCGGCAGTCCTATCGTCAAAACTCTGAATTGCTATTGCGAAATACGTCCCAAGAGTATATCTTCTGTACGCTTCTTATGAGTGTACGAGGTTCGTCTCGAAGGCGTAACTTCTGTATGCTTTTAAATAGTTTTATAGATCACACAGCACGCTGCCAAAGCAACAGTGGGGCGCTTTCCCCGGTTAGGAACGCTATAGCAGATGCAGTAATTCATCGTCACTGCCCCATATGTACTACAATAATTGGTAGATCCAATAGTGAAACTTTGTGAATAGATTTGATTGGGTGATATGTAACAGCCCTTTGGTTCGGATAAGCAACTTGCATTAGTGCCGTTTAAATATCCAGTATGAGATCATGCTGGCTACGGACTGCAAAACTGGGGTTTTATAAATAATGCTGGAGTCTGTCAATTATATGAATTTAAGCAAACCCCCTTCCTTGCTGGCCAGGAATAAAACCATTTCGTACCACTTTATTGCAGTTCGCAGCAACAACCATGTCTCAACCAGTCCAAGGATATACGCATAACGGACCCGTCGACTGTTCCTTGCCTTTCGACACTAAGGATTTAAATGGAAAGACAGCAATCGTCACCGGAGGTAGAATCCCATCGGCGTAAGGTGTCATACTGGTCAATACCATTAACTCGAAACAGGTGCCAATGGTCTCGGTGAAGGCTACGTTCGCGCCCTCGTTGCTAAAGGGTATGCCACTCGGAACCTATACACAACAAGCGGCTAACACAGTACCTAGAGTCAATGTGTGTATCGCAGATCTGAATGAAGAAAAAGGAAAGAAACTAGAAGCAGAACTAAACGGGTAAATACAAACCCCAATCCCTACCGTGTGACAGCACCCATTAACGACCCACAAGCACGAAATACATCCAATGCAACACTAGCATCTGGGAAGACCAAGTGCATCTCTTCCGCGAAGCCGTCTCCTTTTCACCGACAGGAAAAATTCACTATGTCGTCGCCAATGCAGGAATCCACCGACCAGATGAAGTCTTCCTGTACTCCGGCGACGACCAAGAACCACAAAAGCCGGATCTAAGCACCATCGACGTGAACATCCAAGGCACATTATACACAGCCAAATTAGCCTCACACTTCTTCATCAAACAGAACGGACAGAAGCCCTCCCCAGAGCAAGAGGATACATGTTTGGTTCTCATTGGATCTGGTGCAGCCTTCCTCGACTGCCCTCGCGCGCCTCAGTACTGTGCCAGTAAATGGGCGATGCGAGGTATTATGCATTCTCTCCGTCGGACGGCGTTCTATTACGGGAGTCGAGTAAATATCATCTCCCCATGGTAAGTAGTCCCTATTGGAACAACTTGTGTGACTCGGTTATTGACATATGCGTAGGTATGTGAAAACAAACATTCTCTCTGAGGAAGCATTTGCCCATGTTTCTAGTCTGGGGGTGGTATTAGCCACGGTCGAAGATGCTGGACAGTGTCTCTTGCGGATTCTTAGCGATACGGGTATCAATGGACATTCTATCTTCGTTTCAGGGAGGAAATGGGCTGCTCAGGGCTATATGGACTTAGACCTAGAGGATTATGCGGGCAATGCGCTGATTCAGGAAATTCAGGAGGATCAAGTGAAATCGGCGCCGGCAGAGCTGGGATTGTTTGTGTGAGGACCGCAGTCCTGGAATCGTACTTAACTTCAGAATGAATCGATTAATCACAGTGTAATTTAGTGGACGTTATGCATTTGGGCAGGAAAGACATCTTAGTCCATTATGTACTTTCCATGGAGGAGGGAAACGCACAAATCAATATAGCAAAAGAGAAAAAGAAGGAGAGAACGTAGAGAAGGAAGAATATCTGGAGACAGAACACACAAGAAATCAATGTTGCTTCTTGCTAAGGCTCTCTGACGAAGAACGTGGTCGTACATCCGGTGTCTGATGCCTTGGATATTTGCCGAAACAAGACATTCGACGCCAGAGGAAGTCTAAAAATACTGGCAGACAGACCCACGTAAGCGAACCATTAACCACAAGCATGACATGGAACAAAACCAGGGCTAGCCACCCAAAGTTCTGCAACACAGCCACGCCAAGGTGGTAATCAGGTTGCATTAGTGCCGGGAGCTAAAAACCCTAAGCGACCTAGTCGTGTCACTCGGAGATAATGGGATAAATCATAAATCCGCGATGATCCAGTCATCCAACTCTCGGCAGATCTGCGGTATCCAAAGACTATAGGATATAGCTAGAACCGATGTCTTGTGGCTCTGTGGTTCTTGGTACGTTCCATGCTTCGTTCCCCGTCGGGTCTGCAATTTAGCCCGTCTTGATACTTTCTCTACGCAACTACTACTCTGGTTACGATTTCCAGGCCAGTCGGAGCAATTCAACTCTTTCAGGAAGGTTATACATGTATCGTTAAGCAAAATAGAATGTGATGAATCGCTGTTGAGAGGACCGAAACCAATCCGGTACAATTGTTGTCCGTGCTATCCTCGAAGGTTCTACTGTGTATCGATGCCTCTATGGCGCCAGAGTATCTGCCACAAATCGTAAAAGGCGACCCATCAGATAATCAACCTTAACCTATAAAGCATGATAAGCCATGCATAGCCACCAGCACTCTCAATCTATCATTAGGCAGCACCGATATCGATGAGATCAGCCAATACCGATGGACCATTCGGAAAGCACTTCCACTCTCTTGGCACCATATCTCCCCGCTCCGAGAGATCCGCAGCCACTGCAGGATGCGGCGCCAAGTCGGAGGCGAGGCTGTGCTCTCCACGGTTCTGCTTTCTAGGGCACAGGAGGAAGGTTCGGGGTGGTGCTGTCAGCGCAGCGGGTCTTGGGGATGACGAGTCTGTCTTGGCTTGCATAATGTATTGCGCTCGGTATATGGCAGATGCCCATAGGGTTTTATCCTGATGCCTGGATTAAGTGGGTCGGTTGTGGACTTGCCAAACGGTTGATTTGCGATTTTGTGGTGCTCGGTAGAAGCTTGGTATCACTATCGGTTCATTCTCATGGAATGCCGATTATAAATCCATTGGGACAAGAGGACCGCAGTGATGTAGTATATATAACTCTATGTGTAAGCTGTAGAGTTCGGGTGTCTTCAGTACCAAACAACAACTCTCGTTGTATCTAACCATGAAAATATATTCAGTCCTCTTGCTCTTCACACCTCTCTTGGTCCTCTTCGCGCATGTTCAAGGTGATTAGCATCCAAGCGGAGGGCTTCTGCCAGCGGTTATACTGATACGAACAGGGCACTCAATACGTTCCTTGCCATTACAAAAAGCGTCGCAACTCGAATCGATCGTCGTACATACACCGTCCCAACAGGCCGAACCCGAGTTTGATATCACGTTCAGAATTCGAGGACAAGATCATGATTTAAGGCTAAAACTAGAGCGAAACCCCTACCTTCTCGCACATCACCCTCAGATTCAGTATCTTGACACAGAAGGAGTAGTCAAACGGACTGAGCCGTTCATCGACGAAGATCACAGAGTGTTCAGAGGTGGAGTTTGGATTCAGGTCACCGGTCGGCATTGGAAAAAGGTTGGTTGGGCGAGGATATACATCGTTCGTGATGGAGATGATCCTCTATTTGAAGGTACATTTAGTGCCTTTTCCCAGTATTATGACGTTAGGATATCAAGGGAGATGGTTGGAAACACTGGTATGCCCGCTCACGATGGTCATATGGTTGCATATCACTCTTCGCGGGCAGATCTGCGTCGTGATATAGAAGGCTCAACCGAGCAGCCCCGTTGCGCAGCTGACCCGGCGATGCCACATTTCCTGAACCCTCGAGTGATAGGGGTTGAGGATGTCTCGCAAGGGTTGTTTCCTGATACATCTTCTACTTTGGACAGACGTCAGTCCACTTTGACTACAGACGATCTAGTCGATAGTATCGGCAATCCCACTGGATGTCCTACCAGCAGAAGAGTGGCTTTGGTCGGAATCGCAACGGACTGTACATATACTGCATCGTTCGACTCCACGGAAAGTCTCCGTCGGAGCCTTATCAATATGGTCAATACAGCATCAGAAGTATTTGAAAATACTTTCAACATATCTCTTGCTTTGCACAACTTGACAATCAGTGACGCGAATTGTCCGGGTAGTGCTTCGGATTCTGCACCCTGGAACGTTGGATGCTCTGACGGAGACATGAACTGGCGACTACAAGAATTTTCTTCCTGGCGGTCTTCCCTCAACGACAGGGAAAACGCCTATTGGACGCTCATGACCGGTTGTCCATCAGGTTCAGAGGTTGGTATTTCATGGATAGGTCAACTATGCAGCTCTCAGTCAAGCACGAATGTAGTAGCACAAACCTCCAACCAGTGGCAGGTATTCGCGTAAGTGTGTGAGCTGGAATACCATTTGAAATGGTCGCTGACATTTTCTATAGTCATGAATCGGGTCATACATTTGGTGCGGTTCACGACTGTGATTCGAGCGCATGCTCTTCTAGTACCCAGTGCTGCCCATTATCATCGTCCACGTGTGATGCGGATGCTCAGTACATAATGAACCCGTACTCGATGTCCTCCCAGACAGAATTCTCACCCTGTACAGTTGGGAATGTCTGCTCGTTACTAGGGTCTCGAAACATGAGAACCAGCTGTCTTCTAAGCGACACGAGCAACATACCCACTCTTACGGCTGGGGAATGCGGGAATGGGATTGTCGAGGAGGGTGAGGAGTGCGACTGCGGCGACAATTGTGATGATAACAGTTGTTGCGACGGATCAACATGTCGGTTTCGCGACGGTGCGGTCTGTGACGATTCCGCCGGGCCGTGCTGTACAAACTGCCAATTTGCATCGTCCGGCACCGTGTGTCGTGAAAGTACTGGAAGTTGCGATATTCAGGAAACCTGCACTGGAAACTCCAGTTCGTGTCCCACTGACAGATATGCGCCCGATGGACAAACCTGCGGCAACTCATCCGGTCTATTTTGTGCCAGCGGAGAATGTACCAACCGAAATAGGCAATGTCAACAGCTACTCAACACAAATAGCACGGGCGTGTCCTCGTGCAATAATGATTCCTGTACCCTCAGTTGCTCGGTTGACTGGTATGGATCCGGGGTTTGCATGGGCATGAACCGGCAGGTGCAAGATGGTACTCCCTGCTCTGATGGGTTCTGTCGAAGTGGGAGGTGTCGGTCTGACAGTGAGGATGGCAGCTCATGGGTGGATCGCCATCGCTCTCTGATCATTGGCCTGTCTGCAGGGATCGGTGGGGCCTTGGTCCTTGCAGTACTGGTGGGTATAATCATTTGCTGCTGCTGCCGTCGCAAGAAGGCTCCAAAGAAGGCCATTCCACCAGCAACACCGGTCACAGGGCAGGTTCCCCATGTACCTCCTCCATACTCCCCTGCCAGCCCTACCAGGTCTATACCGGCACCAAATTATCGGTATGCATGAATGATGTGATTTCTGGATACAAGAACAGATTACAAACTTTAGATTTACGATGAAATGTCAAAACCATTTGAACTTCATAACTTTGTCGTAATATGTCCCACATAGAGCATTCTATTGTAGCTGAAGGACATGCCTCCAGAGCAGAGGCTTCTCCCCTCTCCCCATTCTCCAACGATTGCTAGAAAGTAACAGTTCCGAACACCCCCGGAGCACCCAGCCCCACTTCCTCGCAAATCCTTCAGTAACCTCCCAGTTCTTCGGGTCGGAAGGTTCTCCCCACACGAGTAATGTGGCGCCCGTATTCCTAGTATCCCAGAAAGCCATCAAATCATGGCAAAGGTCGTCGTCGTCTAACGTATCCCCAGCTGCAATAAGATTATCTCGCATATGTGGGAAAGGGAAAAAGTCCAGCCAGGGATGATGCGGCACACTCCGCTGAATGTGTGTAGGGCGCAAGCTAAGCGGGATATTATCCTCCAGAAACCCGGGTTGGACAAGGTTGAAGATGGAGATGGAATCGTCGCTTTTGGTCCAGTCTGTGGTCATCCCTATCGCACATATATTCTGAATGATGGCTCGATGCACGTTCAGACGGCTAAGGCTGATCAAGTGTTCTATTTGGGGTGAACCACGGAGATAGCTTTCCCGGGCTGTGGCTTCAAACCATTGGCGGAACTGTAGTGCATATGGTGGGACATGGGAGCATTCCAGCTCCTCTGCTGTTTCCACCTGAGGTCTCTCGGATGAGCTTCGTAGTGTAATTTCTGCAGCGTCCGTAGAGGAGGACGTAGAAGGCGTATCTTCCAGTGTTTCAACCACTTTCCCCTTCCTCCTTAGACCTGATATGTGGGTTAGTGACTATGATGCTCTTCCCTCTACTCATGAAAAATCGGACTGCTTACGATATGCCCTCTGATTATGTCGATTCTGCAGTCGCCGTCGTTCCTTGCGATCTATAATTCCCGTCCAATCGTCTCCGGAGGCCCGCACCCAGGCCTGCTGGGGCATATGCTCTAGTCGAATAATAGAGGACCTTGTAGCCCCTTCGGCTTCTGTCAAATTATTCATTATGAAGGTAAACCTGCTGATCTATGCACGAAAAATGTGGATTGGTGAAGGAGAACAAGTGAGTAATGCAAGTTGCTGACCGTCCCAATTGATGTTCCCGTACTAATAGTTAAGTGGATGGAGGCGCCCTCTTGTTAAGGGTCCCACCCAAAAACTCTATCAAGCTCGATTCTACATTCTACTGGACAATCAATCAACGGCTTGCCACACTAATGCAAGTTGCTTACGCCGCTAGCCTTCTTGGGTTAGCCTCTATGATGGGCCCATCGATTACTATTGGTACGTAGTATCATTTCAAACCCTTCGGCCTCTGTACCGATGATCATTCCTGGCCCTAATCAGCAGTTGCCCATTCATACCCACCAAGACTTCAACCATTGTGCCACCACATCAACAGGGTCGCTACACAGAGCCTTTCGAGAAGTGGAGTAGCTTGTTTGCGCTATAACGATCTGTTTGCACTTTGTTATACATTTTGGTCCCGGGTACGGCACTATTGCGTGCATATTGGGCCGGTGAAGGGTAACGAGAATAATGACGTTTCTCGAAGCCCTTTGTGGTTTCTCAACCTTGTTTATATAGCTTTGTCTACCAGGATGCCCTCATTGTGCTGTGTCTTAATGCATACTTAAACTAGAACTGATGGGCTCTCGTTGTTTGAGTTGTTGAAGTGTTTACCGTATTTCAAGGATGTAGGGATTACCATACATACGTTGGGATATATATATTGAAGGGTGGGCATGCAGGGTAAAACTGACAAAAGCATGCACCGATAGCACTCGAGCGATTGTCCAGGTTTCATGCTGACAACACGAATCATTAAATCATTATCTCATTCTATTTCCTATGCCATCAACCTACCTTGGGCCGTACTTTATGGTGGGGTTTGGATCTCCCCACGGCCCACGTTGAGCAATTTAATAACGTGTGGGGCGATGTTCTTGTACTCCATAGCTTAAATTGAAAATGTATATTGAGATATAAGAACAATTTTAAGTCAACTGAATTTCATTATATATGATAGAAAGAAATAATACTAGAAGGTATGTATCGTATATAGGCAACTTTTGTAGTATGGTATGCTGACTCGTGGCTCAGATTTACGTGTCGTTATATATTAGACGTGATGAACTGGTCTAGAGTAGGTTGATTTAGCCGGCGCCTATAAATTATATTTGACTTAGCAAGCGCATGAGTCAAAAATTGGACTAGGCAAGTTCACTGTCTTAAGACTGATGCTTTCTCGTTCGCCGAAGTTAAGATATATCTGCTGCATCGGGAGAGGGCGAGAGGGCGATCGGCATACCGAGCCGCTCAATTTCCACGCCGGGGCGCCGGTACGGTCGCGATCGGGGAAAAATTGCTTATTTTAGATTAACGAGTGTATCGAGAGAAGCGTGAATGTTGAAAAAAGCATATTCCGTCGCGTGACAGCGACATCTGTGTAAATGTATATACTTCTAAACCTGAACTCCCCGGGCTAACTAGGACCCGACAAGATTGGAGTGGTGCCCTGGTGATAACAAACTGTGGAAGATCAAAAAGCATGATTTCTCTCCTCATTCTAGATGATCAGACCACCCCACCAAAATTGTCCAGGCCAAACAGCGGATCCAGTGGCAGTGAGAAATCTAGATAATCCGTGACCGCAGGGTGATGAGAATGATCGTTTTGCGCTGTCTCACCCTCGGAACGTCGCAGGTTGATCGGTTGGGGGCCGTCAAAACTTTGAATGATCGCGTCAATGTCGTAGATTGGGAGATCATACTGGAGGTCATAGTCTAAGTCAGATGGTTGGTTTTGTTCTTGAAAGAGTCCTGCGTGGTGGCTAGCAAGATGTCCTGGGTTTCGCAGACCGTCCCCTTGGTAGGTCACCTGCGCAATAGGTTCATTTTGACTGGAGGCCGTGGCAGTCGAATCGTCAATATCAATGTTCATCACTTTGATTAAGTTCAGTATAACCCCTAAGGCACGCTTCGGTCCTAGATATAACCGTTGATGCTCCCTCAAAATTGAGAGGCAATTATGAAGACAGTCATGGACATGAGAGCCTGCAGGGCTATGTGCAGCCATGCGAGCGTGAATAGTGGCGCTTACGTAGGTAGCATAAGATATACTGTACGGCGCTAGTTGCATCGAAAATGACTTCCTATAAGTACCGAGCGTGACATGTATCGCGTTAGCGGCAGTCGCACATGCCTCGAAGGCTATGCCTGCAACTGATGGTGATGCGCTTCGCAGATGTCCGTCCGACACAAATGGACGATGGAGCAGGATCTTCAAGGTATGGTATAACGCACTACATAGTGTGAGCGGGCGCCATACATGCAAGTAGCAGTCAAATGTTCCGGTACTTACGTCAACGCTAGAATGTGTGGGGATGCGATGGCTATGGAGGAACCCGTCGTTCTAGAAGTGAGGCCTGAAGTAAGCTCCTCATACCATGACTGTAATTTGTGGTTTAAAGACGTTGAGCATTCGAAGAGGATAACTGGATCCCTTGAAGTACTGCGCTCCGTATATAAGGTGTCCAGGATGCGGGACATGATGCTGGACAGAGAACAGTATCTTTTCAAGATCGAGACCGAATGTGCCGGAACAGGTGGCAGTCCTATGGAGTCTCCGTAGGATGCGGGATCAAATAGATCATACTCCTCGTATTCATCTAGGAAACTTAAAGGGATTGCCGAATCTGTCTCTCGCAGCCGGATCGGCCTTCCTTGGTAGAGCGACTGACACTTATCAAGAACTATGTCCATCAGCGTTTACTCTACGGACCAAACTTGTGGGGGGGAGGCTTTACCGTAAGCACCCCAAAAGACTCTTCTCCGAACTTCAGCTTCCTCAGGGGATAGACTGTGGCCCTTTTGATAATTTCCATTATCCACCTGGATGCCCAAGTCCGTTATCATATTGATAGCCATACCAGAATAGAGCCAAGCCAGGCTTTTTTCGTCACACCAACTAAACAAAGAAGACGCCACTAAAAGCAATGCTTGTATAGTGGCGATCTCGCTCCGGGTAATATGGTCGCTAAGCAGTTGCGTGATCCTTCGCCGAAACATTCGTCCAACAGACAGTGGATCACTTCTATCATCTCGCACCTCTAGGCGGGGCGAATATTTCGAGGCTGTAAAGTATATCGCGTTCAAAAGAAGCTTAGAAAAATATGGCCCAGAGCATGCCATATCCTTCATGAAGAGTGGTCGATAGACGACCGCACCTACGTCTAATTGACGATCCCAGTACAATGACAGAAGGTGCATAGCCAATTCCGGATTGAGGCCGTCAAAATCGTACCTGTTAGTGTTGAAGTTGAACCTTTCAAGCTGGCCTAGTGTTGTAAAATCAGTCTCATTTGCGTCAATGTGAGAACCACATCACGTACGTAATCGGGCAGCGCTCGCCACTAACTGATTTCTGGTAGTGTCTGGCTCCTCCTGTTGCTGAGAACGCCCTCGTTTCCTCATATCGCGATTAGAAGTTATCTCATCGGCCACAGCGCTTGTCGGGCCATGTGATCGCTCGACAGTGTCAAACGTAGCAGTCCGTTCCGTGATTCGAAAATCATGACTGTCCATCTGCGAGCATACCGGCCCGTGGCCGACACTCGCATCAGTCCTTACTGTTGGGGGGTATATCGGATCATGGTGTCGTGACTGAAAAGCCACAGTAGCAGACCGTATTTTGTCTCCATGTTGTAAATCAACCTGTTGCTTCAGGATAGCTATAGCATCAGTAAGACGCTGATTCTCCTCTTCCAAACGCGTGATGCGGGCTTTGGATGGCCTAGACCGTTAGGTCAGATACATTTTAGGTCGTCTGGGGTTTCGCACAACCGTACCGTGGAATCTTCGCTTGTTCAATGTATGTACACTCTTTTCCGCGAGCGTGACAATGCTGGCATTTCGGGCGACCGTTGCTGCATTTTAGCTTCGGTATAATCCTCGTTAGCTACTTTGTTGTATCATAGATTGGCACCGCGTACGCCGACCTTTTTCTGACGACAATATTCACAGGCAATTGCGGCCCGCCGTTTTTGTTTCACTCTCGTTGGGGGTGAGTTGCCGGGCATCATCGAGATAAATTCCTGGAAAGATGGGGTGGTTAGATTGGAACAGAGAGTAAGCAAGCATCATGTCACGAAGTCAAAAGGCAAAGCCGCCGTATCTTATCTTATCTTATAATCTGGGTTCATTCCTTTTCGGGTAAGACCCGGAATGGAACTATCCGTTAATTTAATCCTCCCGTGATTTGGACGCGCCTCGATTACCAATACTGCCATAGCTCCAGTTTGTGCCAGAGTGTTGGAGTCGGCTTTGTGAATAATAGTTACTGGGATCTGGGAAAATAAATGATTTACATATTCCCTTTCGTGAAGCAAGTACTGTGAAATACTTGAGCTTAACATTGGACCTTGGCGTCTCTTCAAGTGTAGTATTGTAATATACTGATGATAGCGACTAATTCGTTGGAATGGTGAGGGCTTCTGCCATTCGATAGTAGTGTAGGTCGATAAGGCCTTCAGGCGATCTTCAGCCTCGCTTCGTCGCGCGACGCTAAATGGCCTCTTCTAGATATACCTGAAGAAAAAGATATTCAACCAATTGAAATCAATGGGATTATGAATGGCATTACTATTTCTCTAAATAGGCATAATCAGTGAATCACGCAGGTGTGCTAAATTCCTCTTATATTCGGGTAAACCTCCAGAGATGCCGCTAATCACAATGAGCAACATGCCAACTACGTCCTCAACGATATTTGCATTAAAGCTAAAGTTATGGCTAATACTTATATTAACCAACAGAGTTGATGAGCTCTCTCGAGATGGTGTATGGGATCTTCCTCCCTTGGTGATCTATCCTAGTTTATTTTTCAGAATAATCCCACTTTTGATCCGGTGCAGCTCTAGAAGCAGATATTTCCGTATTACCGTTGATCTCTTACTGGTAGTTGATGTTGATATTTTGACTAAATCAATTCTTATTCATCCAAACTTGTTGTTCAATCTTTCCTTTCATGTTTTGTGATTACTTCTCTTGATTTCTTCCTCGCCGGGTATACTATATATTGTCTTCGTAATATGCTGTATTATCTTTTCAGGCGGTTTCATTTACCGCCGGGATAAGTTATTACGATATTTTGTTCTTACCAGAATCTCGCGTGGGAACGAGATTAGAATTGGTAAACCAGGACGGCGACCTTGACTTTTGAAGGTATATAGAATTGAAGACCAGTCTTTTCATCTTCACAGTAGATCTTTATTCACTATTGCAAGGGGTAGAGTGTACAGATTCGACATGGCCTAAAGCCAAGGACCACATTTCGAACAGTTGCATTCTCCAAGCAAAATCAAAGTCGTCTTCTATTTGATGTGATAGGCATCAAATCCTGCCGGCAAGAGACGTCCCGATGCCAGTCCAGGTGACCAATAGGAAGGCTTACTGCTCGATTCGGTATGTAAGCGACCGGGTAGTTTCATTCCGATAGTATACTCAACAATTAATATTTAATGAGATAGAAAGCGACACGATCTTCTTTACATTTCATGATTCGCATTACAATAGAGTGGTGGAATCAACAGTTTCATTTTTGACATTCACATACCAGCACGATGCAGTCCATACTTCAATATCGACGATTCGGGCATCTTGCTGAAAACCACCTTGCAACAGACCCCGAGAAAGGTATCAGAGCATGGCAACAACCGACTTTCAGAAGGATAAAACACTTCTCAGCAAATGAAACTGATCCAAAGGACTCTTTATCGGGTGATGAAATGTCCGTGGCCTCAAGCCAAAATACACTGCCCCATCCCGACCAGCACAACCAAACGCACGACGACGAAAAAGCCTCCATAAGCCCAAGTATGGGTCGCTTGAATGCGAGTGTTACAACCAAAGCAAGTGAAGGTGATAATTCAGATATTACCAAAGCGAGTGTTGTTGGATTTGAGCCGACATGTGACCCCATGAACCCACGCGATTGGACCTTCGGCAAGCGACTAATCGTCACCATCGTGGTTTCATTCATGGGCGTCATTGTAGGGTGGTCTTCGTCCATTGATTCGGGAATTATACCACAGTACGCAGAGGAATTCGGTGTAAGCGAAGTGGTGGCGTCTTTGTCTACAGGTGTGTTTCAACGCTCGTCCATCTTGGATTCAAAATTGACAGGGGATCATTAGGTCTGTTCTTGGTGGGATTTGGAACGGGGGCAGTGATGAGCGGCCCGTTCTCCGAAACTGTTGGGAGGAATCCCATTTATATTATCACCTTGATTGTGTTCATGCTCCTGCTAGTAGGGGCTGGGTTGGCTCAAAATCTCGCTGGACAGTTGGTATGTCGAACATTGGCTGGGATTTTCGCTGCGACACCACTCGCATGTGCTGGCGGTACTATTGCCGATGTTTGGACACCTGAAGAACAAGTATTTGCCTTTCCAATTTATGCCATCATCTCTTTCTCAGGCCCCGTACTAGGGCCCGTGGTCGGGGGCTGGATCGGACAGTCGAACCTCAGCTGGCGATGGACCGAGTGGGTGACTTTAATCGGAGCAGGGATCATCCTTATTACTGTGATCTTGTTTCAACCTGAAACATACGCGCCTATATTGTTGAAATGGAAAGCAATGCACCTTCGCCGCGTGACTGGAGACGACCGATACCGAGCAGAGATCGAGCTCAGAGAGACATCGCTACCTGCAAGATTGATGCTAGCGATGTATCGACCAGTGGTAATGCTCGTCCAAGAGCCCACCATCTTCCTTTTTTCCTTATACCTGACGGTAGCATACATCATAATTTTCACCTTCTTTACCGGCTACGAATTCATCTACGAAGGCATCTATGGTTTAACCCAAGGCGAAACAGCTCTCTGCTTCCTGGGCCTAGCCATTGGCCTCCTCTTTTGCGTCCCTCTAATCCCACTGAACGCAAAGCTACGCGCCCGCGATATCACACGCACCAAAGAAACTGATCCTGTTGGAAAGACACTTCCAGAAAGCCGTTTATATTGGGCAATGATCGGCGCCCCAGCCCTCCCCATCTCAATGTTCTGGATGGCTTGGACCGCACGGCCGGATATACCGTTCTGGTCACCACTGGCAGCGTCAGTGTTGACCGGATTCGGTATGCTATGCATTTTTATCACCTGCTATCAATATCTGATTGACACGTATGGGACATATGCGGCAAGTGCTTTGTCGAGTTTGACGTTGATGCGGTATTTGGTTTCGGGGGCTATGATTGAGGTGTCTATTCCGTTTTATAAGAATTTGGGGGTGCCATATACGCTTACTATTCTGGGGTGTATTAGTGCTGTTCTTGTGCCGATTCCGTATGTTTTCTACAGGTACGGGCCAGATATTCGGAGGAGAAGTAGGTATGGTGGGAATGGTTGTTAGTATGAGAATACATTAGAGAAATGAGAAACGATCTGTTTAGCCTTGATGCTTCATTTCGATGTGTTCTAGGTATTCTTATTGCGTATGATGTAGCAGGGTAGTACCTTTCGATGCTTTTTCTTTCCTCTCTTCCATTTTCTTCAATTATGAGAAATAGAGATCGAGAGATGCAGAGACTAGCAGGAAAGACTATCCTTGATTTCCTCACCTTCCCGAGAAGACCCACAGGAAATGGGGGGGGGGGGTGCTTGAGAGTTCTGGGATGGGGAATAATTTTCTCTAGCGTATACATATTGGATATACTAAGCATAAGGCCCCTGACACTCATGAATCATGAGAACTGGTAGTAGACACAATGCCGGCTTACGTGTCTAGCTGACTGGGTCCGGGGGAAAAGCCCCGAGTGGATTAAAAGTTAGGGCAAGCGAGCGACAGACTGACGATAGTTTCCGTGAACGTCGAGCGGGGTTTGTACCTTTAATTAATTTTAATCTACTTAGTGCTTCGGCCACTAACCGGAATGAATTTTCCACCGTCCTACCGCAACCCTAAGACCAGTGGCTATGCCGCTATGGATGGGACATCGTTGCCCAGTTGAGAAAGTCTCCTGTTGATCTGAACCCCATGCACATCGTGCAGAATTATACCGAGTTCCCCGGCCGGAGGTAAAGTGGATTCTTTTTGCCAAACTAGTTGGTATCTTGATTGTTCTTAGCTTGTATAACATACGGCCAAAACATAAAGGGATTGGATGCATTCTATCGGCGGAACGGGTTTCGAGTCAATATGGACCGAAGCCTTCTTAAAACGTATGCAGGGGAAAGGTGCATATGGCGTGATTGTTTCGCATGCTATATTTAAATTCATAGCATCGTTACCTGGTTGCATCTCACCCTTCTCTAATTATCTGTAGAGCTATTGTCTTTGGTTATTTGATTTTCACTAGCGATTGCTTATGGGCTGCATAATGCTCTTTCCTACACTTGCCGTCGCGGTAGCCTTTGCTAGAGGCACTCTGGCTTTGCCGACTGGCGATGATGCACCATTCCTAAAGGTCGTCAGTTCGACCGAGGCCATTCTAGGTAACTCGATCTGGAATGCGACTGTGGGTGCGAGCGTCGTCAAGCCTATATACTACCAAGGCAAGGAGATCGTCGGTGATGCCAAAGGCCAGTATTATTCCTACGTGGATCAAAGTGAATCCTTCAATTTCTCGAACGCGACCATCGTGGATTCAGGCGACGATTTTATCGATGTTCAATTTACGACCTCAGAGGGTGACCAGCATTGGGTAATTTACCGCGACCAGCACGGCGCATACCAATACTTTATTAACAAAGATCTTCCGTCGCCTTTGGGCGAGTGGCGAAGCCTGTCACGCCTCGACAATGCGACTTTCACAAATGGCTACACGACATACAGACAAGGCGCTTTGCCAGAGCTGTCCGAGATTGAATCCGGGGAGAAGGTCCAAGATGAGACGTACAAACTATCGGATGGCAGCTATATCACCAAGTACGATTGGAGTGACTTCATCAATTCGGCCAAGGCTTGGGGTGTATACGGCGACGGGATTGGTTGCTGGTATATCCACCCGTCTAAGGAGTACATCAACGGAGACCACCTGAAGCAAGAGCTTATGGTGCACCGCGAAAGTAATACCGGCGACACAGTGTTGTTGAACATGATTCATGGGCTACACTTTCTTACCGGAGAAGAACACGAGTTCGCCGAAGGAAGGGTATGGGGTCCTTGGCTCTGGTACCTCAACAATGGCTCGGTCGAGGATGCGAATGCGAAATATGATGAAGAGGTCAAATCCTGGCCCTACAGCTTCCCCAACGCCGATATTGAAGCAGGTCATCATCAGCGCGCATCCTCCGTGAATGGTATCATTACATTGTCAGACGGTCGAGCTGCTTCAGGAGCCAGCGTTATGCTTGGAGATAATGAAAGTGGGCAGCTTCCAGTGGAGCAGGGCGCAAACTACTACTACAGGACAACCGCCGACAGTGACGGAAGCTTTTCATTTGAGAATGTCCGTGCGTCAACCTACGCTCTCTATGCGTGGCCCGGCAACAATTCCGATATTGGCGATGTATCCACCAACCTGACAGCCAACGGCATTGAGATTTCCGAGTCTACCTCTGCCATCAATTTAGGCGAATACACCTGGGATACACAGAACCGGACCAAGATCTGGCAGATTGGTACGCTTGACCGTCTCGCTTGTGGTTTCAAAGACGGCTGCAGCGGGTACCACCACGGTCTATCGGATGAGTCTCCGGCGGACCTTGAGTACACCATTAACAGCTCGGAGACCTCGGACTGGTCTTACGCCCAGACGGCTGAGGGAACATGGCAGGTCAAGTTCGAGCTCTCTGATGATCCGGCATCCGATGCGGTTGCTGTTTTATCAACCAGCCTGGCAGGTTACAGCTCGGGAGTAAACATAGAGATTACTGCTCAAGGGGGTAATGTGACCGTCGGCGAGCTCAGTGACCTCACAAATGACGCTTCTGTATATCGAAGCTCGACATTTTGCGGCGTTCACCGATATGAGGAGTTTGAAGTACCCGCTGGAACGTTGGCGAAGGGCTCGAACACGATCGAATTTACCGTTACAAAAACATCTCAGTGGCATGGCTTTATGTGGGACAGTATTTTGCTAGAGTGGTCATGAGACAATTGGAGTCGGCGTTTGTATATGTACATCCCTTTAAATCCCCAACTTACTGGTTATTCGCAAATACCTTAAATGTTACATAGACAGGGGCATTGAGCCTGTATGTGCGCTGGTGATGCTCTCACTCTTTACCAATTTATATGAGGTTGGGTTTGCAATATTGTCATACAATCTTAGTTTGTCAATGTGGGCACATTTTCATTTTAATTTGCATTGGTTTGCCTATTTCATTTCGGTCGTGTGCATTCATAGGTATGCTTTGTATCAAAACCATTCTCTATCAGCCCAGTAATGCCGTCCTGGCTCGGATACCGATATTGATGATCACTATCACAAGCCGAGGTCTTTCTCATACTGCTTCCACTTCGTTCCAATCGGCTGAATAAGGGTATAGCTTCGCGAACTCTCATTCATGCTTTGCACCCCATTGATTAAATAAAGTGGCGTCATCTCACCATCGTCACTAAAGAAAATCTTCGGTCTCTCGCGGCGCTTGAGGGTCTCAACCGACCCATCGGTATATGTAACAGTAGAGTTGAAAGCCTCCTGCAACTTGAAATACCAAGGCCCAGTTATATCGCGTGCATACATATGGGCACCAACACGCGGCCATTTCTGCCCATCATGTTCAACAATATCGATCATCCAGTGCGTCAAGGTATGCCAGTTCCCCCGCTTGTCGCGCCAGAAGAACGGGTCCTCGGTCCATGTGGGGCTATACCTGGTTGTGTTCCATTGCTGCGTGTACATCAACTTGTATTCGCCGTCCCATCTATCTGCAACGAAGATTGCATTTCCCTCCACTCCCATTATAATCTGGCTGGTTGGGTCGTCTGGTGTCCAAAGTGGCCATGGTGCAGGATTCGTCGATTGTGGTTCTTCAGAGTCCAGAATCATTTGAAACGGGGTCCAAGGCCCTCGAATGCTATCAGAGCTGGCGACGGAGATGTTGTTCGGCCACCGTGTGTAAGATATGCTTTGGCATTTCTCCGGCTTCGGGGCATCAACGCCGATGGTATACAAGAGATACTTATTATCTGCTGGACTGAAGAAAACATAAGGGTTATGGCGAAAGGCCGGAGCCACCGTGTCGGCGAAATGGTATGGGCCCTGCGGTCCAGTCCGAGATTCGGCCCTCATGATAAAGGAATGCGGTCTCCATCCACTCAGTCCACAGCCGTAGCTGAACTGAGACGCAAACAGATGGAATAGGGTAGGATCGGCTGGATCCTGCAAGATCTGTCCACCCCAGGAGGAGTTGCCATACTTGCCGTAGTAGCTTGGGTCTGTAACATTTGTGTAGTTGTAACCTGTATACCTAGTAGCCGGAGCGAGATCCAGCCTGCCGCAGTCTTCACCAAACCAGCCATGGTCACATTTACATATTTTGCTTGCAGTGCCGCGACCATCATCGTTATTGGTACCATCGGTGCTGTCAATGCAGATGCCATTGAGGCTGCAATCCTCATCGGTTTCACAGGCCCGGGCGAGGCTGAGGGAAGCTAGCCCTAGATACGCGATATGCAAAATACGCATGGAGAAACTTGATACCACGTGGTCGACAACCGCAGTATGTAGAATGGATGCGTGTATAGACCTTTGCCGTACAGCTATAACTTATTCCTTAAGGTTTTAACCGCGGCATTGTGGTGCGTTAAGATGAGAAACCCCGCTTTGTCGTCTTTTCGGGATAGAAGATACCGACGGATAAATTGCGATTTCAAACCCTTGCTCGCTTGGCTTGCATATGAACCTCTTAAGCTTCTTGCGGCGTTCCGAATTGCAAACCTTCGCCTGTTGTGGGCTAAATCATATATATGCCGCCGAAGAAGCGTTCATATAACGGTGGGGTGGTAGGGAAAGGCAGCCTTCTTAACTCTGATCAGCTATGATGATCTTCACACCCAGCGAGCGGCTTAGATAGAGCATATTTGAGCCCCAAATAACTAACTAAATAGACACTTCCAGACCTTTGAGAGGATGGAAAACCTTCAAAGGAAAAGAGAATGAATCGCCGTGAATAGTTCAAGTCCAGGAAGCAAGGGTGGATATATGCCCAAGTACATACATCTATTTTGTTTTTCTTTTTTTTTCCCTGGCAGGTTGAGCTGTATTATAAACTACTCCGCTTGTAATAGAGCTCCCTTAGTGTCTTTTTAAGTACATCACAGAATGTTAACGGGATCTAAATCAAGCGTATAGGGTGGCTAATCTAGAATCTATGGACTATGTCTTTCACACCACCATTATATCTGCCTAAAGATACCGATTTGTTTTGCCAAGTGTTGCATCACTCTTGACCAACTTTTGTAGCTCTCCAATGTCCTAATCGTAGTTTGTATTCAGTCCGAACTCTCGCGCAGCATCAAGGTCAGCAGAGGCCTTATCCAGCTTTGCCTGCATCCTTTCCACGCAATCCGGACCCAGTGGCAATCTCAGAATCTTCCCCTTGAGCGTACCAGCGGCGCCTTCTCCAGTGACGACTTCAAAAATCCTAGCAACCGCCTTCTCAGGATCTCCCGGTTGTTTGCCCTGTGCTGACTCGAACTTGCCTAGCATAGTATCCACGGGTCCACCTTTATAGGGTTCGCTAAGTCCGCTCTCATTCCTCTGAACCGCCGACAGGAAATTCGTACGGAAGGCACCGGGTTCAACCACAAGAACCGAAATATTAAAGGGCGCAAGTTCACAAGCCAACGACTCAGATAGACCTTCCAGAGCGAACTTGCTTGCAGAATACAACCCGCAAGAAGGAAGAGCATCTTGACCAGCGATGCTACTAATGTTCACGATCGTGCCGCTCCGGTTGCCGCGCATACTGGGGAGTACTGCACGGATTACTCGAAGCGGTCCGAAGAAGTTAGTCTCCATCTGGAGTGCACACTCTTTGTCACTGTAATCGATCATTAGTCTATTGGCCTTTGTCGAGTGGATTGACGCCTTACTTCAGATCCTCCACGGCGCCTAATAATGAGTACCCCGCATTGTTTACTAATACATCGATTTTCCCGTAAAAGCTCTCAGCCTTTTTAACTGCCTCGGGGATGGCATCGGCTTGGGTGACGTCTAGTTCCACAATCTTCCCGCCCTTATCCTGAATTGCCTGGACTGCATCTGTCGACTTGGATGCGTTCCGAACGGTTCCGATGACTTGATGTCCGGCTGCCAATGCATACAGCGAGAGGGATAGACCGAGTCCTGATGAAGCTCCGGTGATGAACCAGACTAGTGATGCCATAGTGCCAATAATATGGTTTGATAGCGAGTGTAGTATGAGAATTGTTGCGGTTGGTTGTGGTGGATGTAAATATAGGAGCAAGGAGCCTTTAAATATAAGAGGCGTGAAGATAGTATGCGGAGATAACGGAGAATAGCGGTTGTAGGTCGGGGTTAAGGAAGATATTGTTTTCTCACGTAAGACGATAAACAGATATCGTCAACCAGTCAACTAATGGCCATTACTTCCCTGTACTCATACTGGAGGCCAAGGTCATGTGATTTCATCTCTATATAAAGCCAGTTCCCATCCCGCTCTCGGAATCTTTCGGGAAGTAGCGAAATTACTCTTGGATTGTCTAAAGACTGTGCTCCGTCACTACGTGCTTGATACATTAGGAGTTTACTTGGGTAAACCCTCGTCTTCTCAGAGGCTTAAACGAAGAAATTCGATTGAGTCAAGATTCCTCAACGCTAATACTGGATTGGCTTATGGAGACGATCTTATCTTTACTGCTTATAATGAGATTTTCCGGTGATCACTAACGTGGCGAAGCTGCTGTGGCGCAGTCGCAATGCCTACAGAAAGCGCAATGACTCCACGCTCCAAAGCCAAGATTCTACATTCTATTTCGCTCGAGATTTCGCACCATATGTGTCCGATCGTTATTTACCCAGCGCAGATCAGTGCCCGCTACTTGTTCGTTGAGCCGCGAGTGACCCATCACATTGGGGTGAATACGAGAGCCGAGAAATGGGGCACAGCGTACCCACGGGTAGTGGACAGGGGGAAATAAATATAAGACAGAGAGGGCATCAGTACAATTTGTGGAAGGCATTGTTGCCATACTTAGCTGAACATACTAATCATGATAGTATTTCAAACGGCCCTTATTTTATTGTCTAGTCTCTTAGCGGGTCCCGTGGCAGCATCGAAATATGCTACGAGACTGGACACGACAGCGTCAAACGTCGGCCCGCTCACGACACGCTTTACTCCTCCAGCTTCATGTTCCGATATCCGCACGAGAGTCTTCTACGAAATTCCCAAGCTCGAAATGGGATGTGAAGGGCCCGGGGGAGATGAGTGTTGCCCTCCTAACTGGCGAGAAGATGTTTACTATAGTCCGGGAATGTGCCCGGCAGGGTACCAAACTTGTACACTGCCAACTTCCAAACAACGCCTCGAGACGACTGCCATGTGCTGTCCGGAGTAAGTTCAAAGATTTGGTGTTGTTTAATCTATTTCCATGGTACTCATGGGGGGGGTATAGTAATTTCGCCTGCAACGGTCAAGGCCGCTGTACTCGCCCGTTGAACACTATGGTTCCCCTTACCATGACCGGCGCCACAACTACCACCACTCGAACGGCATACGCCATAACGGCAACCCCCATCCAAATCCGCTTTAGAGCTGCCGAATCGACGATCGTGCCCATCCCGACGGCTTCTTTAAAGCTTCCGAGAGGATATCTGTACAAGCGCGAAAAAGTGGGTATCGGTATTGGAGTTTCGGCTGCCGTTATTGGATTCGCGATTGGTATATACTTCTGCTGCTGCTCTGGTAAGAAACGAAGAACGATGGCTAGGGTACCGACGACTCCTCCGCCAGAGGACAATATTACCGCCGACACTCCTGATGTTCCTCCGCCTGCCTATCCAGGGCCGAGTGATGGGTTGGGCACAGCGGCGCCAGTTCCAGGCAGCAGCACTGACAACTGGCCCATGGGGGGACGGAAGTAGCTCGCAGGATACCTAAATTGAAGTCTATCACATATTTTGGTTTTGGCATACACTTCGCACATAAGCAGTAAAACACTTGGGAGACAACCTCGAGGCCACCAGGGCTCCACCTCTGCCTCTTGGCAATCTCGTATTTTGGCCACTCGATCTTCAAATCGACTAAGATCGTCAATCTTGCAACAAATAATATTGAATATTCTCCGGTCACTTAACTTTTACTTTACTTGGAATCTGGCTAGTGTGAGCACATGACATGCGAAGATCGATTCTCTTTAACCAACACAGTATAGGTCTTGGAACGAACAACATACTTAAATATGCGGAGTATATATTGCCCTCCTCGGAATGTTCTCAACCTACCAAAAGCCAAAGTTGTCTACGATGCGATCCTTCCTGCAATACTATCGCAGAATGACGATAGGACACTCGTCAGGATCAGCCGAGAACCAAAGATATGTCCTTCAGGTCCAGTTTCTCCCACTCTTCTTTTCTAACATATCCACAGCCCAGACGGTATGCAATTGCTTCTTTCCACACCACCCACAGCACTTGGTATCTTTCCTCCGTTTTAATAGTATGATCTGTTTGCCTCTCAATAGTCCGGTACGCAGCATATCGTTTCGACCGATAAATAGCGACCAGATCAACGGGTCGCCCTGGCACACTATCGGATTCAGGGAATGGCTCTTCCCGATCGTAACTCCTTAATTCTCCAACAATATTCCCGGACTCGTTGTAGATATATGGGGTATACCCGAAACGATCTTTATAGTTCAGCCGGAGCCATAGGCATGCTGATTTTGTTTGGCAGAAGATGTATGGGGTTTGCTTTGGAAGACACGTAGGTGTGGACTCGTGGATTTCGGTAACTGGGAACGGATAGTACCAATTCCCAGGCAGACTACGATGCGTGAAAAAGGCATCACCACATCCGTCAGGGAAGGCATACGGTTCTCCGCCTCCTGCATCAGATGGTTGTCCTTCATGTCGAGTCCAGCCTTCGGGAAGAGGTCGGGTAAAGTCTTTGAACTCATCGCGTTGTGTAAACCAAGTAGAATAGATCCGTCGCAATCCGTTTTTATCTGGATTGGCATTCGAACTGGTGTACCATTCGGTTATGGGGAACGTCTCTTGTTCAGAAGGAGTGTTAGTGATACGAGGGTTGTCTGATTGTATCAACCCATAGTGACCTTGCCATCCTACCCATGACCAGGATGGTAAATTTGCATTGGATAGATGACTGCCTTGAACATGCCCAGATGGAATCCGCCGCCTGAGTCCCAATGTTACCCCATCCTAGAGCCCGGTCGAAGAACATTTCAGGAAGACCGTAAAGAAACCCACCAGCAAATGTCCGACTTAAAATAGAAAGCACACCAGATATAGCAGGTAAAGAATCTCCATCGTACTTCAACTGTCGATTGTTAAATCTAGTGACGATAGCTGATAATGCCCTAAGATCTGCAAAGTTGTATACGAATGTTGTTAATGGCCACTCTGGTTCCCTATTAAGCTCTGCTCCAAGGATCATATCTTCATGCCACATACTGCACTGGCACTTCCAATGCAGCTCCTTGCAGCTGAACCAGAGCCTTCGCTGGGCCATCATAAATTCTTGATAGGTCCAGCCACGTGTATGATATGCACCACCCCACATTGAAAACGCGTCTGTACTCCTCGCAAAAACCATTTCATCACCAAATCGAATGAACTTTTGTTTCAGCCCTCGGGGGTTTGATATACCTTTGAGCCCTGGAAAGCCTCCCCAGGCATCATGGTCCAAAGAAATAATTGTAATAATAGCACTCGCATAAATTGCGCCCATAGAGCTGAGTTGCGATTCTGTTTCTGCAGTATGGCCATGAATGATACAAAGTGCATCAACCCATAGATATCGTTCTTCAAGAGCTGATGTCAAATACATTGCATGGCGAATGATTGGAGGCAGTTGGTCTGAAGCATGCAAGCTCTTCAAGATACCTGGCCTTTGAAGTACTTTCAGATGATTCTTACTAGCTTGGAACCCTGTCCTTTCTCCCCATCTATAACTCAGTGCTATAAAGGGGGCAGGGTCGCCATTAGTTTTCAGACACCTTTTGCCAGGCAAAATACAATTTTGCTGGACATCAATAAGCCATGCAGGCTGGGTTGGTCGAATTCGCATGGGATTATGACATTTAGGACCGTGGAATGACAAGCACATCTCCTTCCATTGCTTGGCCTTATCAATGTCAATCCAGTCCGGGTCCAAGACACACCCATTTCCAATGTGTTGCGTGACAGTGTCTTGTTTGACGAGTAAATAATCTGTTGAGTTGAAGACAAGCTTGGCATTCCCAAACCTCAAGCTCATATCGGTGTCTTTTATAATTTGTATGTCCCATGGAGGGTCCTGGGTTATTGCTCTTTGCTGCGCAACGATTGAATTTTTTCTCAGTAATTCTCCATGTCTAGGGCATTGAAAAACTCTCTCGTCACTAGCAGACCCTAAATGGGCAAATGTAGGATTGTGACTGGTAGACACGCGCCAGATTTTCTGGCAGATCTTACAATCGGAGAATCCGCTTGGTATTTTCATATGATGGTGCCGTGGCTCTGGTACCCAATATCGGACGTACATCACAAGGAGTGGAAATGTGTAGAAGACAAACCTCCACAAAGCATAAATGCAGACCAGATCTGTCACAAAAAGTATAGGGAAGCTATTCTTATTCCATTGTGGGGACCTAAGCAGTAGCCAGGCCCAGGATGCACACAATATGCCAAGAAACCCTCCCTTCAGCATTGACGTTGGGCGCATGGTGTCAGCGTCGACTGAAGTATCGAGATTTACAGCAAGCTCCTCGCGTATCTTCGGGCTTAAAGAAGGTTCATACTATGTAATGTATTCGGCCGGTTTTAAAGTGCTAGAAACAAAGGTAGGAAATAATCACCGTATTAAATTGCACTTTGTATTGAATTAAGTTAGAACTTCATTGCCAGCTCGTTCAAGGTTAGGCTGAAATGTTAATGTGGTCAGGCTGTCCGTCACATGAGACGATAGTCAGCCTTGCACCTATGCCTTGCTCACGCCTAGGCCTACGAATATTGCGGTGAGATTCGACGTTATGAACGTGTTTCTGTAATATATCATCGCTGTACATTTGCGAAATCCCTTTTAATAATGTCTATATGTATGTTGATTAGCCCATATGGCTGTAACCTGGCTCGACAAATACGGGAACAATCTTATTCCCCACCTAGACTATTTCTGTTCATTGTTCTTTTCTTCTTAACGCCTTCTACGATGAGTGATGCAGATCCTATGCTAATTTCTGTATGAGGGGGTCAGCCATACCAGAGATCACCAACGGTCAATCTGGACGCAGGTGGGGGAAACAGACATTACAATATGGCTTTCGGCATACTCCGGTTTCAATAACCTTGGATCGGAAAAGCGGGCAACTAGTGTAGAAGAGGCAATTTTTCGATCTCGAAATCCTTATGATACCTACACTGGCTAGTAAAGCCGCAATATTACTGACCTGGACCAGATTTGTCGGATAACACCTAGTGACTGTAGAGGACCAAATACTATAAGCTATGCACTAAATTCGTTCAATTTCTCGGACAAACAGCAGTCAGTCGAATAGAACTTGCCTCTTTAACTCCCCTTAACAATGAAACTGAAGTCAATTTTTAATCTCTAAGCCACTAAGAACAGCCAGAACTGAGAACGGGCATTGTGACTCACAGGAACAGGAATTAGGTAGGTCTCACCGCCGCATGTGACCCCTTCAAAAGCGGCCCTCGGAACGAAGTCCCAGCCCTGTGGAAAGTGGTACACCCCACTCAGCACCATGGAAGCTTGTCATGCAAACCTGGGGTAGCTGCAGATTCGACTTGAACCTAGACCTCGATAGCCCCGGGCTAGAACTCCGGATGAATATGATTCAGTGATGTATATTCCATCTCCGAGCGAACACCTTAAATTCTTTGGTCTCGTCCGATCCTAACCGAACTTGTTGGGGTGAAGGAAGTCCCTTTGTCGATTATATCTTTTGAAAAATTTAGATTGCAGTAGTTCTCGCTACTTGGAAGGTTCGAAAGTCCTCGTATTGTTCGTAACATATATACAGTACCACTTGAGCTAGGCGTTCGGGGTGGCTTATTATCAAAAGGAATGCGATATCCTAACTCCAAGACATTTCATGTCGTGGTTGCGATTTATGATTGAGATTTCAGAATCTGAATAGTTATTAAAAAATATCCTCTCAGTGACAGATACCAGAAGATAATAGCAGCTGTGAGTTTGGTGATTATGTGGAAAGGGTGGACGGCTCCCGGAATTGGCGAGTGAAGAAGCTTTGGATAGAGTAAATGAACAATTGGTTGGGTGAGAGAGTACTGAGCCAAATTTACGTAAAGCAAGCTGCATATTCTCTAATTCAAAAGAGAAAAAAAAACATACAACAGGAGGGATTCGCTGGTGGTCACCCACCCAACTACTAACCTCCCGGCGTGTGGCTTAAGTACGGCTTAGCGGACGGGAAGCCCTGTTCTCCACACCCTGTGGTCGTATGTACTGGTATGGTAAATGCCAGGGGATTATGTTGCTATATTGGAGTAGTTCACAATTACTCCGACAACCTACAGCCAGAAGCATTGCAGCAATAGCTGTCATATTCAAGCACAATTCTCCTTAGTTCTTCCCTACAGAGTTTGACTGTTAGAGCGGTCAAGCTTAGTTACAGATATACAGGTAAAACATATAGCATGGTGTTCTTGCGTTATATGTTGGTTGCTGAAAACTTGGCTTCAGTTATATATTTTCATCACTGTAGCACGTCAGGGCTCTTGTAGTTCTACATGACTTTTCTATAGAACCTCTTCTGAAAATCAGCAAAGTTCTGAGCTGCAAGTATCCTACCATTACTAAATATGTGCTACATTGGACCACAAAATACTGGCTGCTTTAAACTCGTGTGAATGTAATGTCCTCCAGGAACCGCATCATGTGACACCAACACCTTATCAAGGATGCGTTCGAGCCTTCTCAATGTGTTCAATAACACACTCCGTTGTGTATTTCGTGATCCATGATGCTTTGGTGTCAGGACGGCAGTATTGGGCCTTTGCCAGTGGATAGTCAAAGTGTACAATCTTCTTCTGCTTAATGGACATGTGGGTAGGTTGAACTGAGAGTTCATCCCTGCGATCTCCATTCGAACGTGCCCTTTCGGATGGCAAACTGTGTTCCCAGCTGTTCATTTATTATCCCAGGGCCACTGTGATATCCACCAAGCAGGGTGAGCTTAATCCACAGGTGTATAGGAGGCCCAGACAGCAGGCGATCTTCTTCAGGTTCACTCCCTCAGTCTGAGGTGAGTATTCCAGCCCATAAGCGCATCAACGGTGTCTAAGATAGACTCAACATACAGAGCAAGCTAAAATATCGAGTTGTCTTCAAGGGCGTGCCCAAATACCGATACCGTGCTAGTGACGCTATACAGAAATTTCACAATATGCTCCTATCCATACCACACTAACTTCTAGACTTATTCAGCCACATTGTAGTATAGAGAGCTTTGTAAAAGAGTAATGCTGCACAGCTCAGGTCCCGCAAGTTTGGGCTGGTAGGTCCGTGATGCAAAGTTTAATACAAGCTGTTGAAGATTCACATACTACCTCCGAGGGCTTGACTTTCGGATCCGGCCGGTATGTACGTTACTCTGAGACAAGCTTCAGCAACCCCAAAGTGGTGCTTCATTGTATGGGGCCATCCATAACACTGGTACCAGTGGTCTAGGATTTAACTCCGGGTAGCGGTCTTGAATGGCCGCCTCTGTTCATCACATTAGATATGGTGGGATAACGAGGTGGACAAAATAGCCGCGTACAAAGCCAATTACCAAGTACACGGTTGGATAATATATGAAACTCACCTCGTATTCATAATTATACTACCAGCTAATGCTTGACCTGTCTTCATCTTCTGAGTATGTAGATTAAAACTTGCCGAAAAGAGCAGCGAAGACTCTACGCTCATATAGATCTTTGATGATTCTGGAGAAAGCATCTGCGGCAAGTATTGATACTCCTAGAAGAGTGTTTTCTCCTTTAGTGCATGGATCAATACATTCCACAGATGATATAGCGACGATCTATCGTTAGCGCAGCCGCCGTCTGTCTCCCTGCACCCAGTGGTAGCCTGGTCCGTTGGCTGTACATTCCCTCTTTCCTTTCCTGGTGGATTCGTTACTTTAAATATTAGGAGTTGAAGCTGAAGTTCGGAAGCTCTGCATTGCCTTCGAAGAACCTCTATGATCGGTAAGGTCACCCGTAACCTTGTATCGCACCTATCCACAACGGGCAATAGGTTCGACAAATGGAGTAATGAGCTTCGATCAGAATTGGCTTTCGTGAATACAATTACAATGTAATACCATTGCTCACGAGCAAATTTAGAGTCCTGATTTCTTCGGGATGGCTTGCTACCCTGAAGCGGAATACAGGATTATGTTGACTGGCACCGGCTACCGAGCCAAGTCAGGAGCTCCACGTCATTTTCATACACTGCAGGGTCACTTAGGACATGATAACCGATAGTGGGGCAGTAAGCTTGTCAGGATGGAGTGGCGACAAGCTTGACTTTTGGCCTAGACTGGAACTGACCTCCAAATGCAAAGCTAAATCGGGCCAAGACCTAAATCCCGAGCGCCTCCAGACGTTCCCCTTCTCATGGGACGCAAATTGAGTTTCCATTGACAGCTTCAAGGGAGGGACTAGATTCTTTCCTTGGCTCTTTTAGTGCCAATAGAGGTGTCTCAGCCACTGACGCCCAGCCCAGGGCTAAATTTGCTACGGCAGACGAAAGCGACCATTTTAATAGACCACGACTAGACCCGTCCCATCTCGCCATATGAGTAGTCAAGAAGCACCGGAAATATTACCATTATTTGTCCACTACCTAAACTACTTAAATCCTTCTATGTACTTGCAAGTCGCGATACCTGCATTGCAAGCTATTCCAACATGGCCGTGTACTATGTGAACCGCAACCTCTCGCCAGAGCAGAGCGACCAGTGGCCACTGAATTTCCCACCGTTGCCACCCTCTGAATATGATCGCTTTCTCGGCTGGTCTATGCTGGGAGCTGGCCCGACCAGCTCTGAGCCCGTCCCCCCACCGCAGAATGCTCAGATGCAGTTTGGAGATGTATCCTCGACCGAGACGTACAGTCTCGACATAACGAAGGACTTCTGGGGTCCTCCAAGCTACCCGAATGTAAGACCCGGTGATTTGCCACCTGACCTGTTGCGATGATGCTGATCAACTGCCAGGCCGTTGGCACAACTGGGTATCACTCACCTGGGCCTTTCAACGAGCCTCAACCCACCATGTACCCAGAACATGGGCAGACAGGCGTCAACGGCCCCCCAGCGTCTACTACCTACCACAATCCGCGTACAGGCACTCCACAGCAACCGATACGAAAACCAAAACGCCAATCGCTCAGCCCCAAGTCGCATCCAGAGCCCTCCATGGCGACACCCATTAGACCCAAGCCAATGCCAAGACGGCGGTCATCGCAAGAGAGCACGACGTCCCAGCGTCGGCGGTCTTCTACATCCTCAGACAGCAAGGACGATGATCCGAACATCTGCATGCTAAGGAAAAAGGCACATAATCAGGTGGAAAAGCGATATCGTGCAAACTTGAATGCGGGGTTCAAACAACTAGAAGATGTCACGAAGCAAGACTGCACGACCGCAACGACCGATACGAAGATGGCGAAGGGGCTGAGACCCGGTCGCAAGGCGTTGATTCTACAGCACGCCTATGAACACATCATCGGTCTCCAGGCTGAGCTTCGGTCGCTGCAGAAGATCCTTAGCGAACGGTGAGGCTAGGTTTGGACGTGGCATTATACACTCGTGACTCATTCTATATACTACTCTCGTTGACATTTTCCATATCGTGGTGTACTAATCATTCCTATATCAAAACCATACTGTACCTAATTAAAGATGCTCATGTGGTTTTGGGTGTGCTGAATGGAGTTTTTGGCGTGGTCATAACGATGCTTTTTCTTGTTTTCCTCTTTTTTTTTTTTCTTTTTTTTTTTTTTTTTTTTTTTTTTTTTTTTTTTTTTTTTTTTTTTTTATGGTTTTTTTTGATAGGAAGGTCACTCGGTAGGTATTGAAGTTTGGCCAAACCTTTATAGAGTGTCCGTTATACTCATAATGAAAAGATGTCTCATAATTATTTGCCTTTTCTTTCAGAAGGTGGAGTGCCATATATTCGGCTCGTCGACGCACCACGGCATCAGCTAATTAGTTTTGCGTTATTTTTTTTTTTTTTGTATTTGCAAAAAAGCTAGAATCATGAACATGATTACTCCAGTGTTAACTTACTTTCTAAATGTAGTACCGTGACGTAACTAGTGATGATGACTGGTTGCACCCTATATTGAAGCTCGTTTGGAGAGCATGCGTAAGCAAGTGTTACGGTAAACCTACATCTTGGAGGTCTAACTCCCGAACCAGAAGATCAAATCAGTGAGATCTTACAAGTACCACGACTTATGATTCAAAAATGTCGCAAGATTTCTGGTCAGCGCAATGGTATGTTGCGATACTGGAACCAGACTCAACGGCTCAGAGTTAGGGTTATCATACTCTAGGACATGTTATAGAAAGCCTTTACCTGCCCTACAGGTGCTTCCCCCTGGCAATAGAGAGGTGTTATTGCTCTTCCTAGAAGAGTAACTAGGCAAAAAAATCAAAAAGAAAGGCCCGAACCCGGGATCGAACCGGGGACCTCGCGCAGTTGATGCTTTGGGTGAACCCTAAGCGCGAATCATACCACTAGACCATCCGGGCTATTGATGAAAAAAATGCGTCAATTATGCCTATAGAAGCCAAAACGTAGTTCTACTATTTACCGACTAATGCGAGGAGCCTTCGTCCTATGTAGCGATGGGTTTCTGCGCCTGTGTGGGGAGGAAGCTCCCGTAGGTACAGTCCGTTACTTTGTTAGCGATCATTCTTCCTCGGCATCAAGCTTTACTGGCGCCGGGAGGTGGGGAAGACCGAGAATTGGTGAGCCTGCGTTCCAGGGGAGGTAGGCTGCTGTGATAATATTGAAGGCAGAGGTACCGTTGGTGTCGTGGAAGGGTACGAAAGCACGTTGGTCGATATTTAACCCAGGACATGGTAGATACCCCTCGATTGAGCATGTGGGCATGTAATAATTGACAGAAGCCTTGGGTATAGGTACAAAGAACCATTATGAGAAAGAGAGTCCGCCTTGAATAAGTACGAGATAATAAAACAAATGGGTTATCCAGCCGGAGTCTTTTTTATATTACACAACTCAATTTCTTTAAAAGGTAATGGGCCCATCATTATGACAGCAGTGGTCTGGACCCAGACTCCAATCAGGGCCTATATAGTTAAGGTTCCCGGACCGGAAACGTCAACAACTGCCGTCGGATGTAACGTTGATCATTGCTTTTGAGAAGCCACTAACTGAGTGGGGATTCCTCTTGTCATTATAGGGCTTACTCTGGTGTCAGAATCTTTGTGGCTTTTCAGATAAGCATTGATATTCCTGTCCCGCATGAGCGTTCTATACTTTGGCCGGAATTTGGTCTTCACCCTTGGTATTAGTATAATAGCTCTGCCCATAGATGGCGCATAGAATGCAATCACGAAAGATGTAAACTTTATAAGCAATGGGTCAAGTTACTTGACATAAGTTTATTCGGGTCAGCCTCCCGGAATGGAGCGGAGTGCCAGATGCTTGTCCATGACGGCATTGCAGAACAATTCGTCGGCAGCCGAAGTAACAAGTTGCGAGACAGATAAACTTAGCTTGTCAACGTGTAATAGGCCAGCCAAATGGGGTGCTCGTGTAACACACATTGGATACGTTTTCGTCATGACCGAAAGCGTAAAATCTGACTAGAGACCATATATAAATATGACCTACAACGGTTAGATTATATGACTTTGGTGTTGAATTCCGAGATTCTATCCTTCATATTACTTCCATAACCCGTATCTATAGCTTCCTAAATATCCCACTACCAACATGACCTCCCTTATGAAGTACCTCTGGGGCTCCAATTCTTCCCAAGCCCCTCCACCTAAGCCTCAGTCTACAATCGCAGATATAACCTTCCCCTCAGGCCTTTACATCATCCGCAACGTCGCCACAGGCACAGTAGTCGACCTCACCGGTGCTCACCGACAAGACGGCACCCCGGCTGTCGGCTGGTATATAAATCCTTTCCAATGCAACATCAATACACAGCACTAACCAAAGTACATCAGGCACTTCCACGACGCCAAACATCAAAAATGGCAAATTGCCTCCGCAGGCCATAACCAATTCTTCATCCTCAACGACGCAGCAGGGACATACCTGACGGCTGGTACGTCCCCAGCTTCTATAGTGTACTCACATACTAAAACACAAGGATCCAGACGCACAACCAACAGCGGGCGTAGTTCTAACCACCGGGAGCCTTGTATCACCGACTAACAAGCGGGCGAGATGGACACTTGAGTCTGCGGAGACGAAGCATGCCTACATGTATTTCTTTCCCGTTGATGAACATGCTTGAATAAAGAGACTAACGGCAAGATAGTATCCGCTCTGTAGCTGATCCCTCCCGAGTCCTGGACCTCTCCTATTCAGATTCAAAGAATGGAACCCCGATCCTTATCTACTCCGACCACGGAACGAAGAATCAACAATGGATTCTCGAACAATTGGATGCCGCTCCCCCACCAGCTGTAGTCAAGAATACTCCCGTCGGGGGGGAGGGTGGTACCCCTTTTGAAGAATTCAAGTATGTCCCTGTCAGGGTTGTAGAGACGTGGAGTGGAGAGGTGGAAGATGAGACTGTTGTTCGGGGGTTGCGATGGACTTGGGACGATGGAAGTCAGAGCCAGCTTTATGGTGCCGATAAAGGAGACCATCAGGTACTTGTTGTGCCGCTCGGAGGGAAGGTGAAGGAGAGCTCTGTTAGTTCAGGGAAGAGAGTCGATTCGATTGTTATTGTGACGAAGGATGGCAAGAAGTTTAAGGCGGGTGGTGATGGGGGTAAGGAGCATAAGCAGGATGTTGGGGATGGGGTGTTGGTCGGGTTTGATGGGGCTTCTGGGTTGGATGTTGATCGTATTGGATTGATCTTTTTGAAGAAGGATGGAGACTAATGAATTTTATCTTGGGGTAGCGTTGACTTTTTGAATTGAACATGCTTCTGTCCTGCTGTGGAAAGGGATATCTGTGAATCCAGGTCGAGCGCTAGGGTATAACTACTAACTCCATACGCCAGAGGACTTGGACTACAGGCACAATGGTACGTGGTATTGGGCTACCATATCTGCATTCATGTCAAATCGAAATGTAACTATGTTGTTCTGGTGACGAAAGAACAGAGCTCGAAGGAAATCATGGCGTTTAAATCTTCTTCTGGCACACATCATTGGGGATCTCATAGCTGGCCACGCGTCTACCACTTCCATATACGGCACCCTGCCCCAGACCACGCTTGGCAAGTCCGGTCCAGATTGCACATTTATTTTGGCCTCCCGTCAGAGCCTGATCCGCGTCCAGGATGGCATTGCGGGCCTGAACAAAGTCGGGATTGCAAGGTTGTCTAAGAGTATATCGTCAATGATACCATCTCTGTTGGGAAGGAATGTACTCACAGCGCCATGGCATCAATTACTATCTTCATCGCCAGGTATTTACCGTCCTTGGGCACCCCCCTTTCGTCAAAGGTTGGCCGCGGGCCGTCGTCCTTCCCGTGCTTATCAATCAAGTTCCATAGCACTTCGTACAGCATCGAAGCCCAAACAGTTCCACCTGCATGGACCAGGTACATTCTATTCAAAGACGTATAATTCAGCGGGTTAGTTTCCATCGAAGTCGAATACGGATACTCTCGAATGCCCTTTGGACTATTATAAACCCAAGCCCCCATTCCATAATCTGTTGCACGCGTGTCATTGGGTTTGAGACGGATCGCAGTCGCCATGAAGTCACCCCAACCTTCCCCCATGCTAGCCGACTCGAAAGCACTTAAGCATCGAGAGTTGCCAGGGCCACCGGTAAGTCGCATAGACACTAGGTAATACTCATATCAACCCGAACAACTCATAAAAAGGGCAGGAATAGCTACAGCAGTACTTACACCCATGTGTATATTCATGAATTGCAATCCCAGACTCAAACACTGCATCCCGAGGGGGCTTGGTGCGCGTGAAGATATACATGCGCATGCGGGCTGGGTATCCGTCGGGTGGAGTAGCGAAATCGGCGTTGTTCGTCCCCGCTCCATCCTGCGCATTCAGGATCACATAGTCCTTCTCCTTGCCTCCCAAGCCGTTGTTGTTCCATTGAAAATTGCCTGCCTGTTCAGTAAAGCCCAGTGTGTACAGGAGATCATGGTATGTGTTGGCTGTGTAGAAAAGTTGAGTAATGGAAGCATTAATGTAGTCCTGAGGAGATCCATCGGCCGGATACTCATAAGTAAAATTCAGAGTAGGACTTTCGGGTCGGGAATTATTAATGTAAGTCGGTAGGTTCTTGATATTCTCCTGGGCAATACCGTTATTCCCCCGTGTTGACGTCCAGTTTTTCTGTCCATCGCCGAACCAGGTCCAGGGCGATACCTTCAAATCCCACGGATCAGTAACAATAACACGGCTCCCTGTCTCAGTAGGATCATTGATTCCCCAGTCACTGTGATAAATCATTGATGTCAGTGATCAGAGTGTTGTCAATATCTGGCAACCGGACACGACTCACTAGACTTGAAAGGTGGCCTCAGAAACATAGTCGACAACACCATGAATTTCCTCGACGGTGTTCGCATCCACATAAGTCAAGAGCCAGTTCTCATCGACATCGGTCTCTATTCTCCACGCCAGGCGCAGAGTCCCGTCGGGCTTCACGAGATAGACAAGAAGTGCCTTCGGGTCCGAGACCGCCCCGGACGTGCCTCGGAAGATGTACCCATGAGGATGCCCCGTGGATTCCGCAGAGACGCCATCCGCTTTGATGGGAAGTTGAAGATGTGTCAAGGCGAATTGCAACGCCGCCACGGGATCAGTAAAGTCACGTTTTGTCAACTGGGTGATGTTGGGACGTGGCCCGGTGTAGAAGGAGTTTCCATAGGAGAAGACTGTCCCGTCTTTACCGACCTACATCCAACCAGTTAGCCTGGTGTAATAACCCATGTGGGCCAGGGTATTGGTACATACGTTGACATTAAAATCCGCGTTGTCGACATCTACATCGTGGATTGTCTGGCGAAAGTGCACGTGTGCTACACCGTTGTCCCCAACGTAGTGATCTTCTTGGAGGCGGAAGCTCGCGTTAGGGAATGTTTCTCTAACCAGCTGCATGGCCGTCTCGACATAGCTTTGCTTAATCAAGCCGGCATTCATAGTAGAAACGGGGATCTGCTGATTGAACTCGACGTATTCTGCGTTGGGAGTCAACCGAAACTTTTCCAGGTCAACACCAGCGCGGCGAGGAGATAAAGCGGACTCAATAGGGTCGGTAAAGGCACAAACAGACAAAGCTAGAGCCCCGATTAAGCAAGGGATATACATGATGGAAATGGGAGAGAAAGAGAGAGCTGGAAAGGATTGACTAGTGAGGCGAGATTGTGAGAAGAGATGTTGATATTCCAAGCATTTATCTTGACTACATTGTCGGTGGCATGTGTGTCTCTACCAAACTCAGTACAGACAGGGTCATACCATTAACGGTTGTATCTTATTCACTTGTTCATTTCATGCAATTTGCCATTGGTGCATAAGAACATATTTGAGGTGGAGTTTCTACTACATTCACCACTTCAGTCCGGCCAAGGATATTCCAAAAGGTAAGCCACCCCTCCTCTGGTACTCATTAAGTTGCAATACCAGTTCATGGATTGGATTTACTCGGTGGAGCTTTAAAGCGCTGATAAATATCTAAAAAGAATGCTAAATACCACGGAACATTGGTCTACCGTTCTAGAAGTCATCACTCACCTTCACTGTTGATCGGCTGCTCCTAACCATTCATAATCAACCCAATGTCCTACAAATAGAACACGCCAGGAGCCATATGCAATCCAGAACAGCCCACTAAGATTGAAACGGGAGCTGGTGAAAGGTTCCATATGAATGTTTAGTACAACCAACACATGACAGCCTAAGAGGACATTGATAGAGGCTTACGCTATATGCTCTATAGATCGCGCAATGCCTCACAAGGCTTGAATATTCGGTTCCAGGAGACCTTAGTGCATAAATAACTACATTGGAGGAATTCAAGAGCACCAAGACTCTTCACACCTTCTATTCCCTCATCTGATGGGTGAGCATGTACCAGTTCTGGAATGCCTGACCTTGATGAATTAACCTTTTACCAAAATCTTATCACAATTGATATCCTCCCGTTTTATGGCATTAAATTTGTCTGGGCCAATTACCGTAAGCCGTCTCTACTCCAAAAAGACAAAGTCTTTGGAGAGAAATGGTGTCGGTTCATGGAGGCGTGTAAGAAGAAAAGCAAGAATATCTATACCCTAATTGTTCCAGGTAATCCATTCCATGCATATATAATGGCGTGATCAACTATTAATTGCTCGTACTATCGGAAGGACTATCCACTTGAATGTTTCTTCCTTTCATCCGCTGTGCAGCCCGGAAATATAACAATATAACCATCAGCCCCAGCCATATAACAAGCTCTGTACCATAGATGACGAGTCCCAAAACACTTAGCGAAGACTGAAAGATCACAGACAAAATCGAGGCTACATCTCCGCTCGCATCGAGGAGGGCAAACTTGAGAGACAATCCTGCATCTGACCGCGTCCTGAACATATCGACGTAATGTCGTAGTACACCAGCTGCCAGAAGAACGGCAGAGAGGATTGCCATGAGAGTTGATGGCCAGTTGTGACCTCTTCTGAAGGCCACACGGAGCGCAAACACGAGACCGGTCTCAGCGCCGCCAAGAACTGCACCTATGACAATTGCAAGAGGAGCAATTTTCTTCAGGCTCCATTTCCCACCGTAGTACATGCACTGAGACCAAGTCCAGAGGCTGAGAAATATGAGGATATTCGGCTGAACTTGCAAAGCAATATTGAAGTTGTTTGAAATATTGTACACGCCGAGGGGAACCCCGGCCATGGCCCAGCACAAGAAGAAGGCCGCAGACAAGGACTCACTGTCATGCCGTCGCCAATTTTTCCAAATCTGTGGTAGGAGCTATCCTGGGGATTAGTTTCCTAGCTTAATGAATAAGGCGGGGGGGTGTATAACCTGAAGAGACCAGAGCACGGCTCCCAATGTGCCGAACACATTGGCGGCGACATGATTGTCCATATGTCGACAACCAGTTCGAAGGTGATAGAGACGAGTGAGCACACTTCAATTGAATACACAGTCCCGCTGAAATGCAATGTGTTGCCAATCTAATTTTTACATGCGGGCCTGACGGTGCGGGCCTGACGGTGCGGGATTGACACCGTGGAGCTCACCAACCAGCGAAAATGGCATGTATTTTGATTGATATGGAACTGTCCAATCACACTCAGCCGATGCATGTATTCTGGCCCACATGACCCACGACTTCTATTTATTACTCGATTTGGAGCATCTTCTTGAAATAGAAGGCGGTCAAAGATAACAGTCCAAACTTAGGTCGAGACAGATGACCGCCTACTTAATTGAGTTGTCGATTCCCCAAGGAGTTTAGACGGGATTGCGGATGCTTCTGAGATTCCACCTGACAAGCTATTCTAAAATTGCCAATGTCGCAGGCATTGAGGTTTGCCATGTCTATCTGCATCATATTTGAACAAGTTGTACTCTTCCACTGCACAGGGCCAGAGCTGCATTTGATCCCCGACATTGCTGCAGCTGAGGATGTGAAGGGGCGAGAATATATATTTTTACCATTCTAGAATTGCTACACAAAGTCTAATACAAACGTTTTGCCTTCTGGCAATCCATACATGCTTCTCCCGAGAGCATTGGAAATGCAACGACATATCAAAAGTTTCAAGACACTATCTCGTTTCTTATTCATTCTATCCTAGGTAGCGGAATTGCCTCAACATCAAGTTGACTCCACCGTGACGCTAGCACGCGCCCGTCCTTGATCGTCGCCAATACATGATCGTCAAACCTATCGAGCACAGTTATATCCTCTAAGGGATTTGCGTTAAGAATAAGTAAGTCAGCGGCAAATCCAGGCGCAATTTGTCCGAGAAACCTGTCTTGCTTCAGCAGGCGAGCAGGGGTAATAGTGGCACTCTGGAGAATTTCCAAAGGTGTCTGTATCCTGCTGCGGATAGCGAACTCTTTACTCTGGGCGAAGTGCAATGGCCCTAAGAGATCTGTCCCAAAACATATATCTACACCAGCGTCGCTAGCAAGCTTGAGTGCATGCAACCCCTTGTGCAGCACCTCCCGATTCTTCTGTGCAGAAGCCGGGGGCAGGAACCCGCCGAACTCAGGCGAGTCCATTGTTGCATAGGTTACTAGAGTCGGAGTAAGGAAGACCCCATGCTCCTTCATCAGCTCCGCTGTGGCTTCATCGAGAAGATTTCCGTGTTCGATTCCCTTCACCCCCTGGCGGATTGCTTGTTGTATGGCCTGCGGGGTGTACGCGTGGGAAGTGACATATGTTCCCGCGTTGTTAGCTACAGTAACAATGGCCTTGATCTCTTCGTCGGAAAATTGGAGATGATGGATCTGGTCCGATGGACTGGCGACACCACCCCCTCCCATAATTTTGATAAAGTCTGATCCTTGTCGTATTTCCTCGCGAGCGTATTTCAGACATTGTTCCACACCATCCACAATACGTCCAATGCTGTTCACCTGTCCCGCACAGCATTCATTGGGGTCATGTTGTTGGCGACGATCCCCATGACCACCAGTCTGTGAGAGAGCATGTCCGGCAATGAACAACCGTGGCCCCGGTATGACACCTTCCTGGATGGATTCTTTTAAGGCCAGAGATGCCCCTCCACAGTCTCTTACAGTCGTGAATCCTCGGTTCAACATCGACTGACAGACGCTCGGCTGTCGTAGAAGGTTGAGGTCATTACTGAGCTCCTTCAGATCTCGAAGGCTTGCAGATCCTGGGACGGCAGCGATGTGTACATGGCAATCGATAAGACCGGGGCAGATGAACTTGCCATTCAGATCAATGCGGATAGTACCAGAGTTGGTATCGCCTAATTCCGCTGCATTGCCAACTGCCGATATTAACCCGCCGGAGAGCATTACTGATGTGTTTTCGGTGATGTTCCCAGTGACAGGGTCGATTATATTGGCATTGGTAAAGATGTATGTCTGTTGGGGTTCTGGTTGCCAAGGCTTGATAATGCGCCGAAGATCGTGTGGAGTAACTCGTGAGGACGTTGCCATGATGACAGAGAAGGACGAAGTTCCAAGAAAAAAGATGTTTGTCGTAGGAACTCATCAGCTAGCTTGAAAATATCGGTTGTATGCATTGAAACATAGTCGCATTCTCGGGCATTTATAAGTCACAGAGGCCATCACTCACATAGGCACCTGCGGGTACATGTACCCGCATATAAGACCCACTTCAAACAAAATGAATCCATTTAGCGTGCGGATCCATGTACCCGCAACATTAACTCAACCTTCAGCCATTAGGATTTCACACCGTTTACCATTGGACTATCGTCGTCAAATCTTCTAAGCCAGGTTGGTGCAGGGCAGAACCGTAAGACTAGGGAATATTTGGCAAACCATTCAACTTGGGCGAATCATGGGACGTTAGACAAGCTCTAGGCCCGCTTGCGTATGGACTGGTTAACTTAGGAAATACCGTCCTATGCAGATGTGGACCCATCCATGATAATCTGGGGTGCGGGGTCTAGCGCCATGGGTGAATATTGCAATCGTTTCATGACCCTTGTAAGGCTATAAGAAGCCATCCGACGCAGATAACTCTGATGTGGTCTCCCGAGTTTGTCGGTGTCAACTTAGGAGTTGCATATTATCATTTATCCCCTCGAAAACCTTCTTCATCGATATACAAAAAAAACCAAAATGCTGAAAGAGTCCGACAAGCACGTTTCACAAACGCAAACGGCAATATTCCTTGATCTGGAGGAAGAGAGACGTGTGAAAAGAAAAATCGATTGTGTTGTCCTTCCACTGGTAGGTATATGATAGTTCTATTTGGCCATAAAGACATGGAGTGCTGAAAGTAGGAACAAGATGTGCCTTGTCTTCTTTTCTCAATGTAAGCCACCATCAAGGCAGGGCAGCTGCTATGTGTTGTGCCAGCTATCCGCATTTTGGGTGAAACCCTTGCTGATGACGCTAGAGTTCAGACCTTGACAAGCAGAGCTTAAGCTATGCCAGCGTGTTTGGAATGATAGAAGACCTAGATCTCCATGGTACACAGTTTTCATGGCTGGGATCTATCTTCTATGTTGGGCAGCTGGTAGCAGAGTTTCCAGCTATGTACCTGATGAGCCGCTTGCCGCTGGCTAGATTCGTTGCTTGTACAGTGTAAGTTTGGCCCCTGCGTGACTCTTTTAAGGGACCCTGCTAAATGGATGGATCAAGGATCCTGTGGGGAGGGATATGTATGGTAAGGGCTCTTCGTCTAATTCAAGACAATGCCGTCCAAGAATAATCGAGATGTTTCTGTAGTGTCTGGCAGCAGCGACGTCTTTCCCGTCCTTTATGGCAGTGCGGTTTTGTCTGGGCTTGGCTGAAGGCGCCGTATCACCGGCTTTCGTTACCCTAACCAGTATCTGGTACAAAAAGAAGGAACATCCCATGCGTATAGGGTAGGATTCCCCATGTCCAATCTATTTCATTCGCCTTGACCTGGCTATTAACGTCTGGCTCTTAGTTTGTGGATCAGTTGTAACGGGCTCGCTCAGATTGTCGGGGCACTGATGATGTACGGAATCGGTCATCAAACAATGGATATTGCCCAGTGGAAAGCCATGTTCCTCATATGTGGTGGTCTAACGATGCTCGTGGGCATTTTATTTTTCTTTCTGATGCCCACGGGTCCTGGTGCAGCCTGGTTCCTCAAACCCCATGAGCGGGAGATAGCCACGAAGCGACTCCAGGCAGAAAGTGAAGGAGGGGATCACACCAATTTCTCTACATCACAGTTGAAAGAGGTGGTTGGTGATATTAGGGCATATTTGAGCTTCCTTTTCGGTGTTCTTCTTACACTCCCCTCGCCCGTTATTGCAGTAAGTGTCTCGAAGTTCTGGATCCATAATAGTCACTCACGATTCCCGAAACACAGTTCGCATCTCTAATTATTCACTATTTGGGATATTCGAACTTCGAGACAATGCTGTATACCTCACCGTCAGGTGCAATTCAGATCATTTTCATCTGGGTTGGGATCATCTTTTGCTGGCTCTGGCCAAATCGCCGGTGTGCCATCGCGATCGGACTCAGCATTGTACCACTGACTGGGATTATCCTTCTCTTTGCCCTCCCTCTATCAGCGGGCTGGGGTATGATTGTTGCGTCTTGGCTGGTATGATTCAACAACCTAGAACAGCTCCCAATTCCTAAGTACGCTTCCAAAGCTCACTCATATACCATATAGGCCTCTGTGATTTCGAATATCTTCTCCATCCTTCTCAGTCTAAATGCTTCAAATACACGTGGGAACACGAAGAAGGCAATTGTCAACGCTTTATTCTTCGTCGGCTATTCCGTAGGAGCTATTTGCGCACCACTGCTCTGGAACACCGAGTACGCGCCCCGTTACCATAGTGGCCTTGTTTTGGCTCTGGTTAGCTGGCTTGTCTTCATTCCCTCAGTGACAGTGTATTGGTTTTCTTGTGTTTATGAAAACAAACGCCGATCCGCAATCCAGATGGGGGTGAGCGAGCATGTGGCTGAGATAGCTGGGAGGGATATGACCGACAAGGGGGACAAGCAGTTCCGGTACATTAATTAAGACATACGGTTCTCCAATCGGCTCTTGGAGCGTTACATTTCACTAATAGTGCAATGGCTTCATTTATCTTCATGTCGTTTAAATACCGTGGGTGAAAATGGGAGATGATCGTCAGAGTGGAGCAGAATCCGCATTCCACAATCTACCACCGTGGTCAAGTGTCCTGCCTGCGTAAAGTCCATCAAATCCTAGCAAATGTTGATCGGAAAAGGAACAGTCCTCTAGCAATGTCCCTATATCATCGAACAGCGCTCCACCATACCCTTGGTAATAAGGTTGATTAATTGATGTCTCGCCGCCTACCTCGTGCCAGCGTGTTTCCCATGATGTCGCATAATAAGGCTGATGAGCATCTTCGATGAACTGCGCGCTGTCTCCAGTCTGTGGCTCCTTCGGTCTCACGACGGAATCAGACATCTTTGTGGGATTGAGATCGCGGTAATCAAAACCGGGCTCTCCTTGGTGAGACATGGCTGCTAAAGCTTTGTTGACGACCACCTGAAAACTATCCACATGTTTCAGGGCATTCCTTGCCAAGGCGCTGCCACGGGCCATAAAATGTAGGGCTTCCATTGCTGTGCTTACTCTAGAGTAAGATCTGAGCCTAGGATGCAGAATACTTTCCAGGAGGATAATAATAGTGGCAGAGCTGCAGCAGTGAAAGTCGGTATGAGAGAAACGGGCTAGCTGTCGGCGATTTCTGAGAAGCTCGATCAGGTCAATTATTTCTTCCGCGTGTTGGACACAGCACTTTGACAATTCTTGGATCTCTGCACTCGCGATAGTGTCGTCTCTCCTGCTCCTTTTGTTGCTAACAAAGCTTCGCACTTTACGAATGAGGGCAGCACGACTGATATACGTCCACACCATACAGTAGTGGAGTCGTAGGTGTACATTAAGCCTTAGAGAGACGCCATCCAGCGTTGTCAATTCAGCTGGTAGCTGTTCCTTCCAGGCAAGAAGTTGCAGTCGGATTTCTTCTGTAGCATATCTATCCAGTGCTCTGTTGAAGGAGTTAGCCATACAAATCCAAATGGATGATCTGTCTATAGCATAATAACATGGGCACCTGACTTTGACTGAATTGCCTTGTTGAGCAACTGAGTTAGCTTTGTATACGCCACCAGCCTTTCGGCACGAAACGAATCAGAGGAATCTAAATCTGCCCGTCGCTGGGGGAGGGGGCAATCGATATCGTTGCATTGGAGCGTTTCCGGATACCCGAGAGAGATAGCGACCCGCCTATAGCAGTGAGAAAGTAAGTAAGAAAAACGGGAATGATAGGGGATAATCGGGCATAAAATAAGGACAAAACGGGGAACTGCATGGACCATGCATACCGTTCAATGTTATAGGTCGTCCAAAAGACACGATTTCGGATCTCTGACAATTGTGGGGGTAAATTAAAACCGGCGGGTTTCCGATGTAGACCGAGGCAGATCGCATTGCGCAACGCAAGGCCGAGATATGTGTAACATGTATTAGTATTATGAATTGGTAGCGAGTAAAGGGCTGCTAAAAGACAGCTTAGCACCCCTTCCAAGGATGGGCATGTTATTATCCGTGGTATAAGGTACTGCGCATGCCGAAAATATCTAGCACCAGGAATACCGGTCTGTTCTATGTTCACTCCTTCCGCATCATTGTCTGGGCAATCTTTGTGAAGATGAGCGAACTGACTTCCCAGAGAAAAGACAGCCAGGGCCAAACAAATCAATTTGGCGTCGGTAACAGACGTAGAAAAATCACTCCTGTATAGTGCATATAGTTGACTACGAAAGGTAGCCTCGTCAAAATAGTACCAGTTTGCCTCAGCATAACAGAAGAAAGTTGAGATAAGGGCCTCAGCCTCGGTCTGTGATGGGAAGTCTTTCAAGATCTGGTTCATCAGATCGTCCTCATACTCACTACATGATTCGTTCTCCGGGTAGAACGAAGGCTATCAACGCGATAGAAAGTATGATTAGACTGAGACTTACACATAGGGAATATCCATCCGACATACACTATGCTCCGAGAAATCTGGTCTCTCGGTTTGGGAAACTGCTTCAGTAGCTGAATCTAGGAAATCCTTATGTGCTAGCGCCTCATGTCCTCCTGAATAAACTGTTAACGTATTGCGGTGGGTTCCTACTATTGAACTTACCAAATGTAGTTGCGTTAGAGCCCGGTAGTGTAGTTGTAGATTCAGGTGCCGGTCTCTCGCCTGGGATAGCGCTAACATAGCCGAACTGCTTTGCAGACTGATTTCCAGCAGATGGTGGGTTAGCATTCATAACAATTTTCATTAAATGAGCTGACTGATCTGCCGTGAGACCAATCTCAGGATAGAGTCTGTTGAACTGTGCTGCAACATCTTCGTGATCGATTCTATCCTCGTTGGGATGGCTGAAGATATTTGAATAAGTTCGTGATCATCCTTGGGCAGAAATATAATCAACGGTTCATACCTAATCGGTCGAGCGACCGGTGTTATCTTTTCTGATTCAAAGATACAGGTGGAGTTAGTATTGTTGCAATTCTGGCATCTGTCCGGAGACACCAGCACACATCGTCGCTTACGTACGCGACAGGTGGTACAGGCCTTCACAATTCGTTTACGCTTATCCGGAGGTACTCTAGGACGAAACCGCTTGGATGAAGAAGTTTTTCGTTGGTCAGGCATTGGTGAGATGGAAATATACATATGTACATGAACTATGGCATCAGGATTCCAGATCTCTTTTCGTGACCACCGGTCATTGCCGATAGGTCATGTGACTCCACACCATGCCAATCACATTAGCACCAAACCAGGGCCGCGGCGATAATTCTTTAAATTTTTTCTTTGTTTTTTTGTTTGTCTTTTGGCACTTTTCTCTGTCCTCTGTAGTTATCTTCGATCAATGCTTAGTGACCATGGTTAGCAAGTGAAGGATATTTTACAGAAAAGAAAGACCGGATTGATTGAATCACCCGATCAGACTGAGTACTGTAGATCGTTTAGAGTTGATTAAACTGACCAACCAGGACCAAGGCGGTGTCGTGGGCAGTCACATGATCATCTGTCCGCATGGAGATGTACATATAGTACTAGCCAAATATCGTACTTAATACCGGTAGCCAACTCCTGATCAAAGTGAGGTCCAGGACCAGCACCGGCCTTGGCGTACCGAGAATTCAGGATTACATGACATCATTCCACGATTGATATTGATACACACCCTCGCGGACATTACGAAGTCATTACCATTTCGCATACGTGGGGTAGAGTGAGCGCCAAGAATTGCCAGCGTGCAACTTTGCTGATGCTGTTGGGGGGCGGGATTTTTACCCTTGAGATGGAATTTCTTGGGCCTTCCGTTCTCATCACTCACTCCGTGCCAAAAGATTCTTGACATTGCCCGATGAGCAACCGGCGCGGGTAAGGTGCTAAATCCCGTACATTCCTATCTCTGGACCTTTTCTTTCTTTGTTTAATTTTCTTGATTGATTTTTATTTCGTTCCCCTGCAGCTTCATTGCCTTAACCGGCACAGAGTAAGCCAGCGGGCCTCCGTCCAAATGATATTTCTCCTCGCGTGCTGCCCTGAAAGACTGGAATGCCGAAGGGTCTTCAACCCGTTCTCCAGTTATACCTTAAGCTACTTGAACCCCTAACATCTAAAGGGGGATCTAATAGCGATCCCAATCAAGCACTGCTGACACAAGATCCACTCGTTCCGGAGGCAGTGGAGCTACCGGAAAAAAGTGAGTTGGCAATGGCAAGGGATACGAGCCAGACGAAAGCTCCGAGGGCAAAGCGATTTGCACAGATTAATGGGAAACATTATCATTCCTTGGAGGCTCCGAACTTGCGGAAGTCCCTTTCGCAATGGGACAGGGTCAGGACTTGGCTCTGTCTTGGTAAGAAAGAGACTCAAAAACAAGACCCCCAGCGGCCACAAACGGAGTGGGAACAATGGATCGGGAGCGTTGGGGATGGAGAGCACATTTTCGGTAAGACTGCGGGGATCATAACCCAAAAATATGGGGAAATCTGCAGAATCACGGGCGCTGGAGCCTTCGGAGTGGTCCTGCTACTACATAAGACACAAGAATGCAATCCGCCCATTGATCGCTACTATGCCCTGAAGGTCTTTCGTCGCCGACCCGGCCAGCTGTGGTCGGAGTATCAAAAGCGAGTGAGCGCGGAATTCTCCATCGCTTCCTCGTTGCAGCACAGGAATATTGTGCAAGCGTTCGAACTCCTCCCTGTGGGCGGCGGTAACCTGTGTCAATGTATGGAGTATTGCGCCGGTGGAGATTTATATTCCCTCCTGGTGGTCTCTGGCCGCTTAGAGACGACCGAGGCAGATTGCTTCTTCAAGCAGTTGATCCGCGGTATCTGCTACATGCATGAAATGGGTGTCGCCCACCGTGATCTGAAGCCGGAGAATCTTCTCCTGAGTCATCGTGGCTGTTTGAAAATTTCCGATTTCGGTAACGCGGAATGCTTTCGCTTCGCATGGGAAACTGACGTACATTTGTCGAGGCAGCGTTGCGGGACTGGGCCATATATTTCCCCTGAACAATACCACGATGAAGAGTTTGATCCTCGATCCGTCGATATCTGGTCGGCCGGTATTGTTTATGTGGCCATGAGGACGGGGAGAAATCCGTGGAAGATCGCGAATGGGACAGATGAATGCTTTCGAGACTATCTCGAAGACCGCCAGGTCGGCCGGGGGTACTTCTTGATGGAAGACATAAGCCATGTCAGGTTATCCACCACCCCTTCGTTAATCTTCCCAGACCGTTAATTCTACAGACACAGGACCGAAGCGGTGAAGTTTTATACTCCATGCTGGATCTTAATCCTCTGCGCCGGCCCGCCGCAGCCGCGATTCTTACAACTCAGTGGGTAAAGGAAATTGCGTGTTGTGAAGCTGCCACGTCGGGACTCCAGGGACATGATTTATATTTGTTAGCGAGAGCAGGAGGGCCACCTTGAGATTAGAATGCAAGACATTGGAACAGGAAGTGGTAGGTATTTTGACTGGAAAGACAAGTGAAGGGGGTTGATTGCAAATTGTGATATCTCGTAAAAACCGCTATGCCATGTCATTCTTAGAAGCTCCTCGTCAGGTGTGCATGCTCCTTACAAAACACAAGGGGAGACGTTAGAGTGGGTGGCGCCAATATTATTACAATAGGAGGGACTGGTCTTTCCACGCCTGGCCTCTGATTAGAAAAAAGGTTCGTGTCTTGGTTTAGTAGTGTATATGACTTCTAGTCGGGTCTTCGGGCATGTTCGCTACCCCATTTAGAATTCCAAGTGCAGGTTCAACCAGCCTTAATCTTCTGACCGTCTGACTGCTGTATATGTGAAGTTCAGAATAGCTTTGTGAGATTTTGGAGCTGGGAGGCTATGCCAAGAAATGGTGACATAGTATGCCCTACTTGCTGCGGGACGCGCGGCGGCATGTTGCCCTCCGAGTGCCGGTATCTCCTGGCCGATTTTACGAGACGAAAACAATAAGAAGGCGAAGGGTATTGTGGAAAAGTTTGTCTAGCGTTCACGAGAATGATCTATCGAACGGAAGCTGAGCCACACACTGCTGCACAAATCGGAGGAAAGAAGGACACAACGAGGTGAAAAGATCGGGATCCTAGCTCCAAACCCTCCCGGCGGATTGGCCACCATAAATCCCGCATCCAATTCCGTCCACAGTTCATTTCCCGACTATTCAAAAGGGAGTTGTTGCCTCGAAAGCTCCTTGCATATAACTCCGCTAGCAAGTACATGGTGCATGCGTCTTTGCCAGCATTCTTACCCCCCCGCCAGCTATGTGGAAGCCGCACCTTAACTTTATCACGCTGCACTGTAAGTTGAAACGGACAAAAAAAAAAAAAAAAAAAAGAGAGAAAAAGACCAAAGAAACTTCTCTGGCTAACGTCATTGCAACAGATGCGTATATCATCTTCCTCAGTATTCTGGCCTTGATTGTAGTCTATCCTCAGGGCAATTTGAGCGCGGTCGATGCGTACTTCTTTGGAGCCAGCGCTTCAACCGAGTCCGGACTCAATACGTTCGTATCTCGCGTTTACCAGACATAAGCAGTGATTTGACTGACTCACGAAGCGTCGACGTCAAGGAGCTGAGAACCTATCAACAAGTATATCTGTACTTAATACCTATTCTGGGTAACCTCGGATTTATCAATATCCTGGTTGTTGTCGTGCGATTGCGTTGGTTCCAAAAGCGTTTTGAGGCTGTCGGTAAGACCGCCCCATCTTGTCGCTAGTTGCAAGCCATGTTCACTGAATGAAGCCGATCGTATTTAAATCGATGCAGCACCAAAGATCCTGGGACCGAAGGCGCAAGATGTAGTCAATGATCCTGACCTAGAAGAGAAAATTGTCGGTGACCGACAAGATATGGTCAAGAGCCACCAGTCGGAACAACCCATTGATTCAGATAAGCTGGGTAGCAGATGGCCTGTGTCGCCCTCGCAGCATCGCATCCAAGTCGTCGATACGTAAGTAGTATTGTGATACATGTCCTTTGTCACCGAGGCTTTTCGCTAATGGGCGTCGTCTACCTTAGTAACAGATCACCAGAAATTGTACAGGAGGACCCACAAGCCAATGGGGCCGCTGTCAAACCGCTACGTGCGACTACCATATCTTTTGCGGAGGATGTAGACACAGATAGTAAAGCGCTATACATCCCTCCTCCCCGAGAGAGAGATAGAGGTATTTTGCAAATGGCCCTTGACCCTGAATATTAACAGGCACTGACAGATACTCTCATTCGGTAGGGTACCCTATCCTGGAAGTCGACGACAGTGACTCAGGTGATTTAGGTAAGTGGCTTTTCCCTGGATACGTAAATGGGCTCTCTAATAGTGGATCTGGATTGTGTAGATCTCGATAGAGCCAAATCTACCACAGCAGATTCCATGACCTTGGGCTCCTCTCGCCGATACTTGAAGCACAGACTATCTTCGACCACTATCCCGTTGGAACGCATTGCTTCCAGGATGTTCACGATGGATCCGACTCCGAGTCACTCTCAACTGGCTGAGACTTTACCGCGGATGCCGCTCTCGAAAGATTTAGACCTTCCTAGTCTCTCTTCCAAGGCGACTGTGGGTCGGAACTCGCAATTCCACAACTTGACTGAAAGGGACAGAGAGCTATTGGGGGGAATTGAGTACCGTAGCTTGAAGCTGCTGCTTAAGATTGTCACAGGTGAGATATATTTACTCGTGAAAGGTGCGGATCTGCACTGACCCCCTGGCTAGCGTATTTTCTCGGTCTCCATCTATTCGGTGCCATTTGCCTCGTGGGCTGGATCCAGCACGCCGATCCCAAATACCGGCAATATCTCGAAGAGTGTGGACAGGGTAATGTGTGGTGGTAAGTTCATTTGGCCTGAGATACAGTTGGTCTGCTTACGCGTTTCGCTTCCTTACAGGGGATTCTATTCGGCGCAGACTATGGTAAACAATCTTGGGTTTACTCTCACTCCCGACTCGATGATATCTTTTCGTGAGGCCACGTTTCCAATGATACTCATGAGCTTCCTTGCTTACGCCGGGAATACATGTTATCCCTGTATGCTGCGCCTTGTGATTTGGGTGATGCTCAAGCTGTGCCCAAAACAATGGTCAGTGAATGAGCCGCTTACTTTTCTACTGAAGCATCCCCGTCGATGCTACACGCTTCTATTTCCGAGTCGGCCCACCTGGGCTCTGTTCGGTATCTTGTTCGCTATGAACTTTGTGGATATTCTCTTGATACTGGTGCTCGACCTCAATAACCCCGAAGTTAACAGTCTTGCAGCTGGTCCGCGAATACTAGCCGCAATATTCCAAGCGGCTTCTTCACGGCATACAGGGACAGCGACCTTTAACTTGGCGGATGTGAATCCAGCAGTCCAGTTCAGCTTGGTAGTCATGATGTATGTCGCAGTCTTTCCCATCGCAATAAGCGTCCGGGCGTCGAACACATATGAAGAAAGCTCCTTAGGATTGTATCCGTTCGAGGCCGAGATTGATGAGAGGAATGGCGGCTCCTACATTATGACTCATATCCGCAACCAACTCACGTTCGATCTATGGTATATCTTTTTGGGGATATTCTGTATTTGTATCGCCGAGGCTGATAAGATCGCGGATACATCAATTCCAGTCGGGACCCTCCCCCGCTTCGGTGTGCGGATTTGAAGCTAATCAACTATAGGCCTTTGCTGTTTTCCCAGTCCTTTTCGAAGTAGTATCGGCCTAGTATGTACTCTCACCCCCCCCTTGACCAATGTATTCTAATCGCTCCACAGTGGCAACGTGGGTCTCAGTCTAGGGTATCCAACAGTCAGCACGTCACTGAGCGGAGAGTTTACGACATTTAGCAAACTTGTGATCTGTGCGATGATGATACGCGGCCGTCATCGAATGCTACCCTACAAACTCGATCGTGCTATACTACTTCCAAATGAGCGACTCTCGAAAGATGATGAAGACGAGATATATCATTGGCCAGAAGCTGCTAGAGCTGTGAAACTTACTCGGTATCATACCAGCTAGGGATTGTTGGGGTTATATTTACACTGGCTTTGTGCATGGAGCGCCTCCTCCCAATGCGCGCGGAAAAAGGCATGGTGTGTTTTAACCTAGTTGAACTGTCTGGCAACACTTGATGATGCACAATGTTAGTTACCGGGGATGTAGTTGTCTACATGCATCAGGATAGTCTGTCCCGCTCTAGGCTGGTGGCCGGTGTAGATGAAATCATTCCACCTAAGGAAAGGCTTGTTTCAATATCCGAGTAACTTGAGTAGAGTCTAGCGAATCCACCGGCCCGTGAATAGCATGGAATCGGTTGAGCTTCTCTGAAAAAGCCGGATTTATTGACCCGGCAGACATACTTAAACCATAACATTTGTATAGTGGAGTTATAAGGCAAACAAAAACAAAGTCATTTGATTTAGGCAAAAGAGATACGAAAATCAACTTGCCCCCTCCACCTTCTGATATAGACCCCTCGTAAAGTTATAAATAAGAGTCATTCCTTCATTGCTAGATATACAATAGAACATATGGGATTGTATGTATGCGAGCATCTTAAACCTTGATCCACCGCCCCATCCAAGTATTCACAATTGCTTTCGCCTCATCCACTAAGCCAAGGTCTAGGAGAAGCTGTGTGGTTCCACGAACGGCCGAATCCAACGCGGAGAAAATCCAGGCATGAGTGTAACTGGTATGTTCGCCGATAAATATTGTCCTGAACTCGGTTTGGTAGTATGCCGGAAGATAGAGCTCTTGCTGTCCGACGAGAGGAGCCGCCCAAGCCCCAGCTTGATGTTCGTCGACCTCCCAGCATTGGCGATCGTAGATGCCTGTAAGCAGTCAGTAATTCTGTCTCTGTCGCAAGTGAATCGAGTAGAAGCTCACCTGTGTATTGCTCTGCGGCAATGTTTCCATGAATTTGAACCATAGACCGCAGTACCAGAGCAACGTGATCCTCAGTGCTCAATGCCGCGATCGACCGTGCCGGAGTATCGCTGACATAGGATGCGAGGACAACTCCAGGCCCAGTGCCGTTTATATTGAAGGATGGATAGCACACCGACCCGATCCCGGGCAAGTCCACGGATCCGCATCCTCCGAAGATGGACTTCTCCTGGTGTTCCCAGAATCGTGACTTGAAATGCAGCGACATTTTACAGGACTGGGCGTAATTCATGGTGGAGATAGCGCGGCTCAGAAGAGATGAATAGCGAGGCATATCCCATAGACGAACCTTGCTGAATGGTGCGGAGACAACTGCATAGTCATATTCTGCACTTTCGGGTTCCAGTTGCATTGGGTCATCGCGCCAATTGACAGCGATCTTCCCGGAGGTCTCATTGAACGATAGCCCCTGAATCTTGCGGTTCAGAGTGGTCTTATTCGCGACGTGTGGCCAGAAGGCACGTGGAAGTGATTCCAATCCTTTGTCGATGGTGCGCCACTTTGTGGCACTGAAGTAGACGCCCTCATAGAGACTATCCCACATCGGAGTGTCGTCGGCCCCGGCAACGTAGTCGGTGATATTGTCATTGTACCCTAGGGCATAGCGCAAGTAGCCGGCTTCTGACCAGTGGAAATATCCACTTTCCACGGCGGACTTGTGTGCCTGATACATGTCGGTGACAATCTTTCGGTTGATCTTGTCCGCAGTAGTATAGTCTGTGTACGCTTGCGATGCATCTTTGGCTTCTGTTGCGTTGGAAGAGGCTGCTTTGTATACAAGTGATGAATTGGCAGCTACATCTGCCGCAGTAGGAATAAGGCCATTGGGCAAACGATAGCCCCCAGAGCTAGCCGGGACATTCGGGCTATTCTGAACGAAGGGAATGAAGTTGACGGCAAGCTCGGGTTGGTCCGAATTCATTTCATTCAGCACATCGCTCAATTGGAAAACCATCTTGTGATCTTGAATCTCGAGGGTCTCATTGGTGTCCGCATAGGTGATGCTCACGGGAAACCGCATTGGTCCCATCTCCTGATACTGATATTGGTCCGGGCGAGTATGGTTGAGGTATTCGGTACGGATACGGCCTCCTATTCTGCCGGAAGATTCAATAATGTGCCAATTGTGCATGCCAACTGACTCTAGTAGAAGACTGGTCATCAGGCCAGACATGCCCCCTCCAATAATTGCCACGGACGCGTCCTTTGCCTGAGTCACGACGGCCTTCCCAGGCTCCTTTGCCTGCATGTATGCGACACCATCGAACCACGGCCCCATTGCATCGGCAACGTCCGCGATATTCTCTCGCCGTACGAGTGGTGCGGTTACAGACACTGGAGCAGATCTTCCTACCAATGTTGATCCCGAAAATGCATGAAGGCAATGCAGGTGGGGAGCATCCACTGGAGTTGCCCAGACAAATCGCTCAGGATGAGCGTCGCGCTTCACATATATTGTTCCAATCTCGTGGTGCCTTTGGCTGGAACTAGAGATATCGCAGTCCCCATACAGAAGGTGGATCTCACCTTGGAAACTCGAGTCAAGGAAATCAATATGGACATTGTGCAAGGAGTCGGCGGTGACATCTGGGACTCGCAAACGGACCAGTTCTGTCTGCTTGTGTACAACACCGGCCCAGCCTACGTGGAAAAGTCCCAAGGCTAAGAGCCCAGTCTTATAACGGTGAAAGGTTGGCGCCATAACCGGTAATGCCTCGATATTTGCTGAGTGCAAGAACACATCACCTTCAAGAACAGCCGGGCTTTGAAGTCATTTTTATAACCTTTGGGCATTGTTCTACTACGGAACATTGCCCGCCTGGTTTCTTATCATGTACCATCATTATTCATTGCTCTCCAACAGATAGGAGCTTCACTATACAATCCCTCCACGATGGAAGCGCTACAGATCCGAGTGAAGTACCAGGCAGACAAAGAAAGATACCGAGTGTTAAGCGATGAGTAACAGGATACTGACTGATAACAGACCTGTACTACAATCACGGTGTCCAAAGTCCACTTATGTTTCCTATACTTATCTGCTCGGTCATCTTGTCGAATACGAACAAACGAAGACATTCCCGCTAATCCCCACGTTTATCTATCCGCATATCCGGGGGAGCCAGTCAGAAATCTTTCCAGGGCATGGTGACAGGTACGAGATCGGAGATACTGAACGGTATGGGGTTTCCATTCGGGGCAATGATCGACTCACGCGGCTTGTTCCGACTTTGTCTTATCAGACAAACGAAGACACTTAGAGTCATACATCGTGCAGCCGAAAGGGCGCGGGTAGAGCTGATCTTATCTTATCACAGCCCCCCGACTGTACGGAGTCTATGCAGTGGGGATTTCTCGCCCGCTTATCTACTTTATCACCTAGACTTTTCTATAGTCTACGGCCTATTTCGTTTCGACGGGAAATCATTACCAAACTTATATTTGCTGCCACGGGAGTTAGCTCTCTCACGTATCCTAAATCTTAGAATATAAATTGACAGGTTCCGTAGATGACCGCCCGACGCTGGCTTATGTCCCTGTGGCGATGTGCCTCGATAATTCCTACAGTGACTGAAATGTTTACGGTATTGTTTCTGTTGTTACTCTCGTTTGCATGGGCTCCTCATCGAGTGAGTTCGGTGTGGGCGTTGGTGGGATACCTAGTGCTAGTAGATAGTTACCATAGATATTCCGGTGAAGGTTCTCCGTCGATGTTCATTGTTGGACCCGCGATATGTTGAACGTTGTAATTGGTATATAATTATGTAACTCTATAATACTACTTTTCTATAATACATTGTAAAACAAGATATTCCAAACCCCAAAAGACGAATAAAGAAGTATCTCGACAAGACAGATATGAGAGCCCCTCCAGTCAGCCACAGCTTAGCCGTGGTTGTCACATTGATAAACATAATCGATGGTAATCTGACAGCCATCTTCCCTGAAGAACGAGCCACACTTAGAACAGCCGCCAACGTTCCGGATGTTCTGGTAGTCATTCCACAGGTCGTTACCACTGATACTGCAGCTATCATCACCCTGAATAAAGACGCCGCAGCCCCGAGTCTGATCGCCCCAGCAGTTGCCAGATAGGTTAATCCCGGTTTCATTCCTAGAGGGGTAAATTAGTAATGGCATTGAGATTAAACGATACAGTAGGATCTGTGCATGGCAATGTGGCAATGTGGCAATGACGGACAAGGGGGGAGTGACTCACCCAGAAGTAGCAAAGTAGGAAGGGTCGTCATTTCGCTGCAGACTGTTGACAGCGTGGTCGCACCACTTCAGAAAGCTGGGGGTCGTGCACATGGATGAGCCCTTGCAATTATAGTCGGTGGGGTCAGGCTCGAAGACATTGGTTAAGGGGTTGTACCCTTGGGCCTGAATGACGAATTTGCTTGTGTCGATAGTGGAAGTACCGAGGGGTAATGTCCATGTATAGGTATAGTCCTGGATATCCAGAGTGATAGGCCCTACGACTGACCACGCCCAAGGTGGGGCTGTAGAGCCTTCGGGAAGTGTGCTACTATATTTGTATAGCGTGGTGCCCTCAACCATGTAGTGAGTGCAGATATACTCGTCGATTTTGAAGTTGATACTCCATCCTGGATCGGTGTCGAACTCACATCCCACCGAGCTCCAGATATAAAGGCGGATGAAAGCGTAAGGAACAAGAATATCAGCCTGGATAGTGGTCGAGCCTTCCCCTGGAGAGGACTGATAGTTGGCGATGGTTTTCCCGTTTGGCAAAGATTCGGTCATGACCGGAACCGTAATGGAAGCGGACCCTAGATTGCCACCTCCTCCCACAGCAGTTACGTGGAAAGTATGCCTAGCTCCTGGTTGGAGACCGCCAATAGTGATTGTACTCATTGAGCTAGGGACGCTTGCAATTACGCTATCCCCGGAATACACGTAATATCCCAGAGTATTCAAGGCCGCATCCCAGGACAATTTAGCAGAAGTATAGTCTGAGTCCAAGACTGAGAGTCCAGATACCGCTGCTGCAGCGCTTCCTGATATCCAGGATAACGCATCAGTGTTCAACGGAGAGCCACCCTCGATTGCATTCATCATGCTCTGGATATAGGAATCGCCAGGTAGAGTGTCATCTGGGTTAGGCAGAGTGTCATCTGTGAGCTGAAGGAAGCCAGCCCCATGCTCCTTAGCTAATTTGGTTACCTCACTAACCGCGGATTCCGGAACGTTGTATACGATGTGCCATAGCTTCCGCGGGTCTTTTGGTGTCCAATCGTTAGGTGTGTAGGAATTAGTGTAAGCCTCGTAGGACAGCTCGAAAGTCAGCAGTGTATCCATAGTATCCTCGAAGTAAGAGGCCATAGGTGACCCAGGATTTATGACTGTGTAGGCGCCGGGATGGGTACGCTTGGTATAGTCGTTGATATACTTGTATAGCTCCACGTATTCATTCTTGTCGCCACATTCGGGTCAACCCTCGTCGAAAAAGATGCCACCAAGTCTGGTACCATAAAGCCTGTACCAAATATTGATATCTTCCTCAAATTGCGCGGTCCAATCCGTCAAGTCTCCTGAGCCTAGTCGGGTGGTGAATTTCTGATCGCTCACGAATCAAGTGATAGATTAATGTCTCAAAACAAATCTATACTCGGTGCCTTCCCATAAATGCTGAGGCAAATGCGAAAGGGGGTTTTCAGGTCCCACTATTCCCGTGCCCACTCCGAATTAGTAGTGTACCTGACCACTTTACTACTATACTCTCTACGTACTTAATATAAGCCCTAGAAACTTAAATAGGACATATCCAGTAAGAAAGGGAATCAACCTGATCAAACCTCAACATCACAAGAAGATTTATTGTACTAAACTCACTGTGTAAAACCTATTGGCTAAGCGAATAATGTTATATTGAATCTTTGTAGTAGTCTATTTAGTATTACAACTGTACCAGTGATCCCTCGGTATAACAAATTCTCCCGGCCGGAACTTACAATGTCCACACAGAAGTTAAATTTTTGCTATAACAAATGTCCGTTTGTAAGGCTTTTCCTACATACGAAATTTATTATATTGAGGTAGAACTTTATATAAATAAGTAAAAATCTAGCTTAATTAGATAAAGTAAGTAATGACATAGGTCACGTGCTAGATTATCAAAGATATCTCGCAGGGCAAAGCCCCTAAAGGAGTTAAGGGTAACATCGTCTCAAAATGCTTAAATAGCTGGCTCACCATAGTTAGTTTCTATTTTGATTAGCTACTCCGTACAGTGAGGGTAAAAAGGGGTCCACCCCATCCTCTTAGACCGACCTAACTACCTTTTAGTTAGTAGCATCCCTAGAATCTGACTAATAGCAATAGCAGGGCCTGACTTTCTTTACTAACCTCATCTAAATTTTGGAGTAACCAACAATCACTATCCCAATCCCACTGTGTAAACCAAACCATCTGGCCTAGTCTTGTTGCAATGGAACCCAACGATGGCTTTCTCCGAGCCTTTCTCCATGCGTGCCTGGCTGGAGACCTATCCAAAACCCAGGAAGCCATCGCCACCGGCCGATTAACTGCCGAAAACCTCAACAAGGGACTCAAGCTGGCGACACACATCGCACACCCTGACATCGTGGCCACTCTCTTCGACGCTGGTGCTAGCGTGACCACGTCAACAGTGGCTTCTCTCCCCGGGCCAAACCTACAGCAGCACCCGAGCGTTGTTCGCCACTTCCTGGACCATGGCCTTGACCCCAACTCAAGGCTTTCTAACGGCGAGCCTCTCCTTCCGTACGTGATAATCTTAACTTTACTCGTTACTCGAAGTTTCGGATCTGTGGGCTAACTGGCTGACTGACTGACATTGTAACCAACAGCATGTTAATTAATCCCGCATCTGCTCGCGAATTACTCTTGGCAGGCGCCGACCCCAACCTCTGCGGGCCGAGGGAAATACCTCCCCTAGGCCGCGCCCTTGTGACTATCCAGGAGGAAGACCTTTCTCTTCTTGAGCTGTATATCGAACACGGAGCCACGCTATCAGCAGACCTCCTATTTTTTGCTATGGCTCCGCGCGTCCGCCAAGCAGAGCTCAAGACTCGGTTCCTTCTCAACAAGGGTCTCGATCCGAACGTGACCTCCGACGAATGGGGCACGCCTCTACACTGTGCCATTTGCTGCGCCAAACCAAGCCTCGTCAAGCTGCTACTGGACGCGGGTGCAGACCCGAGAGTTGTATCAGGCGGCAGGAAAACCTATGGCACAAGTCCCACGCAGGTAGCCGAGAGCGTGCGAGATCCCGGAACCCGGGGAGCTATACTTAGTCTACTTGATTCCCAGGCCAGGTAACATTTTGTTTAGACTATACGCCTCGCCTAACAGCATCTGGAAGGTGGAATTCCTGCGTACTGTTCGGCTTCTTCTAATGGAGACAAGCACAAAGACCCGAGGGAGATACCTATTTAGGCCGTATTCAGGGCCCGGCCGGCAGAAATCTTCAGCAATGCCAGATCTTCTGGGGAGGGACCAGCTTGCATGACAAAGATAAGACGAAATTGCACGATAACGATGGTAACTGCGGAGAGCCTATGATGGCCTATTTGTGCTATAAAAACAACGGGATCAACTTGCCAGATCAGAAAGCGAGGAGTGGTACCTGGGTCAATGGGTATAAGGGATGGAGAAAGGCAGACCAATGTGCAAGTAACAGGGATGTATGTCACCAACATCCTCATGAATCTATCTTTCCTGGAAATCAATTAACAAATACGCAGGACACTTGGGGCTGCAATCTTTTTACTGCGAATCAGGGGCTGAAGGTCTTAGATAGGGACACGTCGGTGGAGCCCTACACGCTGGCAAACCTTGCAGGAGACTCCACCGTTCCGGAACAAATTCATTTATATGGGGGCCAACACAGGTTGTTTGTTGGTTAAAAATGGCCTGACTATTAGAGGAAGACTTTTGTTAAATAGTCGTCGGAAGAAACATCGGTGGCAGAAGCCCCAGTATCATACCTAGAGCTATGGTTCCATTTTGCCTGCCCACTTGGTTCGCTCTTCAACTATTTCAATCCGAATTCCCTCCTGGACACCCATGTCTCGGAGCCCCTGTATCAGCTCAGGTTCCCACTCCCTCACCTTGAACACCTTCATCAACAGACAAAATCCTTGGAGGCGAGGCATGGACTTCTTGCAGTCCTGCAGCCATGATCGAAAAGCCCTGAATAAAGATTCAGACTCGTCATACCATTCCCATTCATACTGAAAGCATAGATCGTCGGTGACAGTCAGCCATTGGACATTCTTTGGAAGTGCTTCCTTTAGGCCAACGACATTTGGGGCTGAGGGAGAAAATCCAAGCAGGAATGGAATCGGAACTTCCAACTTCTCAAGCATATGGAGTCCGCTAAAAGTTTTGAACACCCGCGGAAGGTGAGCGTTGGAAGTTCGGGGTCGGCCAATGAGACGTCTGATCCAGCTGTGATAGTCAATTCAGTCAAAGTCTCTTGAACCTGAGATATATCCGCAGCGATTTGGTCCAAATCTATAATATCCGTGACAAAACGATCTTCAAGATCTGGGCGGTAGTACCAATCCCACCGAAGCTTCCGAAGCCCCGGGGTGGCTGATAACACTTGACCAAGATGCCCTTCGCGCAGCATTGTCAAGTCGAGGGATAGGAGTCTCGGTGAGTTTGGGGGATATCCCCCAGGCCACATGAAAGTAGTGGGATTATCCACCAAGATCCTTATTTGTTCAGCCGACGGCAAGTAGAAGAAGGGGAGAGCGTCTGCTGTATTCCTTTCGTCCGTGTATTTGCGAATAAATCTACCAGGGCAGGGATACACAGCTGACACATCTCGGAGATGTGTAAAAGAAGGGAGGTCGCTATCTTGGGGCTCCTCGCAGAGGGCCGAACGCAGCATCATGCCCAAGATGCGGCTTTCTCGGGCAAAGTTGGTGCCCAGATAGAGATATCTCAGATTGGGGAGCCGTGATAGTAAAAGTGCGGTAAACGCGTCCATCGTTCCGGCTCGCAACTCTTGGACCCATTTTTCACCATATGGGATAGGGATCCTTTCGACGCATTGCACTAGCTCGTCCAAGGCATCTTCGCTGACGGGTAGTTTGGGACTTTTCTTTTCATAGCCATTGGCACTGTTTTCGAAACAGTCTCCATTGAGGATCACAGCATGGACGAGGCTGGCGAGCTCCGGTCTGTGCACAATGCTTCGCAAAAACTGAGCGATCGGGGGGTTCTGAGAGTTTGTCCATGTCCATTCAACACGATCGTAGAGCAATGGCTCGGCCACAGAGCGCCAGTTCCCACGCGTGAGACACACAGCGTAAAGATCGCTGGGCGATAGGGGTGCAAATATCACGTGTAGAATCTCTGGGGGGGTGTTGAGAACAGCAGGCGCCATTTTATTTTATTTTTTCCTAGTCTTTCAATGAGTACTTGACAAGGCATAAAGTGATGCTAGAGGTTTGATGCCAGGTATGAGCAGCAAAATAACGTGAGGTTAACTATCAACCTTCGCGGGTAAAGGATTTACAGAATTTCGTACTATTAGCGTGGACTAACTAGTTTACGCTAGTTAGCACTAACTTTGGTTCGTTAATCTCGCATAATGTCAACGGTTGGCTACCCGTAAACCCGCCCTAGTTCCAACTACTTGCAGTGGACCATCCTGGAAAATGTCCCTAATTCTACTACTCCATTATAGCAATGCACTATTACTTATGCTAGTTAATTAGATAGATTTAACAGGTTCCACTTTATTATATTATATCTACCAATTATAATAGCCCGAATGTTCAGAATATTAACTACTCCAGTTCTGAAAATTTCGACTGGTCCGTATAATTTAATTCGGCGGTATTTCACCACTTTTGAATATATCTCGTGGCATTACGGAGTAGAAGGTATTGATTAATATTTCTACATAGTAAATACTATTCCTAATCTTTTGAAATTCTAAGGGGAAATGCTATAGCATCTACTAGATGTTATTCTATCGTTATAATAGAAAGTCTTATTCTTAATGTATAAGTCAAGCGTAAAGAGCTCTACCCAACAAAATTATATATAAAAACTTCCAGTACGGAAAATTTATTGGGGAGTTCGAATTCGGGTATGGTTATCAGTTCCTCACTCAACAATACTAATCGGCAGGCATTCTTAATATTTACTGAGTCGAAGATTAGTAGGCAGTTAACTCAACATCGACTAGCACATCTTACGACTCGAAACTGGTTATGGAAAAATTGGGCCGGTTAGGTTGCAAATTCCCAGCATCCTGTAACTCCGCTCGCTGCATTCAAGTATTAACTATTAATAGGGTACTTGGGCTTACCACCACGCCATACGTGATGTATTTCGTGATAATAGAGCTAGTAAATTGAATTCCGTAATATTTCTGCTTGAGGGACATGGAACTTCGCTCGAGTTACTGATCAAACTGATAGGCATGTCTTCCTGATGAAGGACTTATAAGGTGTAGAATCTTGAATATACAGCATGTAATGAGCTACAGATAGAATCGTGGCCAGTAGTTAAAAAGGTCTTAGCTATGATATATGCAATTTCACGATATAACCTCCAAAGATATAGTAGATAGACTCTGATTAGCGGCTAGTTGCAGAGAGTGAGCAGTGGTATAGACGTCAACCAAGCTGAAACGATAATCAAACCACATTCCGTGTATCCTGAAAAGTATGTTCTTTGCTAGCTGAAGATCGAATATGGAGTTGTGCCCACTAGTAGTTAATATTTACACCGCTGTATCCATGCGCTCCGCGATCCTTGCTTCCATTTCTTAGAGGTAGTCTAATCGACCTAATCATGTACTCCCTGACCTGTGGGGCCCGCTTTTAAAACTGTTGCTCTTTCTATCACTACCAGGAGCGATCATACTACACGGTCTGTTGTTACTTCCAGGGCGACTCTGGTCCATCAGCATGCGACATACCACTCCCAAGGTGCGAGTTTGAAACCTCTCATACTAAAAACGTAGAGATCGTTATAAATCTGACCGAGTCATAGATAAATATGCCGTCGCGCAGCCATTGCGCGACTTGCCCTCAAGCGTAAATTGTCTATGTTGCAGTGCCACAGATTATCCGAGTTTCTTCCGGCGTGGAGCACTGTGCATGGAGGGTAAAGGTCGCCGTGACGGAAAGCGAGGTTCTTGGAGGGCACGGTGGCTGGCGGTGGTGGGATAGGAATGAGTGCCTAGAACACAAAACACCGATTAGAGGCTTCTTAAACAGTAAGAATAACTAGGAGGTATTATGACAATCACTTAATACTGACAAGACGAGTGGGGGTGAGTAAACCCCGACGATGTAACTCTAGAAAACCTGTAACCCAATTCCCAGTTTATATATTCCACTTTACTAGCCACACCGCATTAATATGGGGGGCGCCCTTAATCATCCATACTAGCTTGCCCGCGACGAGCTTCGGCCATGATTCCGAATATCCTACCTCTACAGCAATCATAGGCATGGGTACCCCTCGAAACGCGATCGCCGTATCAGGCCCCTCATAAGCGTGGCCTCTGGCTAGGAAATGTCCCATTTCAAGGGGGATTACCCCTAGCTGAATGAATGATGGGCCGTTGGTAAGCAGTAGCTGCCTTCCTGTGCAACAACTATAGAGAAATTGCTTATAAATGGCCGGAGACACGGTCTCAAGGGTTAAGACTCGGTTTGCGGAGCTGCTGAGGACTTGGCTGGCTCAATATCCTTTCTTAATAAAAGATACATGATGATGATAATAGTAGTGATGATGATAAGGTTGGAGAAAGGGAACAGAAAGTAAGACCAGAAATAAGAAGGGGCTAGATATGAAGTGAAACGAATGATTAAGTGCATTGAGTATAGCGTAGTAACTTTTGTACTGTAGTGAAGCAGACATATTCATACTACAAATTAACTGGTTCATAAGCTTCTATCAGAATGCAAGCAAACGAGATTATGACCTGAGCTCAGGGCCAGATCCCATAGCCGTGGAAGCTGTGGCACTTCCCGTGGTCTTCTGAATTCTTCGGTTGGTTATCTCGCAGCCTCTACCTTTGTGGACGCCAATAGAATGCTATGAATAGGCATTGGATTTTGTGGCTGGCAATGTCACTTAAAACCAGAGTACCAACTGGGCTTTGTCGCGCGAGAGTGAGTGATCATTATTTACTAAACATTGTGCTGATGACATATGCTACAAGGCACCGTCTACATAGTTGTCCAGGTCAAAATTAACTTATATAAATTCCATGAATGAACGCCGACATACTGTATTACAGTCCCCCAGCACGACGCAATTACAACCATTCAGCTTCTCGTTCCCAACATACCTCCGACTACCTCATATCAATCATGGCCACGTCACCAATCAAAACGGTGCTAGTGATCGGAGCCAGTGGCAACGTCGAGAAGCCCACGGTCAGGGCATTGCTGGCAGAGGGCAACTGGTCTCACTCGGGAGTCATCGCAGGTGACCCTGCCAGCTGATGTGAACCACATCAAAACCAATTACTCGGAAGCCTCCCTGAGGGAAATCTTCAAAGGTCATGACGCAGTTATCAGCACAGTTTCTAGCATCGTCCCAAGTGACGCACTAGCCATACAAACCACCTTTGTGGATGCAGCTATCGCAGTCGGAGTAAAGGTGTTTGTCCCTTCCGAATACGGCGTCGATACATCAAACTGCTCTGCCCCACAATATATCCCTTTCCTCGGGGTTAAACTCCAAACACTTGATTACCTCAAGTCTAAGCAGGACCAGATCTTATGGATCGCGATTTGTTCGGGCTCGATGTTCGATTGGGGTTTTAATATCCCCAGCTTTGGTGGCCGGAACGTGCCGACGCGCACCGTTACTATCTATAATGGTGGTGACGTCCGCTATGAAGCCACAAAACTTGATCAAGTGGGCAGGGCCATCACAAAGTCTTTGCAGAATCTGGAACTCACCAAGAACCAGTACATCTATGTGAACAGCTTTAAGGTGATCCAGAATGCGATATTGAATGCCCTCGAAAGAGTAACTGGGGAGAGGTTCAACGTGTCGAAAGGAAATGTTGAAGAGTTTTGGCAAGAAGGGGATGCGGAATGGAAGGAAGGACAACCGCTAGGAGTTATTTCGATGCTTTCCAGGGCCATTTATGGCAAAGGTGGATTGGCACAATACTCGGTCAACAAGGGGTTGTGGAATGGAAAGCTAGGGTTGGAGCCTGAGAACCTGGAGGGATTTCTAAGGACTTATGTGGCGGAGACGAAGGAATGAGGGCTGGACGGCGGTCGGGTTTCTTGCTCTAGTGCCCACGACTAAGTCATTATCAAAGGGACTCATGGTTTAGACATACACTATATCTATTTATACATCAATTTGAATCCTTACTTATTTGCTCGGAGTTCTGGACGGAATGGAACTACATTGTTTTCTCTCTTTGGCGGGTCATTACGCATGTCTTTTGCATCCAGCGTTCTTGTAAATGGAGCAGATATTCATTCGTCGGTGTATTCAGCACTGGTAAACAGGGAAAGCCGTGGGTTTCCCATACATAGAACAATTCTATTCCTGATAAATGGTCTTTTTAAGCGTATATTGAAGAGTACTATTCTCGTGGCTTGAGTACTGAGAGACGACCATAAAGAGGACTACCACAGAGACGAACATCTATATGGTAGAATCTCATTGTGATCCGAAAGAGCTTCAGGGCTCCAATGAATCAATCTAAATTCCTTATGGTATATTCAGGGTCTATAACGCACGTGACCATATATGGGCATTAAGCTGATGACGTCAGCGATAGGGATCATTGGTTACCGATGGGAGGCCTGAAAATATGCATGTATCAATAAAACCAGTCTATACATGGATTAATGTTGCTTACCCCGCCCTTCCCGATGACAGTTCGGGCTCGCTCGGTCTGGTTGGTTGACTGTTCGTAAAAAGTCCAGATCCAGCAGAAGGGTATTACGTGGGCAGGGGCTGGCTCTTCCACCACCTAGCATGTCCTGCTATTTCTACCTCGATCTCACTGCCTCACAGATATACCTACCGTCTTTTTCCGTTGAAACAATCTCTCGTTGTATCTGGTGCTCCTGTACTTGATTATCATTCAATATGTCGGACTCGTATATCCTCATCAAAAGGGCAACGGTGATCTCGATGGAGGCATCCGGCAGGGATGTCCGAGATAACTGCGATATCCTCATAGAGAATGAGCAGATCAAGGCTGTCGGCCATGACATTTCTCCTCCAACGGAAGGAAAGGTGGTCACCATCGATGCAGAAAGTTGCATTATTACTCCAGGCTTCGTGGATGGCCACCATCACATGTGGCAGCATCTCTTAAGGGGGATCACAGTGGACTGGTCTCTTTTTGGTTATTGCTGTCACCTGCGGGCCGTTTACGGAAGCCTGTACGAACCAGACGACGTTTACTTCGCCAATTATGCCGCCGCGTTGAGTCTGCTGAACAATGGCGTCACAACTGTTCTCGACCACTCCCACATAATGAACTCGCCCGCACATGCAGACGCAGCTGTGAAGGGCCTCAAGGATGCTGCTATCCGAGGTACATTTTGCTATGGGTTCTACCAGAACCCTACAGTACCTGGCGATCTTGCGAGTATGGCAACAGACACGTTTGACCAAGCCGCTCGAATCAAAGATGCTCTTCGTGTGCGCGAGGAACATTTCCCAAATAATGATCCAAATAGTTCGCTTCTCACGTTTGGAATTGCTCTGGACGAAGCGCCGATGCAGTCTCGAGAACAGAATGTTAGGGGGTTGGAGACTGCAAGGAAACTGGGAGCTAGGCTCAGCACTGTGCATACTTCGGTGATATCTCATGGGGAACCAAAGGCTGAAGTCGTGGAGCAGTTTGATGATGCAGATGTAATGGGGCCAGACCTCGTGTTTAGTCACGGAGGTTGGATGACCGATAGCGAGCTGGCTGCAGTGCGAGGTTCTGGCGCTGGCATTGTTGGAACTCCCGACACGGAGCTGCAGATGGGCATGGGATATCCTGTGGTATGGAAGGCGGCCGATCTGGGATGTCGGACGTGCCTTGGACTTGACATCACTTCGAATCAGGGCAATGATTTCATGGCCCAGATGAGGTTGGCGCTTCAGACACAGAGAGCTCGTGAATATACAAATACAGTACACAGGGAGGTCGGTAGAAAAACAGCGGACATATTACGCATGGCAACCCTGGGAGGGGCACAGGTTATGCAGATGGAGTCGCTAATCGGTTCGATCGTTCCCGGTAAAAAGGCTGACCTGGTGATCTTTCGCTGTGACGACATTGACACGGTGCCCGTTGCGGACCCTATCGGCACTGTGGTCTTCCATGCATCATCGAAAAATATTGACACGGTTATTGTCAATGGCAGAATTGTTAAGCAAGACGGTCAGCTTGTTGGTGTGGACTGGCAGTCTCTGCGGGGCGAAATAATACGCAGATCACAGCGGCTAAGGGCCGAAGCAGCCAAAGTCGATATGGAAAAGCCCGAATCGGAATTCCGTTCCATATTTGAGAAGGCCATGCAAGCGTGAACACCATCAAGGCAGAGCTGAGAAGCCTTATTGGAAAGGATGGAAGGGCTGATGACCTATGTAATTGAACTTATACGTTCTTTTTAAATTTATTTTATATCTGTTTGAGGCGGGTAAACCAGAGATAGTCTATGGATGAGCATCTTTTATCGTAGGAATCTGAAATCCAGTAGACTCTGCCTTCTATACCAGGACCCGCACCTGACCCGGCGCCAGGTTAGGGCAGGTTCTGTGGGGAGCCTGTGCCATTCTAATTGCTCCTCGAGTATTCCTCATTGAAACGTGTTCAGCAATTGCAGCACATCCCATTATATGAATGGGGTTGCGGCAGTCACACTTTCTATGATTATCCACAGTGCTGTCCCCAGTAACTACACAGCTCAGTACACCTAATTGGACAGGAATTTCTTCAGCTCCTGTCTGGGGTGTCACTTATGAGTCACCTAGCGGAGATAAATATGATTAAGGATTGGTAAATTAGGGTATAGGGTTGAATGCCGAGTATTTAACTGGTCCGGCTCGTATATTATATTATGACTTAACTATAGGATTTTGTTTGATATTGTATTAAAAATGTTGGTATAACTATTCAACGTATTAAACTTAGTATTGACTCCTCCTTGTGGGAAGCATTGTAAGTTATACCCAGTTGAACTGAAAGGCAGTACCAGTACACCCAACGTTCTCTAACAATTGTTATAACTGAGAGAAACATTCGTTGATTCTATGCTTATCGCAAACCTGGGGGTTTAGATAGACAAGATGACTACATCAATCTGATTCCATACGAGAATGCTCTGCTGTCTAGATTTACCTCGAACACTGTTTCTTTTTTCTTTATTTCTTCCAATGCTCGACGTGTGGGTGCTAGAGCTATTTGCCATTACCGTCGAGGAAGGATGGAGTCATAAATAATGCCGCAGCTAATGATGTGTCTTTGTACTTTGAGGTATGATCTTAATGCGGATGAGGCGAAGCGATTTGAGCGATCTTTCTGTGAGGATGTGTTGAAGTAGCAAAAAGCCCGAAGAATAAAAGGCCCGAGGAGGTTGATAGAAACTACTAGTTATTAATACTCAGGAGCCGGATAGTACAGTAGACAAGGGGGTTAAGATAGGAGGGAGAGATAAGGACTACGTTGAGCCTATTCTACCAGCAATAAATACTCAGATAAGTGCTTCAGCATGACAGTGTAGAGGTCGAGGTATAGCTGTTACACTAGTCTACCAAAATGACAAAAAGGGCTCAGAGTAAAACGAACATATTGTGTCATCCACTAATAAGACTTCTGTAACATCTCATCTTCTTGAACATCACAGATTTAAAAGATCTCTTCGACGTAACGACGACCGAGGTTCTGCCTCACATCTCCACCCATCATATCACTCAATTTCGCTGCCATATCATTAACCATGGCTTTTGCGCCACAAACGTAGATTGATCCCTCTTTGATCTTTGTGAGAATGATATCTTTATTGTCTTCAACGTAGTGTTGGACTCTCCTCTTCTGCTTGTTGCTGGGTACCCGATAGAGCATATCAATCAAACCATACCGCTCGGCAGTAGAAAGTGTTTCCTCAAACAAGGCTTCATCATGAGCCTTGAAGCCCACAAAAAGGCTAATAGGAGGCGATTGGAACAAGAACTCCATTCCACGGGACTCTGCCTCTTTCATAACCTGTATCTTCTGCTGTAGCAAACTTCGGACCGGAGCGAATCCGGTTCCGGTGCAGATTGCGATGAGGTGTTTCTCGCAGGAAATAAGATTCTGTCCTGGGACGATACTAACTGGAGCATATCTGATTGAATCTCCATGGCTGATTGCAGACAGGAATTTGTCGCTGAATCTCCCGCCCTTGTGGAGCCTCACCATGATTTCTACCAAGCCTCTTCCGATGTATTTGGCAGAGGAAGCAACCGAGAATGAACGAGGACGAAGTAGAGGCATATCAAGGCAGGCCTTCATGCGAAGTTCATCTGAGATCTGCTGTAGGGCTGGGAGGCGTTCCAAGACTTCAAGGACTGTCCCATTCGTGTCCCACCTGTCGCCAGCGGGAAAGGCTTCAGATAGCCACGCAAGGTCTTTAAACCTTCCTTCAAGGTCTACATAATGCTGGATAAACTCCGTGTAGTTCAGTGTTGGCATCATAGGGTCTGTAAACGGTACACGTTGGCTGGCGTTGCTGACCCCCAACGCAGTAAGGGCCCTGGCAACCTGGTCCGGCGTATTGTACGGTAAAAGTCTCAAGTGACTCATCTCGATATAGTCCGCATCACCCAGATCCATGGTTATCATGATAATTCTTCCCTCTCCTGTCTCAGCGGGGGCTTTACTCAGCAGCCGGCCTGTGTTGAATGTTGCAAGCATCCGGTGGTGTTCGAGGCACTCATCCTCAGTTGACTCATTTGTAACTTCATTGCAACCTTCCCCAGTTAAACAATCCTTGACAAAAGTCCACCAACGGTTAAAGGCTTTCATAGGCAATGCTTCCACTGCTGTGTTCCCTTTTGTAAGCCCCTTCGCGATCGGAATTCCGCCTACCGCTTTCATGAACTCGTGGAGTTTGACAGAAGCTGCATTGAAGGTTGGGTAGGCGCTGTCTCCAACTCCGAAGATAGAGTACTTGACTGCAAGTGCTCCATTGTATTCCTGAGTCCTGCCTTTCATGCCTGCTTCGAACTCAGCACCATTCGCAGGAAAGCGCCCATCACCTGTCGTCGAAACCACCAGTAGAATGGGGTCCGAGGGCGTGATCTTCCGAAGGTCCAACAGATTCAGAATATTGAAGTCCACTTGGAAGCCACCTGGAAGCTCTTGCACGCGTCTTCGAAGCTTTTCGGCTAGCTTCAACGCACTCGTTCCCGTGCTACTGTAATAAATGTGCACCTTTTTCTGAGAAACAGCTGGTACCCCGTTTGTAAGGCCCTTGTTGCCGTTTTCGATACAGAAGGAGTGTTGTACTGGCGTGACGTGTTCAGCCACCTACATATCATAAGTCAGAAAGAAAGGATTGCACCACGGGTTTAGTAAGCTACCCACCCATTCGCCGCCGGATTTCATGAGTCTGGTTACAGGAGTGGTGACAATATTGCGTCGACGCCGCCAGGACTTTACAGGATCAAGTCGATGCCTTGCTATCAACGGCTTTGGCTGATAATTAGGAGCGCCCCCACGATGCCACACTGGGACTATGGAACCCTGCGGCGGTGCTATCCAATATGGATCGGAATTAAGTCTGTACCCGTGCTTCGAAGCGTGCTCATCGTCAAAGCGGGTCCAATCGGAGGAAGCAGCCAACGTTCCGATGCAGGAAACGCCTTTCTGTAGGAAAGACCATCGAACTGCATAGTTAAGCTCAGCTTGAGCTCGCGACTGTGTTTGGTTAGCGTGCCACTTATATTGGGCCAAGGGATAAGGAAGGAGTAGGGCCCGTACCATCCACACTAGCTGCTCGTAGTCCGGCAGGTCTTCCATTGCCTCAATCTCGGCGTATTCCGGGCTCTTCTTATAGATCTCGATATCAAAGCCAAGTGCTTTCGCAACGTCAGGTAGAGCATTGTATCGAAATGAATCAGCGAGATTGCGGACACCGATTTCAGCGTCCATATACCTAGGCTGCACGTTAAACCATGCATACAGATCACGTCCATGAGTTTACGACATACCAACCAATGAATGGTGCCGCAGTATACTGCACGCCACCAATATCGAATCCGAGCCTACTAAGGGCAGGAAACTGATACCACTTCAAGCCCAGTTTCTGGAAGTTTTCGAACCTCGGATGGCGGATGTCGACTAGATCACGGAGCTCAGCCGGAACGTCGGCCCAAGCCGGGGCGTCGTTTTCCGCCATAGCAACTATGGGTAGAAGGTCCCACTGGCTCCTTGGCTCTGGTGGAGCCCACCCAAGCTCGATTATGTCTTCCGTTAGCTCGACATTACTTGGGTCACCGAGGATAGAACCATCACCTTGCCGGTACTAGATAATGTATTAGTTGACCAACATTTATGAAAGTATTCTCTGTAGATCCATACACCAGCAAAGTTTAGCAATTGTTTGCTGAGAAACATTGGTCCAGTACCCCTAGTCGAGCGTGGAGGAAACGCAAACACTACAGGTGGATCAGTAACCACCTGTCGAGTAGGAAGAGGCTGACAAACCTGTCGGCCTGATCTGTCCCTTGTTGAATGCTTTAATGGCCTCCTCGATGACAGCTTTCACCATCCCGACACTAGATGTAATATGCCGAAGGTCGCATAGGCTATTGGACCTCGGGTTAGAACACATGCCCAAGACATTATCGAGGAATGACGCACTCTAGTTCTTTATAATGCGATCTCATGATACACTTCCGTGAGTTCTTCCACGCAAGTCGGATACCATGTATAAGCTCTTCTGGGGTCTGAGTCCAGGTCGCTGTTTTTCCTACCGTCTTTACGCCATCTACCAGCATCGGTTCAATGACCTCTGATGCTTCAAGAGCCTTGAGAACTTCAACATGTCTCGCAGTGCACTGGTCTTCTGTATAGACTCCCTCCTGTCGTAGTTGCCACAGAAAACCTAAGGCTTCTTGTTTGACCACTTCAAGAGAGCGAGTCTCTCCTATCCTTGGCTCATCTGAATGAATCAACCTTCCAGCCTGGCAGAATTGTGGCGTGCAACCCGTAGAGGCAAGCACTGGGTTATTCTTGATGATTGTCTGAAACTCGCATACTGGAGTTGGCTCCATGATGCTGAACGGTGAGATCTTTTGAATTTAATTTCTTTGACTGGAAGAAATATGAAGACAATCAGATAACAGGTGAACAACTGGGAATCTCGTTGATCTTGGAATCTAGTTATATTTTCAGACAGGTGCGAGAAGGGAGTTTTATATCCAAAGGCAATAACAGGCTGCGTCCAGAATTGATCATCCATTTCTTGACATTACACACCAAGCTGCCCAGCAGGAGATAGAGAAACGATTGAGTAATGGAAATCATGTTCAACACCTTTGAGTGGTCAATATGTAGGGTGATGCGTATAGTCCGACTATCCTTTCAATCAACACCTTCGCCTCTTGAGGCACAACTATAGACCGTCTTTCTATGCCAGGGTCATACCCTTGCATCCGTAGGTCCTTATAACCTTGCATCACTTTCTGAAACAATATATACTGGTGCCTACGGAGAATTGTCGGTGTTGTGTACGGCAGCCGTTAGTGGCCATGAGTACTCGAAAGACATTCCGATTAGTATATGTGACTCTAGTACTTCGAGTTTCTGTTAGTAATATTAATACTCTAATCCTAGTTCAAGAATAATATCCATGTGGTTTACCCTGCAGTATTGCGCGTCTAGGCCACGTGATCTATTGCACCCCCATTTTCTTCAGAGAACCCGGGATTAAGAAACCAGCTGTATTGATAGCTATTTGGCAAACTGCTTTTCCTTTTATAAGGTATCAAATTGTCACAAAGTCTAATACATGGTAGGAACCGTTTCCGTTGCCCGCCTCATACAGCGTTGTTCTGAACTCTTGGTGGACCCAATGTCACTTCCTCTTCTCCTGGTCTACACACTGTACAATTGCCGATCACTGCGGGCGATAAAAGGGCTGTCAGCAATCACATTCTCAGCATGAGTATTTCGAGGACATGATTAGGGAATTGGTACCTTGTAATGGCATCATATCTTGACCGCTGCATATCAGAATTGCGTAATATCTAGCGCAGGAGGAACTGAGGAAGAAAACCAACCATCATAGATGGCGAATCTCTCTCCTTCTTGGCGCCGAAAGCTAGCACCTGATTCAAGCAGTTATATTAATCTAAGCTGTTTAATTTTAAAGTACCAATCTTGGCCATTGACTAGCGGGGCATATCCCAAGCCCTTGGCATTTAGGAAATGTAGAACCTTGGCATCAGGGGTGTTTTGTGATAGAAGGCTCTGATTAGCGAGTGCCGGGTGACCATCCTACACTGTCTCGTGTCATAGCGGATGAATCTATGAGCGAGCGCCAAGCTGTCTGGATCCAGTGCTTCAAACTCCCTTGACACTGTCTAGGTGCATGATCGACATGGCCAATCTAGTTGTAGTCATACACTCGATATACTCCATTGAGTTCAGGGTAACGGGCCGTTCCGATGGTGTGCTAGCTGCCCACCGTGGGTCTAAGGTAGTGCCGTTGAAAACTGCCTTGGCTGAATGCTATGCGCGAAAGACCTGTAGGTCGGACACTTTCACTGAAAACTTTTCGCATCACACAACGAACTATTCTTTGCCTTCGCCAAGAACTCCTCAGGCCATATCAGAATCAACGTATCCTCTCCGCTGGGCGTTCGACCAACAACCCACCTGACTAGTAGGGCAGCTCTTGGCATCCCCTCCGCTTGTGGCGATACAGGGAAATATACCCAGCTCGGATATGCATAGCTGAAGAACTTTATTTCTTGGCGTTGTACGACTCCGCGGACCGGATGGAAGAAAGTCCATTCATCCAAACCTGACAGAGGACCCATGCCTCCCCACATGTCCTACCTTTAAATCAGACGTCTAATTCGTACGATGTAGGAGCTACTATCCTTGGCATGTGCAGGGAGCAAGGGTCTAGCCCGTTATATCCCCTCTTTTATGGACCTTTGATGGTTAAAATAGATTAAATTCAGGAAAGCCCAGGCTCGACCCGCGGACGGAGGACCCTTCGGAATGCCGATCACCTTCAGTTTGCAGAGACACGGACAGTGTTCGTCCGGTGATCACCGACGGATCAGTAAAGGTTGGCCAGGGATGATATCCCACGCCGGTCAGGACCCCTTTTCTGCAACATCCTAAGTGGACCTTAGAAATGTGGAACGGGCCATGACACCCCTTGCATGCCCTCCACACTTGGCGGTACGTTCGTTGAACTTCGCGGGGATTATTCGGGCGCGTTATGCGGGGGGGCTGTTAATCTTCTGCCTAGTATGATCTGTGTATCGTTGGAATCGAACCTCGGAGGAAGCACAGTATCAGGAGACCCTTGCAAACTGATTGCGCGTATGGCAATCCCATGACCTCTTTTCTGCAGCATCTATATTGGAATTTGTTACCGAGGCATTATACCAAGATTAGTTGGTCTGACTGTGACGCCACCATCAGGTATTGTACTCCACTGAAGTAATGATGTAGTGATTCGCAAAGGCGGTCTTTCTCTCATATGACCATTATAGAGAGCCATAATCCCATGTGTATCTGGCAATAGAAATTCGACTACATGGGGCAAACAAACCCAAAGCCACATCGGGTGTGCACCTGTTAACTCAAATTTGAAGGTATAGAGGGCGGACGGGACCATTGGTCTAGGCAAATAAAGTACTGTGCTCGGCAGCCTTCATTTGAAGTCCGCCCGGTTCCGATAGGCATCGATATCCATAGTCCGCAGACACATATTTGCTATTCCATTCAATGGACAACCGTTGTCACATTAGCTTGTACGCGTACTTGGCCGGAGGGCTCTCGATATCCTTCGGGCTTGGCTGGACAGTCTAGATTGGTCTATGGATAAAGTAAATACAATACTGACAATCAAGGCTAGAGTGTAATGATATTCAATGTCAACGATTATGGAAGGCTTACAGTATCATAATAGTGACAGATATTTATCTTTCTATTGAATTTTATTTCACTCCACCCATTGCATAATGTTCCCCCTCGAATGATTAAAGGATAGTGCAGCAACTGGCTGATTCTGGCGCTGGCGAGGATGTCCGCGTGTGCGTGCGCGAGGGCGCAGCTATCGGTTCCACACCTCCTTCACAAGGCGACGGGTTAGACGGACAAGCGGTCCGCAGTCCCTGCGAGAGCAGGACCATTCCCTCTGGTTGCAACTGGTCAATCTCCGGCTCCGCCGGCAGCGTGCCAACGTAGGCATTGAAATTGTAAATACCATATGGACATTTGTCGACGATATCTCGCAGACTAAGCCCAGAGAGAGCCTCGACAATGTTTCCCTCCCGACGAACCTGGAATGACTGCACACCCACGCCCATAGGTACGGACCATTCGTGTGCACCCGCCGGTGCTTGGAACGTGCGCGCGTTCGAGCCGGACCATACCTCCACTTCTGCGGGCTCCTTCAGCAGCGTGACAAGAAACACACTGTCCTCCATTGTGTCTGAACCGTGTGGCCTCCCACGGAAGAAATCCCCGCTTGTAATGTTGGCATTGTCCTGCATTGTTGTGTCGGTTGCGTCGCAGTCGACCCATTTAGGCGTTGGGCGGTACCAGTAGACTAGCCTTTCTTCGTGAATAAAGTCGTTTGGATCCTGCACGCCCGCTTTATAGGCTGCGATGAAGGGTTTAGCCATGTCCAGCCAACCGTTGTGTGGCCTTTGGATTACAAGTTAGTGGAGACTCTTCAGATGGGTGTTGTATTACTTACATGTCTATCGCCCACTTGGATGAACCATCATCTGTGTGGGGCGACGACAGAGGCCCAACATAGTGTGACTCGCCAAAGTCGTTCCAGGTAATGATTTCCACGAAGCGTGGCCCCAAAGCCAGGACTTGCCTCCATCGGTGGTACCAGAGAAGGTCAGAAGGAAACACCCAGTTCTTACTGTAGGGAACCTCTGCACCGAAGTGTGTAAAGAACCAAGGAGAGATGGCTATTCCAAATCAGTCACATTACGACATGAGAGCCTTCGGCACACTTACGCGCAATATATGGCTTCCCACCAAGGGCATGTCTATAAGCATCATCACCATCGGTTACGGCTACCTTCTGCCCTGCACTTGGGGCCTTATTGCAACCATTACTGTCCCACGCCATCCAGTTCAGGGCGCCTTGGATATTATCGAAATCACCACAACCAGGATGGAAGTTTGGCGCAAAGAAGAGATCGCAGCCAGCAGCACTTTGAATTGCACCGGGGTCGACACCACTGCCACAGAAGGATGATACAAGCACCTTACCGTCAATCATTAGCTGCGCAGGGTGATCTGCAAACTGGCGGACCTTGGCTCCGACCTCGTTGGCTTGGCTGATCTGCCACCAATTAAAGTCGAACGAGATAAACACCTTCATGCCATTATTAGCGGCAGACTCGTAGGCGAAATATAGCTGCGTGTCGGTGTAGGAGTCTGTGCCGATGTTCAAGGCAAAGGCATCAATCCCATACTTTTTGGCTCTTTGCATGTCAGCATCATAGTCGCTGGCCTTTTGGCGGTTGCTGACAACGCCAACCTGAATTGTTGTTAGACGAGAAATTCATTGCCCCGGTTGCCTAACTCGATCCTTTAATTTTCACGTACTATGAAATGACAGAAGACCAGCCTGTCTTCGCCATTGTTATCAGGTGCGAGTGAGTCCATTGTGGTAGGCACGCCAAAAGGGAATGGCGATATTATCCTCTGACAGGATCAGGCAGCAGTGATGGAGCACGACCTTTAGAGACAAACTCGAGTTACTAACAGCCAAGCATTATTACGTAAGATAAAGATTCAATCGAAGCAGCCTCTCAGAGTGATGAACTAGCAGCCACACAAGTACAGAGGCACATTCACACCACAGTGGACTTCTGATCCGGGTCACTCTCCAATGTAAGGGTTCCTGAAGAGAAGGATAAAACAGCAATCTGTTATGCCATATATTAAAACCCAACACCTGCTTCTCATTGCGGCCGTCATGAGATTATATCCGAATGCTAGAGTGTCACTGTCAAACCAGTAAAGTAGTCGGCCCTTGGAATCGAAAGTCTTAAGAAATTAGGCAAGCCAAACAAGAAAACTGAAACAAAGGATATCTGTCTCATTAAATCAGCATTTGGTTTCATCCAAATATAATAATGCCTGGTTTGACCGGAGATAGGTATTGGGCTTCCACGGGACAGGATTTGTTGAATGCAATGAGGTGCAAGACTAGATTAACTCTCAATCTAGGCTTTCGGCCTAGATGAAACCGCGACAAACCTCACATACAGGCTTCTAACTAACAAACACGGTGTGATCTCTTTGGCATTCCGCGCTGTCTTGAATCTCTACTTCTCTACTCCTGGACCATACGTTTATTCGGTTTGTTTTATACCGTGTATGGGTCGCGGCCTGAGGCACTTCACCCGCTAGATTACACTAATCTATAAGGGGCTTTGGGCCCACAGTCGATTCCAACACACTAAAGCCTTACCACTATCTCGGAATTAATAAGCCATGCTTTACAGAGGAATGGTAGGAAAGAAGGAGAAGCAATTCTATGGCTAAGTGCTGACGTTCAAGATATGGTTCTTGTACACCAAGCCCTTTCAAAATCTCGACACGTTAATACGATAGCCTGACGAAACGAGCTTGGCTAAAGTGTAAATATCCTGCCTTTCATAACAAGCCTCCCAGTCCATGGTCTTATCAGGAGCAAAATCTCTGATGCTCCGTCACTCTCTCGTCATATCAGTTCCAGAAGTTCCCTACGGTGGGTGTCAGCATCCACACCGCTTCATATCGAATTCTAGTAATCACTGGGTCAGCGCCGGATGTGACCTGGAAATATCTTCCTAGACGGTAATTCCAATAAGCCGTTTAGCTGCACCCTCAGGCGGATGCCCATCATCGATTATTAACCATTACCTAGACGGCCCAACCCATTCCTGACGATTCCTGCCTTGAGATGCAAGCCCCACGAGCCCTATTATAATAGGCTCATGTGTATGGGGGCTTATCATACCCCGATTCAGGTACGCTGGACTCCTGGCATTTATCCAGCAGCATGACGCTTGTAAAGTAGGCGAATATCAGTATCTGAGAAAGGTACACTAGCTCTAGAGATCGCCTAGGTATCTAGCCAAGAGAAACCGCGGGGCATTGCCAAGTGGGATTTAAGTGCCATTGCCAGTTAGTCTGTTTAAATTACATTAAACTCGATGAACTGCAATCTCCCAATACTAAGGGGGAGTAACTTTGCTAGGCTGAAAGGGATAGACCACAATTTTGAATATCGCGCTCCAGTATTTCATACTGTTGATTTTCGCCGGACTCTATCGGCAGTCGCCTACTTCTGACCAACTTTCCAAGTGCACTGACCTTCTGCGGACGACGCATAAGTATTGGGGAAAGAAGATCCACGGATATTGTCCATCGGGTAACAGAAGGGAAGTGAATGATTGGGAGAAAACTATTACGACCAAGTCCAGTGTAGGACAAATGATACAAGGTATGCCCCCAAGGATACGTGGCATGTGGCTGTCATGCCCGTATGATGCGGGAGATAAAGCACATTGACATACTTGGCAATTGCTTTCCCTCTTGCGCAAGTCTCGTTGCCCGACGATGGCGAGAAAACCCCGGGTGAATATTTATGAGTGAGGCTCAACAAACACGACCGAATAAAAGGACACGCAGGACAAGAAGGGTAACGATGATCAGAAGGAAGGCTGTGTTGTCGGGTCTGAGCGCCTGTGGTTATTAACTTCCGTCTAAGAAGAGACAGCCAGTGTCTATCGATGGGACTAATCCGTCGGATCTCCGCATACGCCGTCCAACCCATATCATTGGCGCAAAGCCCGCACCCACCGTTATGGACGGCAGGCTAGCCTCGTGCATTAGACCCATAGGCCGGAGTACACCAGCCCACAGGCCGCTGTCATCAGCATACTAATCTCCATTGGGGCGAATAAAACCTGTTGTGGAGATTTTTAACCGTCAGCTATTCCCTAACCACGTAGCCGAAGTGCGCTAAGGACTAGCTTCGTGGATATTGATGTAGCTCACTGGTCGTTCGGGTATTTGTTGCAATTTTCCAAAACGAAACGGAGAGAGAATTCTTCAGCCAAACGCGGGGGCCAAAAGCATGGCTAGGCCGTTCAGTATAAAATCAGGTCGTTCGTCTCCTGGCATCTGCTCCAAAGCTCATCACATTTCATTAGAGACCTTGTTGCTTCATCATGTCGCGTGAAATTGAGCGGCTGGCTCAGCCAGCAGAAAAGAAAAAGATGCGACTCATTGTCGCTAGCTGCAGCCGGTAAGGCATTGTTCTTCACTCTTCTTCTGGGAGAGTGAATATGATCGCACTCGCTGATTGATGGCCGAACAGGACAGGCACACTGGGCCTCCACGCAGGGCTGGAAATGCTGGGGTATACACCCTATCACATGATCGACGTGATGTACAAGGGCAGAAGCCCTCACATGAAGGTGTTCACAGAGGCTATAATCGCCAACCACAACCAACTATCCGGCATCAAACGATACGAGACGCCAGACGTGGACAAATGGATAGGAAACTATGACGTGGGTTCGACCTGATATTTCACCATGCTTTGCGTCTGAATTGCCTCCTTCCAAAATTCTTGTTTTCCGACCGCGAAGAGACAGAAGGCTGACGAGGTCTAGTGCCTAATGGAAATCCCAAGTTACATTGGGCGTAGGGCCATGCAAGGATATATTGAAGACCCCGACGTGAAGTTTATAGTAACCGAACGTATACCTGAAAAATGGGTGAGGTCGATCGAAAATACTATTGGGGAAGCTGTAAAGGCAGCTCACCAGTTTCCATTAAACATCCTGAAACACTTTGACTCCGAACTCGGTCATTTCCTCCACCTTGCCACCGTAATGTACTGGGCTTACGCAGATGGAGCGAACCCAGGGGACAGCAACAGTGAAGTAGCTCTCTACAAGAATTATGTGGAATAGTCAGTATTCATGGCCCTTCGCTCCACATAATGTTTTCGATATGACTGATTCGCGACAATATAGCATTCGCACCATGAAGGAAACACTCCCCAAGGACAGGCTTCTAGTGGTGAAGCTTGAGGACGGTCTAGGTTGGGAACAAATCTGTCCGTTCTTAGACCAGCCGATCCCCGAGGAAAAGTATCCTCGTGGCAATGAGCCCGACAAGTTCCATAGAATTGTTGCGGATTATATGGAACCCAGAGTGAAGGCAGCTATGGTGAACTTCGGTGCAATGGTCACTGCCACGGCTGGAATCGCTGGATATTTAGGTTGGAGGTACTATCTGCGACAATGAATGCTATCGATTCAGTCAATGACATCAGTTGCAATGGAGGGGCGTAAAATTAAAGTAATTGAGTTGGAGAAACACTAGTTACTTAAAATCAGTTAAGGTTGTTCTATGGTCGATGGCGTGATTTTGCTTAATTTGTGGTCATCAGGAACCACCTCTACGCTGCTATTCTATTTTCCTGTGGGGCGAGCAATATGAAATAGACTAAATTGATGATAAACATACTGCTAGTTAACTATAGACACTCCATTAATCAGCCACCGCATAAACTGTGAATGCATACCCAAGTACGGATAACTTATGATTCATGCATAGGGCTTCTAGCTCCTATACGCGCGGCCAAGATAGCCACCAAGTGAAATACTCCAAGACTCTTCTATCTGCCTCATCCATATTCATGGTAATTATAATCGTACATTAGAGGATTCGTAAACCATATTCATTTTAGTTGTACCCGCCGTCTGCATTCTTACCAATAATGACGAGCTCAACACTCTTACTTCCAACGACATATGATAGGTCACGTGATGGTACTAAGGGAAAATACGAGTCGTCGAACGATTTGTAGTTTCTAGTCATTTCCTTCTTCTCCTGTTGATCTACTTTCTCACGGGCTGTCAACATATGCAATCCAACAAGAAAAAACGATATCGGTCTCAGCATGCGTGAAATTGTACAGACTCTTCTGGCGTAGCTCGAGTCCAGTTCCAAGTTAGCTTGAATACTAACGTTAATATATATATCTAGGTTCATGTTCAGATAGGACAGTGTGTACGTGAAGATATTCCACGCTCTTTACTGGGAGGTATGACTACTAATTATTACTATTTAGGGTAACGAAGTTGGGTCTGCATTCTGGTTCGAACACATTTACAGCTAGAAGATGCACTCCTGATGTTGCATGCTGATGATCTGAAGGCAGGCGATTACGGAGGAACATGGAGTGGACAAATCCGGCAGGTAAGTGACCATTCTGATAGTGGACGGTGGCATATCATTCTTCTTACACTATCGCAGTTTCATTAGGTCCGATGAAGAAGCTGGAAAACTGAATGTCTACTTTTCTGAGGTCATTGCCTAATTTTAACTTTTCTATAAGCGCTTTTCCGCTGATTCAGAGCACACAGACCGACGCTCAGAAATATGTTCCTCGTGCAGTACTGCTTGACTCAAAAACCAACACTGGAGAGAGAATCCATGGAGGCCCTATTGGCAGCCTCTTCCGCCCTGGTAATCTTCTCTTCCGAGGGTATGGCACTGGCCAGTGCTGGGCAACTGGCTATCGCACTACAGGCGCCGAGCTTATCGAGGAGTCTATTGATCTTGTACGTCGCGAATCTGAGGCATGTGAGTGTTTGCAGGGCTTCCAGCTCATCCACTCATTAGGTGGAGGAACTGGTGGCGGCATGGGTGCACTGTTGATCTCAAGGCTGCGCGATGAATTCCCCGACAGAGTGATCGCAACTTTCTCTGTGTTTCCTACGCGAGCACCCGATGTTGTTGTCGAGCCCTACAATGTAACCTTGTCAATGAATCAATTGATAGAAGACTGTGATGCAACGTTCTGCATTGACAATCAGGCTCTTACGGATATCTCCACGAGAACACTTGGGATACGTGATCCTTCTCATATGGACCTGAATGGTCTGATCAAACAGGCTATGTCCGGTGTGACCGCCTGTTTCCGCTTCCCTGGACAGCTCAATTCGGATCTGCGCAAGCTGGCAATGAATATGATACCATCTCCTCGCCTTCACTTTTTCATGCTTGGGTTGTCTCCTCTTCCCAACTATAGCTCTGAGTCGTCCAATATCACCCGGGTCACTCAACAGCTACTCAGCTCCGACAATATAATGGCTTCTGGGAACCACCACAAAGGTTGCTGTTTGTCATGTCTGACCATCTTGTAAGAGTGCCACTTTTTCTCGACGTATTAGCCTCTCCGAAACTGCGGGAAAATTCGATTCAAATGCTAATTAAAACAGCCGCGGCCAGGTCTCTGTGGCTGAAATAGAAGCGCAAGTGAACAATATGCGGAACAGGAACTCCGCTGATTTCATCGAATGGGTTCCGGATAATATTCGCTCCACTTTCTATTCTCCTCATGATACTGAGCTGTCTTGCACCGTTTTGGCCAACTCGACATCCATTCAGGACATGTTTAGCCGTATCAGCGAGCAGTTTTCGCATCTGTACAGGCGGAAGGCCTATCTGAATCCATATAACATACATGGAGTGGATGAGCTTGACTTTATGGAGGCTGAGTCGAACATGAATGATTTGATCGAAGAATACCGGCAGTATCAGGACAGTCCTTGGGAGTGTGCGACTGTGGTAGACGTATGAAACTAATGGAATTATTAAATTTGTTGCTAAATGCCTAAGCCCTCGCTGAGACCTAAGACTAGCGTCGGATACAACACGTTGGCCTCTTCAATGCTAGATTATATAGTATCAATGTCTAAGCTAGTGAATGTTGCTTTTGGAAAGCATCGATGGCAACTCAATTGCGTTCTCTTGTTAAAGATAGCCCGAAGCAGTCACTTGGCCCTTCAGATATCTTCTGGGATCTTAAAATCAGGCAGACTTCTAGAAACACTATGATACTCGCTGTTACGCTTCGCCGGCCCCAATGTAGGCCCCTCCCGACGAACAAGGTACGTCCAGAACTGTTGAGCCTTCCACAGTTCCTTTCCGAAACAATGCCAAGCGGTCGCGATTAACTCTCCCCCGTCGTGTCCTTCGTACCTGATGCGGAACTTTGTAGCGCAACTCTTGCACCGCCAGATGAAGTTATCGTTCGTTTCCGCATCTGCGAATTGCGGAGATGTACTGGGTTGAGGGACACCCTTGCGCAAATGGGGTGGGAAAGCGGTCGAGATGGCGAGAGTGAGAAGCGAAGTGTTGGCTGCACCCTTCTTTGACCGAGATGTCTTTGTTTGGGTAACATTTTTTGTGGATAGATGTGCACAAACCCGGAACGGAAGGGAGATGATATGCGCCGCTTGGAGGTCCCGAGTCCGAGAATCGCTCGTTCGTAGACGGTGCTGTTGGGTAAGGACAAGGTTCCGGTCTACCCATTGTGCCGACGAGGAAAGCCTGTAGCTCACTAGACCGGGATTGAAGGTAAAGTCGCCCTCGAATAGTGGAATTGGTGATGTAAGCCCTAAGGCGGCAGGCTGTGACTTGAATGCCTCGAGAACATGCTCCCATACCAGACTGTAGCCACCGGATGGTGTTTGCGGCCAGTAATCAATGCTTGCTAGCTGGCCCATACAAAGCTTCGTCCATTTGGTCTCGCGATGGTCTGTGGGTGGTTTCAGAGGAGGATGGAGAGTCTCGCATCGGGGACAATATTCACTCCCTGGGATATCACGTTGGAGAAGCTCTACCAGCGATCCGTAATATCCATATTGAAGCCCATAGTGGCGAGCCCTTCCACGGAAGCTTGCCCAGGATGTGGTACCAAGTAGATGCAATGCTTCTTTGCAGGTTAGGGTCAAACAAGCCTCGGCATCAGGCGGTAGATGGTTAATGATTTCGTCGAAGATTTCCCTGGGCAGACAGAAGAGGCGTAATGTTCGATTGGGATTCCGCTCAGCTTCCAATGGTGACCGTTCAAGATAGGTTGGTTTTGGTCTTTTTGCTATTCGACGACTGACTTTGTCGTTACCCCGAAGCGTGGGTCCTGGCTGGCTGAGGCTATTGTGGTTGCGCAGGGATCTTTTTCTTTGGCTTGTCTTTGTGTTGGAAGAAGGTATCTGGGCCTTCTGGGAGCGAGTATGTGCCATATCTAGGTAGGATTCTCGTATTATAAATCTTTACATAGGAGATACCCGGGGTACATTTAATAGAATGAGCGAACAGGAACAATGTCTAGAAATGGGAGTGCTGCCTGATTTTCACACGGTCGGTGCCTGGCTCCAGGCAACCTTCCAATAGTAAATCCCGTGACAGCACTTCGAAAAGCCTCCTCGGCATGCAATTCTTATCGCTCGATCTGAAGTCTCCAATCATGTCCCATCTTGGCGATCAATATATGAGAATTCTTTTACCCTGTACAAAGATCCCAGGTAATCTGAGTATCATGCTGGGTGACAAAACTGTACGAGGATCGGTGTGGGTGAGTAGGTGGGATTTAATCCACTTTCCCATGCATTGAGAATAACTCTCCACCAGAAGAACTAGTGGCAATTCTTGGCGCTCACTCTACCCCACTTATGCGAAATGGTACTCACTACTTCATAATGTCCGCGAGGGTGTGGTGTATCAATAGTGGAATGATATCATGTAATCCTGAATTCTCGGCACGCCAAGACCGGTCCTATACAAGAGTACATATAACAGTGGCCGTGAGAGCTAACTTCCGAGATAAAACCCAGACTTAACCGATCAGGAGTTGACTATTCCTCCAGGAGCTTAGCAAACTAAAGTAAACTGTCAGCCAGCCAAAACTAATCCACTTCACTCGTACCCCAATTCGGACAGCCAACTGGAGAACTTCTTGCACGAAATCCTTTTACCGGTCTAGGACCCTGGAATTCTGCACTAGTCATAGTTAATGGCGTGCTCGGATCTTGACCAGGACCAAACGTCAAAGGTCCAGGATGCTGTAAGGATCGTGGAGCACATGAAAGTTCGTTCTGGTTGCGTTCAAGGTCCGTCGTGAAGTCAGCCTGCTGGGAGTGCGGTTGCTGGCCAGATGGGTCGTGACAGCTTCCCCAACGAGCAGAAGTTGTGGACGTTTATTTCTTCAATGCTGTCAGCTCTGCAGGGCCGTTGGACGCCGCGTGATGGCCACTACCATCTTTAACCTAGACTGCAGATGCCGTGGCAACTGGGCGGGGTGCGATGGGCACGAAAGATGTGGTGTTTCGGTGAAACGATCGGGGAGCAGGTTTCTATATGAAAGAGACGGGAGAACCCATCGTTAGTATCGTACTGAGGAATTGTGACGTTGTGTAGTTATTGATTAGGGTTTTCTTTTTCCTTCTGGGGGTGCTGGGGTATCAGGGCATGTCTGGTGCACGTCTACTTTTGCAGCAGTCGTATATTTAGTGTGCTCTTCTGCCCTTGCACAGGTCGTACTATCGCATTTCGAGCAGGATAGTGGTGGACGACCTCTTCTATTAATCCGACGCAGTGGCCGGCCTGGCTCTTTTTCAGTATATTCTGAGGACAATCCGATTCAGACTTGAGCATACCACGATGATTGCACGACCTGACCCGGTGGCCGCGGACACAGGACTCGCAAGCCCATTTCTCGCCATTCATACGCATCTCTTGGTTAAACGAAACGATATCAAGGGTGTTCTTCGATGAACGAGCGATATTTCTGAGATCAATTCAAAAGTCTGCGGATGACATTTACCATGGAGGGCTTATAATTGGTAGGAGGGTTTGGTGCGGGGAGGATCACCATATCTGTGCACGAGCGTGGCTGCGCCAACCTATACCACCGGTCAGTGAGTGCAGTGATGATCTATTTCCAGTCCCGTCCTTCCGAGCTTCTAATAGCAGGTCAATACGAGCGTCGAAGTCCCCTGCCGGAGTCGCTTCGTGGCTATCTCCCGCTCATGGGGTCTGAGGAACTAGGCTGCGCCAGGACCCGTGGGCATCAGGAAGAAAAATAACGTTAGACCACTACATATAAGGAACATGGCTTCTACTGTACAATATCTATTGCTTGATAACCGATTCTGTATATTATCAAAGCCCTAACTCTCTGAACAAGTCTGCTATAACTGACCTATAAGCTAAGATCCAGATATATTAATAGTAATTATAAAATACATAAAATAGATTGTATATAGGGTTTCCTACCCTATATATAGAGGATATTCTTTTCCTTTTATATCAGATACTGACTAAAATAATAAATATCAGTAATACAGTACCTTCAGTTAGATCTAGATAAAATTATACTGCTATAAATAATAGAAAGATTATCACAGCTATTAAATACCATAGAAACATCCTGGTTATTCTTATATAGTACTGTCTTAAAATAAATGAAAAAATCTTACTATATATATCTCTTTCCAGAGAATTCTTAATTTATTTACTTAGTAGACCTACTTACAAACGCTTCTACAAGAGCTAGAGATACACTGTATAAACCACAAATCTCGCGAGTAGCTAGCAGTTTATCAAGTATATAACCGAAATCTCTACTCCCAGCTGCCTAATATAGAAGATAGATCCCAGTTATAAGAACTGTATACTATTCAAAGAGCCCCGTCCTTAAATCATTGAGCTTACGGAAACGTTAAGTCATTATTGTGTGGACCTGTTGGAACCATGGAACCTTGACGTGAAAGATCAACTCACCTTACTTGGCAAAGGACACCACGACCTTGGATGCTACAGATGTTGTCTACTTGAGCTTTACATTTTTCCCAACTACCAGCAAAATCCTTCCTCCACGACATCCACGTGATCATTCACTTGAATGTGTTACTCCTGATCTCCCACATCACCACCAGCATCAACAACAACAACAACAGCATCATCATCGTCGTCATGTCTTCGGAAGAAAATCAATCATCAGCATATTCCCTCTGCCCCTGTGCCGACTCAGAATCCCCTGTTTCCTCTGACCGAGTGCTCCGCAGCCAGAGCAGCAAGCACCCCCAACCCCCCAACCCCCGCGACTTATTCTACACACTAAAGAGCGAAATCATTCAAGCTAACGGCCCATCTTACATTGAGAGGGGGGGAATACCCCAAGACACAGGCTCTCTAGTCGCCAGAAGTTTGGCCGAAGACGGAGACGTTGAGAGAAAAGGAGTTTCCATATCGTTTAATCCCAGTTCAGCAATACTCTCAATCAACATGCCCACTGCCACTCACGAGGCTGTCCACGACTGGGTTACTGATGAATTTAGAGCTGAGAGTATTGTCAAGGGCTTCTTCACTCGTGACGAACAGCGAAACTTCGCAGTATATGCAAGCAGAAGTAAGGCAATTAAGATTCTCTATGACGGAACTATGCTGAGGAAAGACAAAAAGGATACGATAGTTTCCCCCCACCTTGGAACAACGCGTATAAAGAACCAGATGCAGCAATTGCGTTTCGGGGGGTAGCTATGCCAATGATTGCTGTGGAGGTAGGATATTCAGAGTCATGGCCTAAGCTCGTTGCCGATAAGCTGGTCTGGATGTTGGGGGGCGCTCCCCATGTCAATGCGGTACTACTAGTTAAGTGGAATATACGAACAGGGAATCGGATCTCAGGCTTCCTAGAGTTACATCGGCGGGGTTCAGCCACCCCCACTCATCTTGTAAGGATTAACTGATTTCTACAAATCCTCTTAGCTGCCGTTATTGTTTAGAAAGCAGCTAACCAGTTCTCTCTATTCAAGGATATATTCCCTGTCCCCGCCCCCGGAGCGCCCCCCCAGTCACTCGCATTCTCCAGACAAGACTTCTATCCACCTGGGCAAGTGCCCGTTGGTAGAAACGCCAATGATGTACTTCTTTGGAGTTTAGATAACCTGAGGGACAGAGCAGAGTGGGCTATGGGGGAAGAGGGGTTCTGCCCAGCCTAAACAATGTCTCACGATACGTCACCATGAACTCTCTGAGCTTGAGACCATACTTACCAGAGCCGTACAACACAAGTGTTATCCTTCACCATTGTTGCCCTAGATGTCGCCATAGCACCGATAGCCGATGCTCTACCGACCGACATCCGGAGAGTTAGGAGGCAGTGAATTCTCTCTTTTTTTTTTTTTTTTTTTCCCTTTGGTTTCCCCTGTTTCTTGTCTGTTCAAGTTAATTGAAGAAGTACTAATCAGTATAAATGTTTACTGACTCAAAAGCTGAAGTCCAACTATCATGTGCTGGTTGCCTATTCCCATACTATATATTCTCTGTTAGTGCACTCTCAAGGTAGGCCGACCAGATCAAATACAATGCCGGATTGCGAAATCCTCCTAAAAAAAGTAAACCTAACTTAGCTCGGTCGCGACATCTGGACTGTCATCGTTCTAGATTCTACAAGGTTGTTTTCATCTGAAGCGAGGGGAGGACATTGAGCCATTTCCCGCTACGATTGCGTGTGAGAATCGCGGGGTGATGCAAGTCTTGGTCTACCGTGAGTTGGCTAAATTTCCACCAAACTTGATTCAGCCCAGTGGCCATACAAAATTCATCCTTTAATAGTAGGTACGACTTTAGGCAATTGAGGTTTGTTACGAAATTCTTCTGAAAACCCCGCTCTAGAGAGAGTTGTGAGTGCGCTAGGCGATGTCGTCGAAGAATTATCTCATCCATCTGCGCAGTCACGACATTCTCTACGCCGATATGTCGTTATCAGGCGCAGATCGTTATAAATGCATCTGGTCTGGCCCAAAGACCTCGGCCATGGATTTTGTCACCCACTCTTCATACTCAACAAAAGATGGCTGGGGAAGAACCAAAGACGGTGCCTGTTTCAACCACCGAGGTCGATACGGACTCTCCGGGGGCCAGTATAAAATACGATTCCGACAGAGAGCGCCAGGAGAACCCGAGCCAACCTCAGCCGGGTAAAAGCACCTTCGAAACAGAAGACCATCGCTTCTATCGACCAATCGACAGCTATGAGGGCATACATCGCTGGGACCCTAACTTTGAATGGACCGACGAGGAAGAGAGGAAAATTGTCAGAAAGGTGGGACAATTCATTATTTCTATCTGCAGACCTGGCTTACAACTATAGATTGACTGGCGTGTCTGCACATTCGCATGTGTTACCTTCTTCGCACTGCAACTGGATCGAGGAAATATCGGCCAGGCGTTGTCGGATACTTTGTTGCAAGACCTGAAAATGACCAGCAATGACTACAACACTGGCCAAACTATCTTCTTAGTCTGCTTTCTGATTGCCGAAATGCCCTCGCAGTTGATTTCAAAGCGACTGGGTCCCGATCGCTGGATTCCCATTCAGATGGTGGCGTGGAGCTTAGTTGCCGCGTGTCAGTCATTCTTGAAGACCAAATCAGCTTACCTAGGTCTCCGTGCCTTGCTTGGGCTACTTGAAGGTGGTTTCATTCCCGATACAATTCTCTTCTTGTCATTCTTCTACAAATCCAGCGAACTTCCAAAGCGGCTTACCTGCTTCTGGATCTCATACACGCTGACCAGCATCATTGGCGCATTTCTCGCCTTTGGTCTTCTCCACATCAAGGACTCCAACGGTGGCGGAGCCTGGAGGTACCTCTTCGCATATGAAGGTCTCATCACTGGCGTTATCGGCATCCTTGCTGCATTTTGGATGCCCGCAGGCCCAACCCAGACCAAAGGCGGACTGCGCGGGAGAGATGGATGGTTCAACGAGCGCGAAGAGAAGATTATGGTGAATCGTGTCATTCGGGACGATCCAAGTAAAGGCACCATGCACAATCGCCAAGCTGTTACGCCCAAGCTCCTCTGGTACTCATTAAAGGATTACCACATGTGGCCGATCTACGCTCTTGGTTTGATTTGGATGATTCCCTTTACTCCGGCCACCAACTACCTCACGTTGCAACTGCGTCAGCAGGGATTCTCCACCTTCCAGACCAACTTACTTGTAATTCCTTCAGCTGTCGTCAGCATCATAACGATGGTCACCACCACCTGGCTTGCAGAGCGTACCAACCAGCGTTTGCTCTGCGGTGCCGCTGTAGAAATTTGGTACTTGATCCTACTGATCGCACTCGAGACGCTCCCGATGAAAAGCATGCCCTGGCCTCGATTTGCCATCCTAACTCTCACCGTCGGAGGCCCCAGCATTCACCCCGTGGTGGTGGCATTAACCTCGCGGAATGCAGGGTCTGTCCGGACCAGAACGGTCGCTTCTGCTTTGTACAATATGTCTGTGCAAATCAGTAGCATTGCCGCTGCTAACGTACGTTCTTCCGTGGATTAGGGTATGTTTGTCAGGTGCTAACGCTAGGATATATAGGTCTATCGAACCGATGATGCGCCGTATTATCGAGAGGGAAATAAGGTCACGATCGCACTGGCGGTTGTCAGCTTCTTCCTCTTCATAGGAGCAAAGTTATACTATGATTGGCGGAATAGGTACGTACTGTACTCATCAGTAGGATCCTTGGCCAGCTGCTGATCTGAACAGGCGAAACGCCGAGAAATGGAATGCCCTTACGAGTGAACAGAAGCAACAGTATCTGCGAGAAAACTCAATTATGACCAATAAACGGTGGGTTGTAGACTAATTCTCTTTACAAGTCCCAGAAGCTGACCACGTGGGTTAGACTTGACTTCCGGTTTGCCTCTTGACTGATGGGCCATTGTGACTTTTACACCCACCATGAGCATGTCATATTTGACAGTCCGGTAGGAATCTAGTAATTCTTGTTCCTATAGAAGTTTTAGATCGAGCATCAAGGACAGCATGAGGAAACCTAAGCATATTATGAATGAGATTATATTTGCTACGCAATTCGGAACCTACTGTGATAGGGCGATAGCCATGGATTCGGGCAATGGGCGCCTTGTTGCCTGAGGTAACACGTAACTACGGGCTCGCTTTGTGATTTTCATTTATTAACAAAGCGGTTATCGCCGTTCTGCTGCCGCCCCCCACCGCCTACTTGCCTGGGGTGGTCCTTCTGCCTTTCCCGTCTAGAAGGAGTGTTTGTAAGATACCGGTAGGTAAGTTAGGGTACAATACGGGGTTGTCGAGGCTGTGGCTGAAGGCATGCAAACACTGCAAAGTTCTAAGTTTACATCAGATCATCTGCACGCTGGGAACTTGAGGTCAATACAACCCCAGATTGTTATACAACGGATGAGGTCAGGATGGCTTTCCTCAGATTCCGGTTAGAGGCTGCCAACAGGCCCCCTGCCCCGGTTCCTATCGCTGCTGCTGTGTCCCGACCTCGGCCAAGGGGGCAAGACGGCAACGTGCAGCATCATTCACGTCCAGGAATTGGCCCCCAGGCAGTATCTGATGAGAGTATGTGCATTACATCTCCGGCAAGCCATGGAAGGTGCAGGTTAGAACCAGCTGGTTACCCCGGCCGGTCTGTTAGTATAAATGATTCGAGGGTTCGTTGCAGCAAAAGGTTGGGAACCGGTCAGCCTGACGAGGCCATAATCTGGGGCGTGTGGTGTGACTGACGTGGAGATTAGAGCAACCTCCAATCTGCGACGGAGAACTGCCTGTATTGAATGTAGAAGCTCCAAGTCGCGCTGCGAAAGGCTTACTACGGGAGATAAGGGAGGATGCCTCCGATGTTTGCGGCGGAATAAGGAATGTATTCTGTATCCACCATCGCAAATAGCTTCCGTGGAAAATCCTACGACCCGGGCAGCATCACGCTCCTCCAGTCCTAAACTGCATGCGCAACAACCTCATAGTGGAACAGCTTTCTTTGATCGTCAAGGAGCAGGAGAGAGACATGAGCTTGATGACGACTTAGACATGGACGCACCTGCGACTTTTCAAGGAGAACCCACCAACGCCACATGGTGTAAGTTTCATGAACCGCATTCCCTTGTTTTCCCCGTTGGCCATATCCTAGAACTGCTGATGAGTTGTAATAGCGTCTCACCCATTATCTTGCAGTCGAAGCGAGCAATTTGGGCGCATGATGAACTCTATCCTCAGCCCAGAAATAGCTGAGCAGATCTTTCATGAGTACGTAGATAATTTCGCTCCGAAATGCCCAGTTGTTATGTTTCCAACTGGCACAACGGCTGCGCTTGTGCGAGAGACCAAACCATTGCTCTTCCTGTCAATAATTAGCATCGCTTCTGCTGGATACTGCAGCGCCGCCCAGCAGAGAGACTTGACAGTTAAAGCCAAGTTTTATCTGGCAAACCGAGCTATTGTTCGTGGTGAAAAATCTCTTGAGCTTGTTCAAGCTCTTCAGGTCGCGGCTTTTTGGTACAGAGCACCAGATGATTATAAGCAAATGAACCTCAGCCAGCTAGCTTCTATTGCCACAACTATGGCCATAGATCTTGGGTTGGATACTTTGGAGGCATCAAAGCCAGCTGGCACAGCCGAGGAGTTGTGGGATCGGGTGGAAGCACAGCGTGCTTGGCTCGGTTGTCTTCTTTTATCTGCAAGGTGCAGTTCTTGCGTAATTTGCTTCTTTCAGCGAAACTGAAAGCTGATTATATTTTAGTCTATCTTTAATATTGAGACGGCCCAATTCTCTCGCCTGGAGTCCGCAGTATGATGACTATGTGGCCGATTTGCGACGGGCCAAAGTATCCCCTACGGATGAGCTTTTATGCACAATTGTAACAACGGAGTCTATTTGCCACGCAATTCATAAAGAGCTATTCCTGAGTGATCCAGTCTCTTCCGTATGCTTATCTGACTCGAAAATATCCATCGAAGTCCAAAAGCACAAGTCTCAAATCGAAAGCCTGCCTCTCAACCAAATATCCTCTCTTGACAAATGTGAGTGTCGTCCTTGAAACTGCGTCCCTGGTGGCATGAGGTGCAAAAACTGACAATGGCGGAATTCAGCTCTGGTCGAATTTGGTAGCTTTGCCAGCTTACTGTATTTACATGAGCCTATCTTACACGTCAACGACAACATTGTTGAGTTCAAGGCCCCTTTTAGTGTGAAGTCCTTGGAGACGTGCAATTTCATCGACACGCACGATTTCGACCCATCCTTCCTTTTTATGCTTCGCACCATCATACGGGCGGCGCAAGGACTGCTTGATTGTTTCTTAAGGTTATCGACGTCTGACATGATGGCGTTACCGCCGCATATCTATGGTGGTCGCGTGATATATGCGATGATACTTCTGTTGAAAGTACAAAGGGCAATCACATTATCAGGGCGGGCAATAAGCGAATGTGTCACTTCTGATGAATTACGAATAGAAATGTACCTTGAACACCTCGTGCGTGTTTCAAAGAGGCTCATTGCGGAAGATGACCGCAGTGCTCTAAGCAGGGCATTCCTATTCATGCCTCAGCTGATGCAGTGGTGGCACAGTTACCAAACCAAGACCTTGCCCCGATCAGACGAAACTGAAATGACGGAAGGTCTGTCATTTCGGACCGGTGATGGGCCATTGAGCCCTGCAGCACAAACACCGAGGGCAACCGTTTGTGTCCCTTCGACCCATACGCAGACGCCAATAATAACCCATCTTGAGCCAATGGACGGCCTTGGACAATCGGACGCGCTTACCCAGCCTACCAAAGCTTCCGATGATCCGAATGTACACAATGAGGGTCCAGAGTTTGAGCCATATCAGCATGAACTAGCATCTGACTCTTGGTTTTGGGAATTCTTCAACGTCGACATGCTCCATCAGAATGACCATTCATCATGAGAGTCGTGTATCATCATTTCAGTCATGGCTATTTCCTAAATTTCTATGTGACGATAGGGTCCTAGTTATAATGTACATGTATTCGCATTCTATCGATACTATTAACGCCATCAACCCCGTTGCTACTGCTTCTGGCGGATTTGCTTCAGCCCACTTGCATGAATTGATGTCAAGGATGGGTTACGCGTCCAGGACTTTCCTCCGACTTTGGTTCTTTGGGTTTGTCCTTCACGGATCGCCATTCAACGCCCAGGGCACCAAGAATGGCGACACAGGCTAAAGCCAAAGCGACTACAAAGGTTTGGACGACTGCGTTGTTGTAGATCTCCAAGACCTGAGTAACTATCGTGTCGGCCGGGCCCGAGACAGCTTGCGTCACTGTGCGGCGAAGATCGGTCGCTCCGGACTGAAGGACAATAGAAGGGTCTAGCTGAGGAACTTGCACGCGCATTCCAGTGACAATGTGGTTTCCGAAAATATTCTGGCCCACGGAGACGAAGATGGCACCTCCAAGTGAGCGAGCAAAGACCACCAACGATGTTCCGACGGAGACATCCTTCTCGGGAAGCACTGTCTGAACAGCAATATTCGCAAGCTCCATTCCAATACCAGCACCTGCACCGAAGATGACTTGGAAACCAAACCTAGATACATTCAGCTGAAGAGCTTGCGGTTGTCAATTCGCAGTTACATACCACATCGATGTCGGTATGTTGACTTTAAAGGTGAGAAATAAACCAGCGCCAATTGCCATTATCATTGAACCCGCAATCATGAATGGGCTGTAATATCCCATAATCGAGACGCCCAAACCACTCACGATTGCAAATATCACTACTTCGTATCAGTTTGTACTGTCTACCAGTTGGTCAGGATTTGCTTGGATCGCTATACTTACCGACGCTCAGAACGGTAGGCAGGTTATGGATACCGGACTGATCGGGAGAATCACCTTTGATTGCCTGGAACCTGTCCTCAATGTTCAGTATCAAGAGAGCCAATACAGTCAATAGTTCGGGGGAGCTTTGAGGGGAATTCCGGACATACCAGATTGGCAAATAGTATATGAGTAAAACAAAGGACGCACTAGCAAAGAAAATATAAAATGTCGAACAGGCAACGGTGCGCTGCCGCAGCACACGAAGGGGGACTGTCGCATTGTCGCCGCCTCGCCATTGCGTGATTACCCAAATGATCATCAGCGCTCCGAACACCGTCAGTAGCGCAATTATACGACCATCTCTCCATGAATATTGGGTTCCTCCCCATTGGAGTGCAATCAGAAGACAAATAATGGAAGCCACGAAACAGATCGTGCCGACGGGATCAAATTGGCTTAAGGTCGCCCAGCCTTTCGGCTTCAGCCTGGCTTCTGGCTTTTGCGAGAGGAAAAGAACAATGCAAGGGATGGCTATAGCACCAATTGGCAGATTGACTAGGCTCAGATCAGTTTCAAGCCCAGGTGAGAATATCAGAGAATACCTGTGACATACTGTAGAAGCACCAGCGCCAAGATACATGAGCTGGGATTGGAGCCTAGACGTTAGCACCAAATTGGACGAATGGTGAAAGGCGATGGGAACTGACTTGTAAAAGCCCCCCCTAACAAGGGACCAATCACACTGGCTATACCCCATACTGCGCCGATTATTCCCGTAAAAGCTGGTCGCTTCGACAAGGGCACTGATTTGGCGATGATAATCAGAGCGCCTGAGAAAATACCAGCGCCTCCAACCCCAGCAATGGCTCGCCCTATGATGAGGGCGGCGGAGTTAGGGCTCGCGCCACAAATCGCGGAGCCTGCCTCAAAGACCAATACAGCGCTCACAAAGGTCCATTTCAGTGGAAACAAGGTATAGAGCTTGCCAAAGAACAGCTGGAAACTGCAGTTCGTGAGGAGAAAGACGCTACCGTACCATCCGATGTCTTCGACGCTGTGGAATTGGGAGGTAATAGTTGGGATTGCAGTAGCAATAATCGTTTGATCCTAATTAGAACCATACTGTTAGTCACCCATCTCCTGTCCTTCGAAAGGTGATTGATTCGTTGCTGGGAAGCGAGTGTGTAGTACGAACCAGCGCCACCAAGAATACCGTCAAGCACAAAGCCCAAAAGACTAGGGCTATTTTTAAACCCGAGGGATACTTTGCACTCTCCGAGTCCACTTCTTCATTCAGACGATGAAAAACCATGTTGTCTGTGGCGTATTGGCTGTCCTCTTGTGAGTTGTCCATGCCCGGTGCCTTAGACATTCCTCTTTCCTCAATTCCTATCTTGAGTTATATCGGTTTGAAGCTTCGACGGAGAAATTGAGAAAGCAAGTAGTAGCTCAGTTAAGTTCAGCAAAAGAAACACAGGTCCTGTTTCATCTGTGCTACCAAGTAAAATATAGCTAACACCTCCAACTGAATCAAGTAGATATAGTAAAGTATTTCTTTCTATAGATGATCCTCTGCCGGCAGAGGATCATATGTGAAGCTTCTTATTGGTTGATAAATTTCCTCTTCTGTACTAGTTCTAAGCATACTCCATTCTGATTTGCTGAATAATTTCCTAATCCGGTATTACCGACGCCGATTCCGAGAAATGGAGCTTATCCAATAGAGTTTGTCATAGTTGTTGACTTATAAGTTATAACTTTGACTCTGATATTTACAGGGCACTTTCTCCCAGATAGAATGGATAATAAGACGGGTGTTAACAGAAAACATTGATATTGGAAGGATAGATGCCCCTGAATTTATATTTTCGATAGAAAAAAACCGATGTATACTGAGAAAAACTAGTGATGCTATATTATCAATAGCTTCATGTATTCTTAAATATCTCTGTTAAATTTAAAAAAACAGTAATTGATTCTAAACTTAATGTTTAGCTTGCCTCTTAAATAATAGGCCGATATAACCTTTAAGCTATTATAGTTATCTTTATTCTTATTATAATCATACTAGACCGAACGCTGAGTAAGGACAATATGAGGAACCCTAACCAGAGTATCAATATACGCGTTCTAGACAGAGATAAACACCCTATCATGAATACAGAAACTAATTGCATCTGAATCACGACATAGCTTTAACCCTGTAGGCTCAACTTAGGCACAGTTGGTAAATACGTTGACATTATCGCTCGGCTATTGCGTCAACATCACTTAAATGAGGCCATAACTGTTGATAAGCTCATCTGCCATGTCAATTCTCTACCTATTGGTTAATCCGTCTGTATCGATCACGCCAAATGTTCTATAATCTCTCGGACTTTTGTGAAACCGTCTACTTTACTGCCTCTAGAATTACGCCCCAGTTCTAGGAGTCTTCCCTACCCGGGGCGTTTTAAAAATTGGACACCCATCCCCACACCCCTGTCCACGTGCGCGCCCGCAGACCTTTAAGCACAGCAATTTGGGTGCATAAGTGATGGTTTTACATGCATTTTATAAGTTGCTGAGCTAATATCACTAGCAGGTGTATGATTGTTGTCCAAGATCTAGCGTCAACACTGGAGATTCCTCCAAATGAGCTACTTTTGGCATGGTCGTGATACTTTTATGTATCCCTATGTAGAGTATGTAGACTGATAATCAGAGTTGTTTTCTTATGACAATGAGCTCACATTGAATGCACCTCTTAGTTTCTCAGTTTCCTATCCCAGGTTGTTTCTCTTCTTCCTACCAGAAGATCTTGCCCCGCAGGGGGGGGGGGGGGAATCTTGACACGAGTAACTGCGCGGCAGCTATACTCGAAAGCCCTATGTCTCTCCAGCACACTTCTAGTCAAATCCACCACGGCTATTCGATCAGGGATACTAGGATTACATTCCTAAATAGGAAGTTATTTGAAGTGGGGAGCCTTAACGGGAGCTAATGTACCACAATTATACTTTTAACACCTAGGGCCCTCTATAATTCTATTTATTAAGACTATGACGAGTATGCATTACTAGGACTAAAAGTCCTGAATAGGAAAGTGGGCGGAGTGGAGAAGTCAGAGCATGAGGTAATATGCGCCCTGTGCGGCAACTGTATTCAGTTCTGGGTATGCGGACCTGTGTCAGGACCCACCACATGGACCTGTAAGTCTGCCCTACGCAATGAGGAAGTTGTATGGGAAAAGGTCTTAGACTTTACTAGCAAACCTTTCAAACTTGTGTCACTGTTATAACTCCTAGGTATACATTGCCAAGCGGGTTGGTGAGTGTTATACGCCCTCAAACCAAGGAGTGTGCATTTTACCATGGCCTCAACAATGTAATGAGAAGGTCATTGTAAAGGGATATTCAACCTCCACAGTCCAATTGCTGTCTCTAGCAGCTAGGCCGTTCCTATCCGTCGATGATTGGACCAAAACTTACCTTCAATAACGTTAAATCCCAGAGAATTGAATCTCATGATCACGTGAACCTGTATGATCCGTAGTTAAGATGATGAAACTGGCTGATAGAGTGCACTAAAGCTTGGCCAGTTGCCGTGGTGTTGAAGCCATTATGTTGCAATATGTCGCCATTGAGGGGTCGCACCCATAGGAAGTATATCTCTTCCTCTCGGATAATCGGATGTACGGAGATCTAATACAGATCTGATATGCAGCTGGACTTGAGGCTTCTGCGTGACAACGAGAACTACGTGATTGAGCAATGTAGAGTGCAATCATCTAGAGAAGAAGAGAACGGGTATAAAAAGACTGATGACTCTCCCCAGGAGAGGGAGTTTGTTGGTAAATCGATCCATTTCTATATACTTGATCACAGCAAGCCTCTCCACAAGGATACACAACACCAGTTAGGCAACAATGGCACCCTCAATCGAAGTCGCCTCACCCACCCTGGACGTCGCCGCCGTACCTCCCAAGGAAGACTTCCAGAAAACCGCTGCTCCAAGCTACATTCGTGAGCCCCTCAAATACTCTGGCTCGCTGGACGAATACAAGAGCTTCGACGTGACGCCTGTCATTGGGCGAGAGTTCTCTGATCTTCAGCTCGCCGATATTTTGAACGATGATCGGAAGATTCGTGATTTGGCCATCCTGGGTGCGTCTGACACACATGCCACGATGGTTGGTTGAGTATGGATATGAGCTAATGCGATATGTTGGTGTAGTATCCCGCCGTGGCGTCGTCTTCTTCCGCAACCAGATTCTTACCTCTGATGATCAAAAGATTCTGGGTCAAAAGCTCGGTGAGCTGACCGGGAAGCCTGCTACTTCCAAGGTAGACCACACCCCTTTTTGAACGGAGCATGGGAAAAAATCAACTAACTGAAGCCAGCTGCATCGGCACGCTATCAATAATAGCAACCGAAACCTCACCGTGAACGAGAACGGCAAACTGGACGACGAAGTCTCCGTCATCTCCTCGGAGACAAACCGGAAGTACTACGGCGAAAAGTTCGTGAACAATACTCGCCATCTTGCAAGCTGGGGGTGGCATTCTGAGTACGTACCCCATGAAGAGGTCAGAGCACAGAAGGCCGAGATGACGAATGGTTGTATTATAGTATATCCTTCGAACGTGTTCCCTCGGATTACGCCATCTTGAAAATCACCCATGCCCCCGAAGATCAGACCGGTGGAGACACGCTCTGGGCTTCTGGTTATGAAGTCTATGACCGGCTTTCGCCGCCGATTCAACGGCTCGCGGATACCTTGACGGTTGTTCATCATCAGGTACGACGAACGAACTATCTTACATACAATGACCGAATGCTGATGTAAAAAATTATAGCCATCGTTCGGAAACATTGCAAAGGAACATGGTATCGATCTTATCGAAGGGGACCGAGGTGCCCCCGAAAACACTGGATTCGACTTTAGCGCTAGCCAGTATGTAAACCCTGCCCCCCTAGCTACTCGGAAAAAAGGATACTCACACAAATAAAGCCCGCTCGTCCGCACGAATCCAGTCACCGGTTGGAAGAGTCTCTTTGGCGCTGCGCACCAAGTCGAGCACGGTTATGTTGAGGATGTCACTCACCGCGAGAGCGAAATTCTCAAGCAATATTGTTAGTCTCGTTACCAATTTGAGAAGGCATTCGGGCAGGGATTGTGTCCTAACTACTCATAGTCCTTCAACTGATCGCCGAAAACCACGACCTCCAGGTCCGCTTCAAATGGGGGATCAATGATCTGGCTATTTGGGACAAGTGAGTTTCTCATGTCCCTGCAATGGTTCCGAGATCGTGCTAATCAACTGACCATAGCCGCTCCGTCTTCCATACCGCAACGAAGTAATATTCTCATATAAACGGATCATGTCGCATTTGCTAACAACATATTAGTGACTTTAGCGGAAAGCGCCAAGGAAACCGCGTCGTTTCTCTCGGGGAAATTCCTTACTATGATCCTGCTTCCACATCGCGGCGCGAGGCATTGGCAACGGAGGTCTGAGTTGCAGTAGTTTCCTGTTATCAGTAACACATCATTATATCTTTTTATGTCACTCTCATACAGATGGTATATATTCTCACTATGATGGTTTCCCTATTTTACTTGTTGTGCAACCCTATCTTCTGGCTATTTTGTATGATATTACATAGTAGCGACCCTTCATGGGTAAGGAGATAGTCGCAGATTCAGTAGAAGCCACCAAGCCTCGAGATATATATCCCCAACATCAAAAGTGATTCCGTTAACTAGTTCAGCAGATAATAAAAGATCTTAAATGTTTCCTTACAGATAGTTCTTGCGTTTCTTAACTTTGTCACATTACGTATAATTTACGATATATGTCACGCCCTGCGCTCCCTATAGCTGGGCTCTGCCTGCGAGCGCTGCAGTGAGTATAATAATATGGAACTCACGGTAGTGGCGGCCAGATTTAGGGTCGGCTAGTAAATCAGTCTAGGTTTGAAGACAGTAGAGCTGAATGATTTGTCAGGATACGCAAAAGACACTGAGTAGAAGTAAGAAAACCCTTAATCAGACGGAGAAGTGTAGGAATGGATTGTAGAAGAGTTGCTCGCCGGGTGTGAGTCGATATCTTACAGCCGGGGATCGTGATAATCAAAAGTCATAGTCCGTACGAGGCGCGTGTTTCTCCGCAATCCATTGCCGGTAGGCTTTACCTGCAGGGTTGTTAAGGGGCGTCCTGGACTGGGGAGAAGTAGTGGTCTGTGTTTCACGGCAATGGAGCAGGTATGGAAATCTACAGAGCAACTGGTGTTAGAACAGGTCTTGAAGAGCCTGGGGGAGTGATTTGCTGAGAGTCGACCGAGTGAGCACAGATGAGGCAGCAAAGCCAAATCAACTAATTCTATACCTAATCTATCACGAGATATCGACTTGCCCAGTCGGAACGACATGTCGATCATTATTCTAGCTCTGGTTGGTGAGCAAATGGCAGGCTTAGAATGAGACCCACCACCGAGGGGACCCCCCTCCAGCTCGTATTCACACCTCATCCACCCTCCCTGTCCTGTATTCTTTATCGGATGGTGGATGTGACATTATTTCACCTTCGCGCGCGTCATACTGCCATGGCATCGTCTACTACCCCATGGTTTGTCCGTCAACCTGGCGAAATCATCCTGGAGGTGGCGTCGCATCTCAGCGCCTCCGACCTCAGTGCCCTCATCCAGACAGCCCATCGTTTCCACGAGCTCCTGACGCAGGAGCTGTATGTCCGGGCGCCTACGCTGATTCGGAACGATGGCCACACGCCCCTGATATGGGCGGCTGCACAGGGCCGAGTCGCCTGCGTTCAGAAGCTCGTGAGTCGAGACCCCGATCCCGGGAGGCTCATCAATGGCCGAGCTGCCATTCATGATGCCACGGCAGCAGGGCAAGAGCAGACCGTCGCGGTCTTACTGGAGGCCGGTGTGCCCGTCTCCCTGCCCGATGATGATGGCCACACGCCCCTCCAATGGGCGGTGGCCTATAACCAGGAACTGGTCCTTCGCCGGCTTCTCGCGTCCGGCGCTGGGAATGTGACCACCCAATCGACGGAGAACTGGGAGTGGGGATGCGCGTTGGAAGATGCGGTGATGCGTGGCCATCAATCAGTGGCTAGGATTCTTCTCGAGGCTGCCGACAGCATCGCCCGAGACCATCCGGCCTACCCCATGATCCACGAGGCGATCAACTCCAAACTACGCTTGGCCTCGTATCAGGGACAATGCGAAATGATTAGCCTCCTGTTAGAGTTTGATGCAGACGCGCATCTCCTTCGCCAGGAGAATATGCTCCCATTGCATATCGCGGCGTCACACGGACACCTGGATGCGGTCCGCCTCCTGCTCCAGCACGGCGCCGATATCGCCACCGTCGATGAGCAGGGAGATGCGGCCATCCACCACGCAGCCGCCGCGGGCAGTGTGGAGGTGGTGAAATTCCTGCTGGATCAGGGCATCCCGGTGGACATGCGCGGCGATGCGGAAACCACGGTCTTATTGGCTGCGGTGATCTATCAAAGAGCCGAGGTCATTAAGTTGCTGCTGGAGGCCGGAGCCGATGTGAATCTGGTCGAGGAGGACGGGAATAACGCCCTCCAGCTAGCCGCGTACTGTGGAACGATTGAGATCGTGGAATCACTGCTCGCCCATGGTGCTGCGGTGGGCGTGCTAGGACTAGATGATCGAACCGTCCTACATGTGGCCGTAGCGGGCGACAATCCCAATGTCGTCCCCTCGCTATGTCGCGCAGGCGTCGCGATCAATGCACTGGATGCGTCGGGAAACACGGCTCTTCATTTGGCGACCCTTTATGGACGTACTGCATTCGCCCGCTTGCTTCTGGAGATGGGGGCAGACGTGTCTGTCTCGCCGGCGGATGGACGAACGGCGCTGCATTTCGCTGCCTGGACTGGGCAGCCAGACCTCCTACAACTGCTAGTGGACGCTGGCGCCGAAGTAGGCGCCCTCCATCGCGACGGAGGTCATACGGCCCTGCACTATGCCGCTGTGAAGGGAAGTGTCGATGCATTTCGAGTTCTTCTGCACGCGGCTGTTGCCCAGAAGTTTGATTTTCTCCGCCCATGCTGGTGCGGAGGAACTGTCCTGTCCAAGGCGGCGACCAAGGGCCACAGAGGCATTATTGAGTTGATAGTGGAACGAGGCGTGGATGTGACGGCGTGCTATGATGGGTCGTCCGCCCTGCACGCGGCCGCGGCGGCTGGACAGACTGATCTCGTTGAGTTCCTGTTGTCCTTGGGGGCTGATCGGTTGCAACTGGACTGGTTCGGTCGATCCTCCATAGACTGGGCGGCTCGACATCCGCCGACTCTGATGAAGCTAATCGGAGACGCTCCCCTATCGGCTCCTTTACTCGATGAAGAGAAACGGACATCAGTCCTGAGGGAGGGCATCACCATGCTTGCCACCCGAGCTCTAACGGAGGGAAAGTCGGCCTTGTACCGGTTAGGAAAGTGCCTGCTCTACATGAACGATGTCTCTGCGGCCCGCATGGCATTTCTGTACGATGCGCAGGTCGATCCTAGCTTGCCAGACGTTACCTGGGCTATGTGCGATCTCTGTAAAGAGAAGCCGGGAGTGACAGAAGGGCGATTTGTATGCCAAACCTGTCCCGATATCGATCTCTGTGGCCAGTGTATGGACCAGTACTACCTGGAGAAGCTTCAAATCCGGTTGTGTGATGGACATCAGTTTTTAGAGGTTCAGGCCTCTAGCGAAGAGCTCCTGGCTATACAGCCCAATGAATCCAGAGAGTCGTGGCTCCGCGGCCTCATTGCAATGTACAATAACCCTCCCTAAATATTTGCAAACATCAGTCAGCTTGGTTATTGTCTTCGTGAAAGATCGTTGGCTATATAGCCAAGAGAGTGTGTGCTATCACAACAATATCAACAATGGCCCAATTCTATGTAGTGAATATTGTCATAGCATCACCCGGACCTCGACGCGTAAAGCTAGGTTCGGATACTATACAATCTCGTTACGTGCGTGTTCGTACCCATGTCTCCTATGCTAACAGATGACCATGTTCTTGCTCCAAATATGGTAAGCATTTCAAAGAGATATAATACTATCGTGAAGCTGCTCCTTTACAACAGATAAGATAAAGATAGAACCTAAAGACACGGAAAATATAGTCAAAATTCCGTCTGATAAGTAGCGAGAAATAAGCATAATACTGTCGTGAAGCTTGTCCATGCACTAAATAAAATAGATATAGACTCTCAGACCACTGATAACCGGGCTCGTCTCACATAAACGGTATAAAAGAGATATGATGCTGTTCGGAAGCTCCTCCCAGAGATTTGATATGACCGAAGTTAAGCTAGACATGACTCGTGCGCAGCAGAAAACATAGAGCAATGACTGTCATTTGCAACCATAGCAACAAATGCTTCACCGGCAGCATATGAAATCATATATTCACCATACAAACCGAAAACATAACACTTGACTTGTTGGAAAGGTGAGCAGTTCAGACTTAGCGGGCGATAAACCCGGCCAGTCCAAAAAGAAAAATAAATAAAATGGGTGAAAAAAACATACAACAGAAGGGATTCGCTGGTGGTCACCCACCCAACTACTAACCTTCCGGCGTGTGGCTTAAGTACGGCTGAGCGGACGGGAAGCCCTGTTCTCCACACCCTATGGTCGTATGTGCTAGTTTTATATTTGCATAAATTTATATAGCATGTGTGGCAAAAGACATTCCACTTAATACACTAGGAAAAAATACCATTTTTAACAGTGGCAGGGTGAACCTATCAATATAGATGCCTTGGTGATCTTATTGTTGCTGGACAGAAGAGGTCTACCAATTATGTTGGTGGTTAATATCCAAGACCCGGGCCAGATGTGTTGAAAATATATAATTCCATACCTTCCACTGGTACTTCGTACAGCAGGAAGAGTCAACTCCGCTTCAATCATCCTAAAAACTATTGACAAAGCTCGATAGCACATGATATTCAACGCCCTCGTTTACAGTATTTACGAGAACCATGCGATATGAATGCATTAAACAGGCTGCAAACAGTCTGCTAATTACTAATGAATATACATAGGTGCAAGGCTAGAGCTTCTGCAGATTTGACCTGCTGGTCGACTGGGAAGATCAAAGGACTTTCTACAATTATGTTGGAATATGTATAATGGCGGAACTCCCCCACACGGTGTTGATCAGGTACATTTGTAGAAGGGGATAAACCCTTTGTTATACACGAGACCCTATAGACAAGCACTAGCAGTGCAAAGAAAGATAATATACAGAAAGATACAAAGAGGTGTAGTCACATGTACACGAAGAGAAAATTAGATCTTGCCCGCACCAGCGTTCTTGGGGACGTTGACCTTGGCCTGAGAAGCCGGGGTAGCAGGGGCAATCTTGAGGCCCTTGAAGTCACCGAAGAACGAAGTGTCCTTGAGAGGAGGAAGAGTACCGGAGTTGGCGAGATCGTTGACCTCGCAGGCACGGCCCAG